ACCTAACCTAACCTAACCTAACCTAACCTAACCTAACCTAACCTAACCTAACCTAACCTAACCTAACCTAACCCCCCTAACCTAAAACCTAACTAACCTAACCTAACCTAACCTAACCTAACCTAAGACACTTATACAAAGGAATTGCTGCTGTGCCCTAACCCTCAGCCCAAATATTGCCAAATTGGGGATCTGGGGGTTTGTGACCATGCTCTACCCACTGAGGGTGTCAGATTTGTGGGGACAGTATGCCAATCCCAAAATGGTATAATGGGTCAACATGATCGGAACACTAGTAGTAGCCAGTGAAGCCTCCGGGCGCTCCCGCTATCCGGACCACTCCGGAACAGGATCACATGGCGCTGGTATAAGCGCTGATCTTGGATTCTAGATTACTGACGTCACTGCGTTCTAGATCGGTTCCAGCCGGGATCCGGCTCGGTCTAGAAAAGAAGTCCATCACGGACATCGCAGCATTTGCAAGATGATATGTGTCACCCTGCCCAAATCGGGTTTGTTGTGGTACTGTACAGGTAAACGTGACTAAACAATACCAAAGGGACCTGATGAGGCATATAAGCCGAAAGGGTCGCGCTGTGGATCCCCACTGCGCTCTTGTCCCTTGGCCTCTACCACCACCTCCTCAGTCTAACGCCGCTTCGCGGCGTGTTCAGGCGATTAAACCACCTAACCTGAAATGTACATGTTGTGCACGCGGCCAAAAGCCGCTTTCCGCGCGTTGTCCGTGAGGTCAGCGTGATTGATGGTGAATGCGCACTGAGCAAGCGCAAATTGTTGGAGGTCGTAGGTACCGACCATAGTGATGCGAGCAAGATTGACAGTGGGATTGGGCAGTGGAAACGGCAGCGGTGCGGACAGACCAGTCCACACGGCGCGCACGCGCTGCACGCCTGGTTGAAGCGATACACCACGTGCGAGAAGCGATGCTGGTGCTCACGTGTACTCTTACCCGCAATCGCGCCGTGGCGCAATTGCGGATAACATACTCGGAGTACCCTACCAGGGGCATCCTTTGAATTAAATTCCTTGATTGCCTGGCACTCTGCTTACTATACAAAATAATATTATACTTGCACCTACGTTTACGTCCCAGAAAACCTTGACACAAACAGTGCACTTACCCGCGTTCGCGGGTAAAGAGCATTCACAAGTACGTCTGAGAGTCTCTCAGAACAGTGCACAGTACCTGTGTTCGCGCCGTGGCGCAAGCGCGGGTAGACGATGAAAACAAGGACAGTGTGCCTATTCGCAATCGCGCGGATAGAAACACACAGGGCGCACCGATAGGGTGCCGCAATGATCATCGAGGCGTACCCAGTAATACGAGCAACAGCCCGGGCAGGTGGTTTGATGGACACTCTCGAGCGAGTCCTGTCGCGAGCAACCCGTCGGTATGGCGAATCATCCAGAACATCGGGAGGTAAGCTTGTCGTGTGTCTCGAAACAAGGACACTCTGCTGATGTATACTCGTCTGCCGCGTTATCAACTTGCGGGCGACCGTGTTTCGCACTCACAGAGGTCATCTTGCGTGCACGTACCTTACGCGCGCACAATCTCCGTGTCGCTGTCTTCATGCGCAGGTACGCACATCACCTCAGGGCGCGGTGGGTTTGCTGGATGTAAAAGAGAGGGAGGCAGGAGGCAGGAGAGGCGGGAGATGGTGGTTGTGGGCAGGAGATCGTGTGAGCGCCCGTCGGTGGCTGAGCAGGTGGCTGACGTGATCTCGCCTGCCCTGTCACTGCACATCACTGACACACAACACAGAATGGACGCTGCATGCGGAGGGTGTAATGGATGATGTGGTACACCACAGATGCATGCCCTCTGTGGCACACGAGCAAGTCGGTGGGTGCCTGTGAGATCGGGCGGGTGCTCGGACTTGCCAAACAAGGCAATGGATGTGCGGACTCATCCGCAATCGCGCCATAGCGCGATTGCGGGTAAGGGTGACTGGCAGAAGGCAGTCGCAGACTCAAACGGAGACTGCATGTTACCCGCGTTCGCGTCATGACGCCAACGCGGGTAAGAGTACCTCGCATCCGCAGTCGCGCCATGGCGCGAACGCGGGTTATGCACGCTGAGATTCATGCTGCGAGGATGAGACGTTTAATGCTCAGAACGTGAAAATGCCTTCCTCACCCATCCTCACCCCATCCTCACCCTAAGGATTGGTCAAAAAGCCCCTATAATAAAGACACGGGGATGTAGGCCTTTGTGGCACTGAAAACGGACTATGACGGGCCAGCCGAACTGCCCGAACCCGACCGAACCCCGAGGCTTAAGCGCTGACCGAACCTGTGCCCGAACTTGGCCGAACCCGGTGGCCAAGCCACATCAAACACGTGTTCGGCCGTGCCCACAACATATAAGGGGGCCGTGACGGGTTCAGCGCCCCATCTCTTCCTTTCCTTCCGCCATCACCATGTCCTCTCAAGGGTCTCCCTCCCCCCCGGTCCCCCACACCCCTTCCACTCCCACCTCTGTTCCAGCCTCCCACCCCGCCTCTCGATCTGCCTCGGAACAGGACTCCGAACCGCGCGAACCTAGTGTGGGCAACCAGCGCGTCCCGCTCAACTTCGCTAACACGAAGGAGTTCAGTGAGATGTGGTGCGTCCTTGTAGCCACATATTGTTCTAACCCCACATGACTAACGTACTGGGTTCAGTGAGCCCTGGTTGAAGGAGGAGCAGTACCTCATGTTTGAGGGCACTGAGTACCATCCTGGGGACGTGTAAGTACCTTCTCATCTATGACTGTTCGTCGTGTTGATGTGAGTGCAGTATCCTGTGGCACCCTACTGGTGTGACAGGCGAGCTCGAAAGGAAGGAGTGCTGGGTAGGTATCCTTGTCGGCTGGATGTTCCCAGACGACGCATTCGCACGCGACGTGCCTGAGGACGAGTGGGTAAGTGCAACACTCTCAATTTGGTCTGCTACCGCTCATCATGCGTATCACAGGATGAGGAAGGTGTGAGTACCACGGGCATCTTGTCGACTTCCATAGCCACTGACATGCCCTGCAGCGCATTCCTGACATAGCCGCGGTGAGTTCCCCTCGGTGCAAGCAGATATCGCTGACATAGATCATAATAATAGGTCATCGTTCTTTGGGCCTATACAAAGAAGGACCTCAGCAGGTCGGCGAGACATGCCCGTGAGGTGCCGGGGCAAGTTGAAAGGCTGGGGTCCTGAGTAAGTTCCGTGCACCAAACAGTGAAGAGACTGATGACCTGGTGTCGCAGATGGGACCCATACATCAAGGGGATGAACAGCACCACTCGCGTGTTCGGCGCTCGCTACGAGTGCATGAAGCCCTTTGGGCTCATCGGTGAGTCTTCAGTGTCTCACTGTCATGGTCTGCATCTGAAAGGGATGCCACAGACTACGTCACCAAGAGGGAGGCATACGACTTTGGCATCGTCTGGGACGGCCTCATAGTCGAGCACGGTGGCCCCCCGGACGGCACCCCCAGCGCCAAGTTCAAGAACGTAAGTGTTGTTTTCTCTTTGTGATTCACTCCCTCACATGCCAGCCCATACAGCAGGGGTACGAGGAGCAGTGGTTCTTCCGCCTCCCCAAGAAACTTGTGGGATGGGCTGCCGACCCTCAAAGAGGTTGCCGCGATGCCTTTTGTCGAGCGCGTCGAGCAGCGTGTCGAGGACGGCGTCTACACGCTCACTCACCACCCTGGCGAGAAGTATCCCAGCTTTGAGGTTGTCCGCCACGCCCCCTTCAAGCGGGATCTGCGCAACCGTGGTGTGCGCAAGAGCGTCTGAGCCTGAGGAGGAGGGTGGCCTGATTTCATTTCATTTGTTTTTGTAATATCAGTGTGATCTTGCGTGGAATGCATTCTAATGGCTGTCTGACTGTGTGAGATGCGAGGCGAACATGTGTGAAGTACATTGGAGCACTACCCTGTCTATGGGAACGCGGCCGAACCTGCTGAACAGGCCGAACTCGCCGAACCTGCCGAACTCACCGAACCTGCCGAACTCACCGAACCTGCTGAAGGATGACCCCAAACTCAACCAAGCCTCTGTATTCTATGTTACATGCACTCTACAATGAAGTCCAGGCCAGGAATCACTGCCTCATCATGTCTGCAGTGTGTCCGCACACATGCCACCGCAGGCAGGATGCTAACAATATTCCATCAGTGAGCTCGCACACGCGCACAACAAACTCACATTGTCTTCATGTGCGGCTTATTCTTGGGAGCTGGTGGCCTAGGGAGTGTGAAGCGCTGCTGCACTTCAAACACATGCGGCGGCACTGCAGACAGCACACGTCCAACCTGAACAGGGGGGTGCTCACGGCACCATTGCTCCCACGACTCAGCCCGTGTCTGCCTCCCTTTTTGCAGCCGCTTCTCATTCCGCCAGTGCCAGTCCCGCTTGACACGCTTGGGCTTCGGGCTGCAGCCAGTCAGTGAGATGACACATTTCAGGAAACCCTCACACTTACACACAAACAATCTCATCAGCGTAAGGATCAACCTTACGCTTCCGGGTCAGTCGCTTGAAGCTACGCCAGGTCAGCTAGTTAGTTGGTCGCGAAGTGGAGGATAGCGTGCATACACTAATGGATCATCACTATAAGGGTCAAAGCCCTCCAGCTGATCTCTGCAGCCCACTAGATCGTCATAGTAGGACATTGTACCTACCGGACTTCAGTATTCATCGGTTACAATGATGGGCTCACTTACTTTGGATGAGCGATGGTGGTGGGAGGGGGAAGAGAGGGAGACACCAGTGGCTGGACACTGTCCAGGACTTATATACCATCCTCAACGTCATGCACATGACCATAGCCGCAACCCATCCCATCAACGGCCACTGATCTGTGCTGAATATGGGGACGCTGTTGTCGCACTGAAAAGGAATGAGTGATGCACCAGCCGAACTGCCCGAACCCGGCCGAACCCCGAGGCTTAAGCGCCGACCGAACCCGTGCCCGAACTTGCCCGAACCGGTGGCCAAGCCACATCAAACACGTGTGGGGGCCGCGACCACAACATATAAGGGGGCCTGGTGGGTTCGGCCCCCATCTCTCCCTTTCCTTCTACCATCACCATGTCCTCCCCTCGCTCCAGCCCCCCCCCCCCTCTGCTCTTCCCGCTCGCCCTGGCTCTGTGCCTGTGGCTCCCGCCTCTCACCCACACTTAGCCTCTCGCCCCGCCTCTGTGCCTGCCAATGTGGCCTCTTGCCCGCACCCCGTGTCTCGCCCTCGCCCCGCCTCTGTGCCCAGTTCTGGTGCAGCCCCTGAGCCTCAGACTGATCCCGCCAACCCAGCGTCGCTGAGCGTCTCCCGCTGAACTTTGCCAATGCGGAGGAATTCAGTGAGATGTGGTGCGTGCCACATATTGTTGTATCCCAACACCACTAACATACTGGGTTCAGTGAGCCCTGGTTGCAAGGTGATCAGTACATCATCTTTGAAGGCACCGAGTACCGTCCTGGGGATGTGTAAGTGCCTTCTCATCCATGACTGATTGTTGTGTTGACATGCTTCAAGTATACTGTGGCGCCCTACTGGTGTGACAGGCGAGCTCGAAAGGAAGGACTGTTGGGTAGGTATCCTTGTCGGCTGGATGTTCCCACACGATGCATTTGCGCGTATCGTGCCGCAGGATGAGTGGGTAAGTGCAACACTCTTAATGTTGTCTGCTACTGCTCATCATGCGTACCACAGGATGAGGAAGGCGTAAGCACCACGGTCATCTTGTCCACTTCCATAGCCACTGACATGACCCGCAGCGCATTCCTGACATAGCCGCGGTGAGTCTCCCCTCCGGTGCACGCAGTAATCCACTGACATAGATTATAATACTAGGTCATTATTCTTTGGGCGTACACAAAGAAGGACCTTGAGCAGGTCATTGAAGACATGCCGAAGAAGTACCGCAAAATGATGAAAGGCTCGGGTCCCGAGTAAGTCCGGTGTACTGAATGGTGAAGACATGACTGATGACCTGGCTTCACAGCTGGGACCCGTACTTTGAGGCCATGACAAGCACCAGTCGCGTGTTCGGTGCTCGCTACGAGTGCATGATGCCCTTTGGGCTCATCGGTGAGTCTTCAACATCTCACTGTCATGGTCTGCATCTGAAAGGGATGCCACAGACTACGTCACCAAGAGGGAGGCATACGACTTTGGCATCAACTGGGATGGCCTCATAGTTGAGCACGGCGGCCCCCCGGACGGCACCCCCAGGGCCCACTTCCACAATGTGAGTGTCTGTTTCTGTTTGTGTTCGTGCTCTCACACGCCAACCCATACAGGAGGGGTATGAGGAACAGTGGTTCTTCACCCTTCCAAGAAGGAGTTGTGGGACGGGCTGCCGACCCCCCAAGAGGCCGCTGCAATGCCTTTTGTCGAGCGTACCGAGCTGCCAGTGGAGGACGGGGTGTACGTGGTGGCTCGCCACGCTAACGAGAGGCATGCCAGCTTGGACGTTGCCCGCCACGCTCCTTTCAAGCAGGATTTGCGCAACCGTGGTGTCCGCAGGAGCTCAGAGCTCAGTGAGCCTGAGGGGGAGGGTGCTTGATGTCTTGATTTGATGTGTCTTCCTTCATTTTGTAATTGTAATACCAGTGTGATCTGCGCAAAACAATGTACTCATGGCTGTCTGACTGCGTGTCAGCATGAGCGGGCCGAACCTGAGCCGAACCTGTGCAAAGTACATGGGAGCACCATGGGTTTACCACTACGAGCTCTGTACCGCCCATGAGACACTGAAATATGCATCATATTGCATATTGGAGGTCGGCCGAACCCAACCCGAACCGAGCCGAACATGTTGGACTTGTGCCTCGGAACTCTGCCCTGCAATGCGGGAATGACCCACAGAGACCTGTATTGAGTGCTGGGCTTGGTGCAAACACCCAGCCGAACCAGCCGAACCCAGCCGAACACCAGTGTTGCACAGCGGGATTCAGCCTCAGGCACTCCATAGATGCTAACGCGAGTCAACAGCTTCACATGGAACTCACGCCGAACCTGACCCGAACCCTGACCGAACTTCACTGACACGCATGCACCATGCTGCCAAGAACACCTAGAACACAACAGCCAAGTAAAATAGGTGCATGGAGATGTATTGGACATGCACCCATAATCTGACCGAACCCACCCCCAGTGCCGAACCCACCCTGTGCAGTGCACAGACAGGTGGTAAAGGCCCTGTGTGTAGCCAGGGTTCATACATTAGAAGGCTCACGACAGGGTGCAGCAGCCTGACCGAACCCACCGCAACAGCGCCGAACCCATGGTGAGCAATACAAACACACTCTATAGAGGCATTAGAACACTTATTATGACTACTGAGGGGGGCCGAACCATGCCCGAGGTTCGGCGCTTAACATGGGTTCGGGGCCCCAAGTTCGGCGGCGGCGTGCTCGAGAACGGTACCGCCAATGTCTTAGCTTTTTTGGCTATGGGCCCCCCTGGGGGGCATCTACGTCTGTGCAAAGTCTCAAGACCATAGGCCTTGACTAAAATTAGCAATCCCATTGCTAAATAGGTGTATAAGCTAAAAGCTAAAAGCTGGGAGCTGGGAGCTAAGAGCTGGGAGCTGGGGACTGGGAGCTGGGGTTCACACGTGTGTGTACTGTGTACTGTGGGCTGGGTTCACACGTGCGAACTGAGAGCCGGGGTTCACACGTGTGTGTACTGTGTACTGTGGGCTGGGGTTCACACGTGCAGACTGAGAGTCGGGGTTCACACACGTGTGTGCTGTGGGTGGGGGTTCACACGTGTGGACTTCACTGTAAGCTCAGAACTGTGACCCTGAGGTGCGGTTCACACGCACAGACTTTACAGGGAGCTTGGGGCCACGGTTCACACGTACAGAGTTCAAGCTTAGGTTGTACACTACACCTACAGAGTGCAGGTGGGGACTAAGAACAGGGCACTGTGAGCCTGGAAGTTGAGACTCCCACTGACACTTGAAACACTTTTGTACACTCCACGTCTTCCTGTACAGCCTCTCACCAAAGAGTGACTTGTGAGCCCAACAGAGTTTGTGTCCACTGTAGGTGGAGTGCCGCCAGCGAGCCGTGCGAGTGGGTGAGCTCTCCGCCTGCAGTGGACACAAACTCCGTTGGCGCTCACAAGTCACTCTTCAACGTCTCTCGACTTAACGCCTCCTCAACTTGTTCACTCTCAGCCCACTAAGTAACACGGCCCTCTAGTTTTTGTACAGCAACAACACTTGTCCAAAGCACTTTACTGTTACTCCACCACACCTCCCAAGAGAACCAACTCTTTACCTGTCACTGTGTTCACTTTCCAAGCCTCAACTACCTTGCTCTCTTTGGGCCTGCACACTGACACCAACTCCCACCTGTCACACAACTGCTCAAGCACTTCACGTTAGTAAGTAAGTACTCTCCAAGCACAGGGGCCAGTCGTTCTGAACAACACCCTTGTCAAGGCTTTGGGTAAAAGTCGTGACTACAAGAGGACACTTGTAGTCACGACTGATTTCCACAGGCTCGGCTTCTACTGCCTTGAAGTTTCAAACCAGATTTGAAAACTCTCAGTTCAGTTCAGCACAAACTGCACTGGTTACTCAAACAGATGACCAAAGCTTGGCCCTTGTTCTTGCTGTCTGTGTTGTTGTGCAGTGTGCTCAACTTGAGTTATTGCCCAACACTTGACACTTGACACAAAACACTGACAGTCTTGGCATGCCACTGTTTTCACCCTTGGTGTTTTGGCTCTGCCCAAACGCCAAAAGAAAGAAAACAGCCACAAGCCTTACTCAAGTTTAGCAAGTTCCCAGTGTGGCTCTGGTTAGTACAGCAAAGGAGACCACCTAAGAAACCCAACAACCACTGCATGGCCAAACAGCTGACACTCCCAAAGTCAGCTTGGCACCGCACAGTGTTTGGCCAGAGATTGTTATTATTCTTGTACCTTGGGCCCAGTCGTATTGACCTTTGTGTGGCTATTGTCCAGCCACAACCACAAGGTTCTCAGACATTCCCAACAATATGGGTGATTGCTGAAGAAGCCTAGACAAAGAGCTCAAAGGCTATTATCAGGATTTGCCAAATACCCCGTTCGGGAAACAATGGCTATTCAGTGATGATCTCATTGCCCAAGTGGCCAATGACCTGTAAGTCTCAGAGTTTGGGAATTGGGCACACGGCTAAAGCAAGGCTGTATACTGACTCTTTGGACAGCGTTGGGGCAGCAGAGCGTGGATGAGTAGAGCAGTGTGGCACAGATTTAGTAGCACAGGATAGAGTCTCAAATACATAACATACTTAGAACATTTGGGAATCATGTACATGTATAAAATATCTAGCAAGAGTACTCCAATATCTATCTGTACTTCTATGATAGAATCTTTCCTCTGTGTGAGAATCTTTCACATGCCACTTAGGGACTTGCACACTGCAGTCTCAGCAAGATAATGCCTAAGCCTCACAGCTACACACTGGGACTTTGTTGTTAACATCCCCTTATTTGGTATAGCTTTGCACTACAAGTAAGGGTTCAGCCTTAAAGAAAGAGTCAGTCAGTGAGAGTCAGCCTGGGATGTGACTTAACAGAGATGTCAGAGGTTGCTTGGTGCCCAGTTCTAGAAGTGTGCATTTTAGCATGACAAGGACCCAGTCCCAAGGCCCAAAGTTGTGTTCGGCTCCAGCTGTCATTCAGGACAATGTGGTACATACCAGAGATGGCTACAAGATAAGCTGTTGCAAATACACTTGAGTTCCCACATCAGCACAGAGCTGTCCTCTGGTAGGATTCTTTCATACAAGGCAAGAGCAGTTCTCGTCAGCTCATTGAACTCTTATCAGGTGTGAGATACTACAGTTGTAAGTACCACAGCAAACGAGACACAGGTCGCAGTGAGTATGAACAGTCACAATTTATTCAAAGCCTGTGATGACACTAAGATGGGATCATGAGCTATTATGATTATTAGTGAAGTTTGGTGAGTATATTATGACAACCAACACCCAAAACAGGCTGTGCAGGCACAAATGGCCTGTTGTACCCTCAAGGTGAGTCACTAAGTAGTTTGGCCAAATCCAATAGCACAGCTTGATTGATCAACTCTTGATCTCAGATTACAAAATCACATAATCTGTAGCTCATCTAACACTCTTTATGCATTTGCACTACTAACATGGTTCAGCATGCTTTCACCTGAAGTGTACAGTTGTGACTTTTGAGCTTGTGTACCTCAGTAAGACAATTTATTTCACATCATCTCTTACCTAAATTTGGTTGGCTGAATGACCCACAACTGACATTGCTTCTGAGAACCATATGTTGAAACCATGATCATTGAGGACGGGCAGGAATGAATTTCAAGGTTGTTCATCTCTGATTGATTGGCTGAGTTGAACCAAAACCCTTCACATGCTCTACTATGGGTCTGTCAAAGTGTCACTAACCAAATGTCCTTTCTGAGGGAGATTAGAGTATTTGTTACCTCATGAAGTACAGTGAGTGGCTCTGTAGGACCCCAACCATCACCATGTGTATCATTCACTGGCAATTATGACATCCACAGGAAGTAAGAATAGACACACTGGCTTACACACCAGAATCACCAAGCAACACTGTTGTGCATGTCTGACTTGGTCATAGTCATGTCGGGCCTCTGTTGGGCCTTTGCGTCAGATTGCTCACATGATAGCTCTCCCATTCACGGACTAAGGGGAAATCTGATGCATAAACTGAATGACACTGATTCCCCACACTATCTATGGACCACACACCTACCTTGTCTACAGTATATATCATGCATATACTATATCGGGTCACAATCTTGGCCACCTAAGCATTCAACAAGCCCTCCTCACTCTGTATGGGCCATAATGACCTGAATGCTTGTGAGGAGGTATGTTAAGAGACCTCAGAAATACAAGAAAAATATGACAAAAAAATATGATCATTGAGTCGAGCTCAGTAGCTAGAATTCTGGTCGAGACTAGGGTGAGCCACACTGCTTACCAGAAATAGGTATCACCGCAAAGGGTGATTTTTCCTGCCCACAGATCTCAGTGTATTGGCTTCAGATTTTGTACAGGCATTACAAGGATGCATTGAGACATGCTACGATTTATTTGATAGCTATAGAAGGGGTGGTTGTTGAATGAGGCTCGAGTGACCAACTACCTAGGCTGTCCGAGATCGTGATCTGATATAGTAGAGCTTAGGGCATTGCGAGGCAACAGTGAGCCCTCCACAATTGACAGGATTGCTTGGAGCTGCAACCATTGTTGACAACCTGTTCAACATGCAACCTACATAATCACAGATTGCCATTGTGGCCCAAAATGCAATACCATAGGATCCTCAACTTCCTAACCAATGCAATTTGTCAGTGGAGTGGGCCATGACTGGTTCAGAGCCCACTCACCCCCCAGTGACATTGACGGGACAGTACATTCCCTCCTGTGAGTGCAGTGCACATGACTCTCTCACAGCTTGAGCTTTCATGTTGGTCTACACACCCACTTATCAGACTCACAGCTGATTGCACATTTGTCCCAAAGTCAATGTGATATTGTGGCAAGTCTGCTATCAGTGCTGGCAACACTTCCGTCACATCGCTTCCCTATCCAATTGCGACTCTGGCGCGTGCACGCACCATGTCGCGCGACCTTCTGTCGAACACGGCATCGGCGCTACTGACTGTCGTGTCGCGCGCATCGCTGGCGATCAACCCCCCCACTCCCACGCCTCCTCCGTTGTCGCGCCATACTCCCATCAATCTATCATCCGTCCGACATGATGCAGGCCTCCATCCCCCATGTCTCGTGCACATTCGCGTAACCGAGGCGAGGTTTGCAGCCGCATATGGAGGCCAGAACACCACAGGCTTCGACAGGCCATTGTTACAAAGAACCAACGCAAAAACTACCACACTGCCACCGGCTTCTGCTAAGTGGCGACACACATTTGAAGACGCGGATAGGGAGGCCCTACTGCCAGACGGGCGCTCGAATGGCGCATCTCGACATCCCCATGCCGGAGGAGCACAATCCCCTTCTGAGCCGACTGCTTCTGCGTCAATCAATGTTGGTCAGTGTCGTGTAGAGCTACGTTTGGCTCCGCGAATATGGTCAATTTGTATAGTTTGAGGATTGGGAGAGATCGATGGCGTCAGGCACGGGCGAGATGCTCGATCGCAACGTGGCGTTGCCAGTAAAGCGGATTTCATGCGACGGAATGACCCTGAAGAACTTGGGTGAGTCGCACGATGGCATCACAATGTCGGGATACTTATGACCTACCAGCGAAGAGACATTCGTAGACCGCACCGCAGATACGATGGAATAGCGTTTGTAAGGATGAATGAAACGGGGAATGTCGCAGGCGGGGACTGTGTCGCAAGGGTCGATAAGTCGAGTGAACTTGTACCGTATTCTGGCATCAGGACACATGCTCTCTCATACTCGAAAAATGGTCGCGAATGAGGAAAGGAGGACCAGCGACGTAAACGCAGCTTTCGAAGAACCTCACAGCGCTTGCAAGTGTCGTGTCGCGCGACGTTCTGTCGAACGCCACTTGGGCGCTTTTCCGTGTCGCGCGACGTTCTGTCGAGAATCGATTCGGCGCTACCGACTCTCGTGTCGCGCGACTTACTATCGACCGCCGTACTGTCACCTCCGCTCTGTCGTCGCACATCGCTCTTAACTCCGCGTCCATCTGACTTCATGCCGGCTCCCATCCCGACTGCCTCGTCCGCATCCGCGTGTCCGACCCGAAGTTTGCCGAGGCCTATGGAGGCAGGAACTCCTTCAAGGTTCGACCGGCCGTCGTCACCCGGATCGAACGGCTGGAGGGCGGGGCCGTTACCGGATTCTGGATCGCCCCGTTGACGAGCTCCTTGGACTTGTCGAAGGTGAGTTCCTCCGTTATCTGTAGTTGCGACAGAGATTTGAACGCTCCGATAGGGCGATCGAGCTGCATGGCGGGCGGTTGACTGGGCCCGTTCCGACATCTCCATTCCTGATCAGTACTACCAGACCGCCTTCCGACTCCCCTTGCGTAGAAAAATCTCGTTCAGGGCGGTGTCGAGCCATGTGTGGGTTCAGGATTGCGGGGAACTCGTCACTCTGGAGCAATGGGAGATGGCGCTGGCGTCGGGCGAGGGCAAGATACTCGATCGCAGTGTCGCGATGGGAGGGAAGGCGCTTTCACGGGTTGGAAAGAACCTGCTGAGGTTGGGTGAGTCGCACGTTGCTGTCTCCTTGAATTTGAACTCACTTAGTAGCAGGGATGAGGGCTCCGTAGGCTGTCGCATAGATACGATCGGATACTTGCTGTACTTCTAATTGAAAACCGGGATGTCGCAGGTGGGGACAGTGTCGCATCTGTCGTGCGACCAACTGAATCAGTGACTTGCTTTAGCCACAGGGACATGCAGTACGATCCACAAAATGCACTGCTATTGAACAAGCAACAGGGGAGCGACGTGGTTTCGCTCAGTACATGTCTCACTGATGACATTCGATTCATTGTAGCTGGCCCACACCATCGGTTTCCGACATACTCGTCATCCGGTAGCAGTCCTCGACCGTCCTCCCTTAAGTGATGTATATCTTTGGTGCGTACCTAACTTGCAGCACTGGAGAACTCACAGGCATGTGAACGACAGTTTTAGCAGATCGCTCTTTGAGGAGGAGGGGGGCCGGCAACATATGCAGACGTATGGACCTCAGCATACACTCCAAGGTAAACACGACGCTACTGGGTCCATTGGTACTAGTGGGTACTAGTCCGTAATTGGTTCTACATAGATATGGACGTCCATCACCATCTTTAATGATAACATGACCCCACAACTACTTTATGGAGCACTGTACTGTCAAAACACGTCGCGACACGAATGTGGAGGTTGTGAGGATAAGCAGCGTCTTTGCGACAAAGGCAGCATTTTGGGCCCGCTTGTCGCTCATACTACGCGACAAAATGCGAGTCGAGCGGCTTGACTACCGGTCTTCCGAAGCTATTCTTCCAATCGGATCGGAAACAGATGGCTTGCCTCACCAGCCGTGATGTTGGACTGCATCGCTCGCTCGCGATCGGACCCTGTATCTCATTGTCGGCACGTTATATCACAATACTCGTGCCTATCATTGCGCTAGGCGCCTATCCTGGTAGATTCAGTAGTAGATAGCGACGGCCACTGTAGTACCATGCCAATATGTCTGCCCGTGGATAACGTCTCTGCAGAGGTTTCATGACGACACTCATGTACGATGCGTACGTGCATCCCAGGCTAAGACCGTTCTCTTCATTCGTCGCTGCAATTGAACGGTGAATCTCACGCGCGGGTGTGGCCGTGTTCCACCGAGACATTTATTCACCGATAGTCATGTCGCTCACTCGTCTGGCAGGCGACATGCGACGCGGACAGAATGCACGACGTCAGTCATCTCGACGTGGTGTCAGGGAAACCCGTCCACCATCGGATGGTTCGAGTACGCATTCGGCACATAAGCATCATTTTCGGCTCATCTGGATTAGATGAAAATGTCTGTGTGCATCACTGCTTACTTAATAATGGAAGCGGGCTTTGGCTCGCCACTGAGCCATTTTGCGATACACACATGCTCGCGCTACGTCGTTATATCTTCGTGCTCCCCCGCTTGCTACTCGAGAGGTACATATCATGGATGTAGACTCACGACATGCGGAACGACACAGAAAGGCACAAAGAATGGACCACCGAGTTCCATAACCTCTCGGTAAGACTACAAAGGACACTCGATTCATACGTCACTTCTAATCATCGCGGACTGTTGACTTGAATGTATCACATAATTACATGTACCGTGAACATGGATAACTCAGATAGTGTCGGTGTCGCCCAAACGTTGTCGCTGATAGCTGTCCACCCTGCGTCCTCGTAGCGTACAACAGCGTCGAATGAAGCTGTAGCGGGATGAAGACGCCAGGTCGCGTCGTGTTTTCCCTCACGCGACCAGCATGCGGCAGGGGGACTGTGTTTACGGTTAGGCCGATACTCGGGTGATCGGGGGCCAGTGTTACCGGATATGGCAATTACTGATGTCCAATTAATGGCGGGTGTGGCTGCACCGGTTATGTGTACGCTGATCACGTCGTGTGGCGCACTAGCCACTTCTCTTCTCTGACATGGCTACCCCCAAGCCATCCAAAACGGACATATACGTCGGTTGGATTGAGCGACACCCGGTGCCACATGGAGACACGAACATGAAGATTTGGGCGACGGGAATGATGAAGGCTACGGTGAGTCGGGCGAGAGAACACCTTCAAGTTCAGATAGATAGATCTAACCAATGACCAGGTTTTGTACGCAAAGGGGTGTTCAAGAGAGGAAAGAAGACTCAACAATCCGCAGGTGAAACGTGCGGTTGACGATCTAATCATGATCCCGTGGGAGGAAAGGGGAAGCCCCCAATTCTTTGCCTGGCTCCGATCGACGTACCCGGGCATGGAGGCCAGGTTCACGAAATGGAAAGCCAGGGTAAGGGTGCACCCAGTGTCGCACGGAAGGAGCACAAACTAAATCGCACGTACCTCGCAGAAACAAAGGGACATACCGAAGTCACCACCAGGCGTGCCCTCACCCCCACGCGTCGCTTCCCCCCCACGAGTTCCCTCCCCCTCTGCGACACTGGTCTCCTCGCCCCCATGGGTTCCCTCGCCTCCACGGGCTCGCTCCCCCTCATGGGCTCCAGACGCTTCCGAGAACTTGAAGAATGAGACAACACCGGTGGCCACGCAGACGCTGACGAACGGCACGGCAGACAGCGACAGGTGGCAGAACACAGCTTTGTATTATGCGACACAGGAGGAATTGCGCAAAGTTGAAGCTCGTCTCGCGGTCCTGATCGATCAGAAGAAGTGTCTGGAGCAGTGGGTTGAGGAATTGGAAGAATTAGCGGGGTCGTCTGACATGTAAATTCTGTACTACATGCTTGTGTAACACGTATGGCGAGATGTATGTATCCAGACGCTTCGGAATGGCGCAAGAGATGGCGATGCCTACACTACAGATCGCACGGCACATACCATCTACTAAACCTGCTCAGCACTTGCTGTTTATCTTCGCCCACCGTGGGGGGACCTCAATGGTTCGATCCGCGTTGTGAGTAGCGACAGCCTCACAAACTAGTGAAGGTAAACCAGAGAAATGATAGGACGACAACCCCATGATCATCGCGCGAACATCCTCCGAATGTGCTATTGATGGTGATCAACATCATGCCCTGAATTTGGATGAAAGGTGATTATTGCGCAGAACAAGCCCACTGATGGGCCAGGTCACAGTCCAAGTTGGGCAATGTAAATCAACTAGTTTTATGATCCTGTAGCGAATTTGCGCGCCACATTCGCTCAGCGCGAACACAGCGCGGATGGCACGGCGCACAAGGGAAAGTCGGATGACATACGAGCCATTATCTCGCACGACCTGACGTGTGGTTCACTATCGACGCTATCATGATAAGGGGACTGGGGGAGAGACACACGTGGCCTATTGGCGTGCGATGTCACGAAGTCGGGAGGACGATTACCCGCGCGGTACAGATGTCGGTCGTCGGTGAGTCAAATAGACGGATAGCGTTCGAGCGCAATTTTCGGGAGTCGACTCAGGGCCCTCACTAAGGTCTTCTCTATCCGTACTCCCTCCTTTCGCCATGTCATCGCTGGCGCGTCGCTCACCCCTCGACAAATACCTCGCCTGGATTGCGCGCGTAGACATCCCGGATGATGTTGATGGGTTGAAAGCATTGACAACCAAGTTCCAAGCGGTATCTGTGAGTTCGCATAACTGGTCTGACGTGCAGACAGCTGATCATGGTCAGAATGAGTACACCGCCAATCGCGGCAGATCAACGCCCGCAGAGGACACCGCGAGGGTGAACGAAGCTACAGACCGCGTGTGGACCGCGATGGAAGCCAAGGGCACGCCAGAGTTCCACGCTTGGAGAACTAGCACATATCCATGGATGACCAGGGCAATGGAGAAACGGAAATTGAAGGTAGTCTCCTGCGACACGAATCCAATCGTGCATCCTGGTTGAAATTGATTGTCAGAGAGCCGCGGAAAAGCGCTTGGGGGAATCAGGGATGACCGCTACCAACAGCATCTCCGTCGCGCTCGGTGATGACGTGTCTTCGTTGGACGCCAAAAAGAGTGCTGTCGGAGACAGGGTGGCCATCCCGGGCGGAGATCCTTCGATGTCCGCCACTCCTCGACCTATGGGAACATTGTCGGGCAAGCGCAAGGCTTCCAACGTGAATCTGGACGATAGGCCGCAGCAGACTGTGGAGGGCTCGTATGACGTACGTCGGAAATCCCGGGAAATGCAACATTGGTTCTGACATCAGGAAAAACCTACTTGGCTTGGCAAGATATATAAATACTTGACAAGCCACGTGGAGTAGTTCTTAAGTCATACAGTACCTAAATAACTTGGTCAGGTGGAATGTTAGCTTGTGATACATGTAAAAGAGTACCGTTCTTGTACTAATGTATAGTAACACATGTAATGTTCGTTTGAAAGAACATTACAGCTTGTTGCTACTCCAAGAATACTTCCCAAGACACTTATCTTTCCGTTGAACTTCAATTCAAGCAGTTGTCAGTATCCCAAGTGACAATGCACAATGACACAATTGGATTCATTGAACTGTAGTAAGTAGCTTCACAGTTGTATCTACTGTATACTCTGAGTACTAGGGAGTTGTCATTCTATCTACCGGCTTGCCCAGCGCCATTTGCTAACCACCTAGTCGTCCAGCGACCGAACGGCCATCAACAACCACGTACACGTGCTAAGACGAGCTGCCGTGCGGCTAGACGCGTCCGGCGCTGTCGAGTCGCGGAGCATTCCCGTCTGGTGCGAATATGCGTTCATGGATACGTGAGGTGAGGTCTATTTTGATGATAAAAAATGCGTTGCTGACCTAATTCGTCTACCGCGTTATCAACTGGTCGCCGCCCGCAATCGACGTTGTTCCGAAGGACGTACGGAGGACGAGGAGCATGACGAGAGTTGACGGGCAGTGGGGCGGGTGGTATGCTCGATGAGCTCGCGGCCGAGAGTGCGCTGGGGAGCGGATGCCGTGCACGCGGATGTCTATTGCAGTCCCGGACGAGAGACTTTGTCTCACTTCATGGCAGACGACCACCTACATGTCCTGACGCTTGGGTCCCATCCGAAGGAATTCAATCAGCTTCAATTCACTACGCACGGTTTAGCTCCGCGGTACCTGGGCATACGAGAACTGCTTCCGCATCGCCAGCTCGCTGAGACCCGGGCGAGTACCCCGAGTACGCGGTGTAGAGTCGCCCTAGACAGACAGTCTGAGTCAGTCAGGATCCCGACGACAACGTAGTCGTACCTGGCGGCCCAGCGCCCACACCACCCGCTGACCGTCGGCCAGGTCGGCGTGCGTATCGCCAAGGCCGCAGCCCGATGATTCTCCTGCGCGCGGTCCAGGGGTCGCGGGCGCGACCCGGAGCGGAAAGGCCTCGTTGGTGAACGTTTACCTCCCCGATCGTGAGCTTCCGGACGGCACTGCGAGCGGTGGCGCGAGAGCACGCATATACCCGTCAGAAGGAAGAGATTTGCTTGACTAGGGACGTCGGAGAGAGCGATCGGTCGGTGCGGGTGGAACGGCGATGACTGTAGTTGGATTAGCCCGGTTTTGCAGTCAGCGACCGAGCTGTTGATCAGAGAGAGGTGGAGGAAAAGACTTGGGAGGAGAACGCAGAGATGTTCGGACGTGGGCGGCAAGATGGGAGTAGACGACAAAGTCCACTGGCGTCGACGTTCGCTCGCTCGCCTGCTCGATAGTGCAGTTCAATGTATTCCAATAAGTAGCGCACTCAAAAGATCACACAAGTGAAAGGAATTGCAGTGTTTTAGCTTCATTATATTTTCGTGAGCGCGTTAACACTACGGCCAGCCTATGTTCACCTATATAACGGAAGACGCAAGACCCTATAGTGGAGAGCCCTAAGCTGCCATGTACAACTATAGATAAGGTACTTTGTATGGTATTGATACAGTGCATGCAAATATCGTGGACAGGTAATAGGAGACGAACATGCGTAACAAGGTTGGAGACAATGCACAAATGAAGAGTTCGCGGCAGCAGAGGCATGAGAGCGGGCGGGGCAATGCGAGAGCGACGAAGAAGAGAAACGCGCCACGAACCGGATGCAAGAGGTCCTATGCGAGAGCACGGTGTCCGATATAATGAGCGACGACGGCCGCCCGCGCGAGCAACGACGCGGCGGCCGGTTGGAGGAAAGCAAGCATGGGAAATAGAGATATCATGGCGCGCGACGGGCCTACCACACGCACGGCGTCGCGTGGGCGTACCAGTCCTGGCCCTTTGCCTTCTTCGTCGCCGAGGCGCGGTCGGTCGATATGGCGTCGGGTATTGAAGGCGAGCCCTTCTCAGGAAAAGAGTCGAACGTGTTCGACCTCGACAGCGACCGGCCCGTTTGCTTCTGCATCGGCGGCGGCACGACGGCGGCGACGGACTCTTGCTCGATGGCGTGGGGCGTCCCGTGGGTGCTGTGCGAGGCGATGCGGATGTTCGCGTCGACGAAACCCGGTGGCGTCGACGGCGATGCGGACGATGCCGGGCTCGTCGAAGTCGAGTACGACTGTTCGGGCGTGTCGGGCGTGTCGGGGCTCGTGGGCGGACTTGGGTACGCCGTGCTGGCGTCGACAGGCATGGGGGTGAGCTTCGGTGGCGACGTCGAAGGACGCGCGGCGAAGCTCGGGGTGGTGGTCGACGTGGCACCATACGCCGTATGGCGTCGTCGACGGTACTGGTGTCGGCGCAGGTGAGGGGAGCACGTACGTGGGGTATGGCCCTTGGCCCTTGAAGTCCCTCCGCACCTTCGCCTCGCATTCCTTCAGCACTGCCGGTCCCTGGCCGTCGATGCTTCATGATCATGACTTGTTCGAGTAGGTATCGTCAAAGATGACTGGAACGCGCCCGACGATCCGCCGACGATCCACGGCGGGAAGCTGCGCTGTTAGGCGTTGGAGGAGGTAGAGGGCTGCGAACGTCACCGAGGTGTGCAGTCACATTCTATGGAGGGTGTGGGCGAGAAACACAGCGAGAGGCGGCTGTCGTCGCAGGACAGGCTACCACACGCACGGCGTCGCGTGGGCGTACCAGTCCTGGCCCTTCGTCTTCTTCGTCGCCGAGGCGCGGTCGGTCGATATGGCGTCGGATATTGAGGGCGAGCCCTTGGCGGGAAACGAGTCGAAGGTGTTCGACCTCGACAGCGACCGGCCCGTTTGCTTCTGCATCGGCGGCGGCACCGCGGCGGCGACGGACTCTTGCTCGATGGCGTGGGGCGTCCCGTGGGTGCTGTGCGAGGCGATGCGGATGTTCGCGTCGACGAAACCCGGTGGCGTCGACGGCGATGCGGACGATGCCGGACTCGTCGAGGTCAAGTACGACTGCTCGGGCGTGTCAAGTGTGTCGGGGCTCGCGGGCGGACTTGGGTACGCCGTGCTGGCGTCGACAGGCATGGGGGTGGGCTTCGGTGGTGACGTCGACGGACGCACCGCGAAGCTCGGGGTGATGGCCGACGTGGTGCCGTATGGCGTGTCGACAGTACTGGTGTCAGCGCAGGCGAGGGGAGCACGTACGTGGGGTATGGCCCTTGGCCCTTGAAGTCCCTCCGCACCTTCGCCTCGAACTCCTTCAACGCTGCTGGCTCAATGTTGAGTTGCCACTCGAGGTACGAACACATCTCGCGCTCCATTTGGTTGATTTTGCGGAGGGCAAACATACCCTGGCCGTCGACGGTCCACGATTTGTTGGAATAGGTCTCGTCGCAGATAACCTTGGACGCGATCATGAAGGCCGAGATGAAGAGACGGTGGCCCGACGAGCCGCGGGCGGCGGGGAACCGCGCTTTTAGGCGTTGTAGGAGGTAGAGGGCGGCGAATGTCACCGAGGTGTGCAGTCGCATTCTATGGTGGGCGTAGGCGATAAACAATGCGAGGGGCGGCGACGGTGCTGGCGGATTGGCGGTGGATAACGGAGGGAGGTCGGGGCACGCAAACAAATGCGTCACGAACCTCGCGCAGAGCTTGGCGGTCTCTTCGTGGCCGTAGTACGGGTCAGGCTGGAGGAGTACTGTTAGTGTTCGGTTAGGTTGCTACGTCAGAAGGGTTACTCACAATGCCATGGTGCGCGCTATGCCCGCTGGTTCCACTAGACGGCGCTGGCGGCGGTCTTGAGGTAATCTTGCTCGCTCTCCGGAAAGGCGAGGGGTGGCGGGCGGCAGAGGGACCTGAGACAGCAGCCATGATGGGATAGTAACAGAGCGTCGAGACGGAGCCACAGAGAGGCGCGGTGGCGGTGGGCGACAAATGGTGGCGGCGGAGGGAGACTGGAGGGGATATAAGTCAGCACGCTCGGGGTATGGCGACGCAGAAGCCTCGGAAGGGGTCAAGCAAGCGGGCGTGCGTACAGCTGACGCATGGGCGACAGAAGGCCCGCTGGGAAGAGGCGAGTCACGAACCTCGCGCAGAGCAAGTTGATGCGCAGGTGGACGCGCGGGGCGAGTGGACACATGATCAGGCGGAGGGAGAAGTGGACGGACGGATGACCGGGCGGATAAATGACCGGGCGGACGAACGGACGGGAGTTCAATATAGCTCGGTATTCCGATGCATGAGTACCAGAGTAGTCCAAGTGTTTGACGGTTGTAGTACTTAATGATCTTGTAGTGTACAACGCAATCATTATTCGTAAGGCTACCATATTGTCTGATACGAGTATTTACTACTCCAGTTGTTCAATAGAAACTTACTGGCCTTGTCAAGTACCGTATCCGAGCTCCAGTCTTGTGGTACTTGTGCAGGTAAGTCGATGGATGTAGGCTTTGGAAACTTCGGAATCAATTGACAAGACTGACGGATCGTTCTCAAAGGCACGATCTCCCCCGCTGAAGTCCCGTCTGCTCTCAGCGGCATCTTCTGGACATCGTACATCATGTGTACGGGGTCCGCTGAGGCCGGGAGCTTAGCGAACCATTCGACGTAAGCCAACGGACCTTCGTGAGCCCATTCCTCCGGTGCCTGCATCTCCGCCATCATCCCATGCTGGCGTATCTTCTGAGGTAAGCGGAAGATCACCTTCACCCTCCCAATTCTCGTACCTAGTCCCAGTCAGTAGTGTGTAAGTATGAAATGTAAGCATGAATACGTATTCTGAACTCACCTTGGAGCCCCGTTGCCTCCGCCTCGTCGCCTTGTAAAACCACTACGGTGTCGAACCTTGCTGCGTCTGTTCCGCAAGCCGGTTTGGCCTTGACAGCGTCGCGTTCTGGCTGAGTGTCGGTGAGTGGAATTGTTGTGAATTTGAAGTTGTGGAATACGTCGAGACGGGTGAATGGTAGGTATGAACTTGCCATGTCCAGTTCCTTAGGCGTAAGTCGACGGCCGAGTTTGAGCGAATATATATATTGATTCAGGGCTTTGGTGAACCCGCGAGCGTGGTGTCTGTCGGCGATCGACTGAATGGGTTGCTGGACGACAGATGGATGCTTGGGCATCATGAGACCGGTTCTGGGTCGGTGCGAGTGGGCTTCTGGAGCGACACCAGAGTCGTCGGTGTTGCCAGAGTCCTCTCGAAGCCTCTGGCGAAGCGTTTCGAACATCGATATCTTCTCCTGGCGGTCCAACCACTTGACCATCTGAGGGCGTGCGTCGCGATGATTGGAAGCTCGCCACGCCTTCTTCGCACAGTCGATGTGCAGCCGTTCGAACATTTCGGTATTGTAGTTGTCCGTCGTCCCGAGGTTTCGAATAGAGTCGATGTAGTGATGGAGTGAATGGAATTTGGGGATGTCGAGGTGCTCACGGATGCCGAGGGTCTTCAAGATCGATTTGTGCTTGTGGTAAGTCTTCAATGCGTTGTCCATGTACGACAGGGTCGTCTCGTCGTGAGTTGGATACTGCGCGAGATAAATGAAATCGAGGAGCGCGCGGAAGGTGTGGATGATGGCGCTAGGGACACGACCTACAAGACACCCCAAAAGGATACGAGCCATGTCTTTGCGCTCGCTCCCGGACACCTGTGAAAGTGCGGAAATTCCGTTCTTGAAGTGCCGGGTTCCGTACGCGGGCGGAAGACATCGAATGCGTGCGTCGAGTTCCTTCTCGTCCATGACCTCGCCGCACCATTCGACGACATGCTTGAAGACTCCCTGGTAGAGCTGGTGGAGGACGTCGGGCGTGATGCACATGTGTATGTCGGTGAACGGTAGGTCTTTCCAGAAGGGCTCGACGACGTAGCCAGAGACGTTAAACTCCTTGCACGCATTGAAGAACGGCGTCGAGCCCTTCGTCCCTTTCGCCTGCGCCTTGCGTAACACATCCAGCGTCCACAGCTGTCTACGTGGAGTTCGCGGTGAGTCTTCCCCAAGACCCGACTCCGGGCACTGGCACACGCTACACGTCCCGTACTTGGTGCAAGTGACCAAGCACTGTTCGGGGTAGTCTGCGACGTACGACGCAAGAACTGGGTGTACGCGGCGAACCTTTCCGTCACCTCCTGTAACGTCGATTCCTTTCTTCCCCGCCTCGATCAAAGGCTTGAGTATCATCTTGACAGACGAGTGGAAGAGCTGCTGCACCAGAGCGCGGTGCTTGCGCTCGGTGAGCCCAGTTGAGTCCACTTTGTCTACGGACAAGTAACCGATCAGTACACAAGCGTGTTCCGAGGGCTTACGTCGCAGGGCCTTCGGAATGTTGCCGAGAGTCAGATAGACAGGGTAAGCCGATTTATTGCCTGAGAACTGCGTGAGTTGAGTTTTATCCGTCGAGATGATGACCGGTGCCAACGCTGCGCCAGTCGGGAGGAGACTCTGTATTCAAGGTAATGTTGGTCATCGTCTTTGACTAATCAAAATGCGACTCACCTGTACCGCGTGCCACCACTTCCCCGTCCACATCTCTGAATAAATACGGTTCTTCTTCGACGTGTCAGAGAACATCCAGCTCGGCCGGTAAACGATATGGTCGGCGTGAGCGGGATTTCCAAGTAGAGCCTTGATGGCTTCGATTATGTCGCGGAACTGCAAGAGGTGCCGTTCGCCTGGCCGATCCTTGAACGATAACCATCGTTCCTTCCACCGCGCTCGCTCCGGTAGGGAGTCAACCTTTTGAAGGAGAGCTCTCGTGTTATGGTAAGACAACCCGAGTTTCTCCTTCACCTGGGTACTCAGTCAGACTCTGGAGTTCGCACAGATCGCAACAAACGCACCGAAGGTATTTTAAGGAAACGGTCTACAGCACCCTGACTAATACCCTCTTTGACGCACCAGGACGCTATCTCCCAGTCCGTTTCGGATTCGAACGGCTCCCACAGCAATCTAGGAGACTCGTTTTCATCTACGGTAAGCAAGCGTGTCAATGTTTGATTAGCAGCTCTGCAATCAGTACTCACCTGTGTCTCCTTGCCTCTCCGAGTCCTTCTTTTTCCTCTTTGCAAGATGGTGGCGCCACGCCTCTTGAACGGTCTGTCCATCGCCTATGACCTTTCCGGCTTTCTCATCTACTACTTCCACTCTTGCGTCATCGTCATCGTCCAGTGCGATGGCCGTGCGTCGCGCGGGTGCGGAAGAGGACTCCCCAGTGGGTGCTGCGCGACTCGGGCCGGCTGTAGGGACGAATATGAGGTCTTGCGCTTCATCCTCGTCCTCGTCCTCATCTTCGCTCCGTTCTTCCGGCTCAAACACTGCGTCTGATTGAACGAATGACGGTCCAGTGAGATCGTTATCGCGTTCATCCAGACCTTCACCTTCACCGTCACCATCCGGTTTCCCGCCGTCCTGAACAACCCCACTTGATGTGCTAGCTTCCGGAGCAGGCGATCGAGGACGTCTTTCAGAAGGTCAGTGACAGTTCTGGAAGGTAATTTTTAATATGTACTCGCCTCCGATTAGCACCCGCCTTCGGCTTCACCGTTGCACCGCGCTTTGCCCTACGGCCAACGCCCTCCTCATCCTCACTTCCAGAGTCCTCCGAATCAACGAAGATTTCACGTAGTTTCCCCTTCTTGTACCATGCGCACTGGCGGCTGGTCGACTGGTGAGCCATTAGGCCTTGCGTAGTGTCGAAGTAACCGTAGCACGCCTCGCAGGTTTGCGCGAACAGGTCCTCCAAGCATCGCGATCTCTTGCCCATGGCCTACTGACCGTGGTAAATCCGAGAACTGCACAATATCAGGTTGTACCTCCACTCACCTGTGTTCGCACTGACCTGCTTCGTTTTGCTGTTGAGAGTGCGTTCTAAGGTGAGTTTTTTTGGGTTCAGAAGGGTGCCGTAATATGCAGGCAGAACTGCGGCGTTTTAACGCCAGGGCGAGCGTCTTACGTCGCTCAGGGTCAGGCATGCTTGCCTCCAAGCACAACGTTCTTGACCCTCCGCCTGCTGTTTCTCTGTAAGTGTGAATCACCTCCGCAGACCGTTCTGTCCTGGTGCGTGTCTGATCTGTTAAACTCACCGTGCGCATACCGTGCGCATACTCATCAACTGATACCGCGCTGGAAAGGTTTTCAGCCTCTGCTGCGTGCCTAACGCGAGCACGACTGTGCTGGATCCTCTACACTGAGGTTGCAGGTGAGCACACAGATAACATCGTGATTCACAGAACATACGGTGTGCAATAGTGCTCTTACTTTCACCGGTACGTGCATTCGATCCACTATTGACTTGAAGGGCCTTCCTTATTGGGATGATTGCGGCGACGCCGCAATCATCCCCAATAAGGAAAATACGCGCACCGGCCGCATACTCTGTGAGCAGTGCGTGCGTTGTAAGGACTGTTATGTGCGAGCATAGATTGGGCTTCCACCTTTGCCGAGATGGGGGGTGCGCGCAGCTGTCAGTTGCACACGAGCAGCACTGGCGCAACTGAGGTGATAAGCCGGACAAATCGCCGTCCTTGGCAGAGCCAACAAGGAGGCAGCGGTATACGGAACGCACGCGTGGACGTATCGTCATTGGACGATACACGGTCTAATTGCGAGGCTTCTTGCCGACTTCCTCGAGCTCGTGTTCAATACGAAGCCGGCATTCTATGAGGGACTGGGCTGCCGGCCTTGGTGGCTAGATTCTAGTGGCGCCCATGGGAATATTGTCGGTGTCCCATCCCGAATCCCGTGTGTCACATAACACGCCTTCTTCCTGTCAGTCCCCTCATACTCACGATTCACCAATGTCCTCTTTACGCTACGTTCAGGGTAGCGGTCCCCACATCGCCTCTCCCGGTGTTGCATCCGGTTCAGACGACGACCACGTCACTGACTACAATCTCTCCCCCAGCTTACAGACAAAGCCTCTCCCTACGGGTACCCACTTCTATACTTGGCCAGCAGACTCGGAAGGTAAGTACTGAACTCCTTATCGGAACGCATCACCGTGATCTCACGTACCGCCGTCAGCGCCCCTCTCCTCTCCGCCCTCCTCAGCGAGCGGCCTGACGTTCTCCGACCCGGTGATCGGCCCCGAGCACGAAGGTAACGAGCCCTACAACGAGATACAAGACCTGAGCGACCAGATCAAGCACTGGACCCTTGCCGACAAGATCTTTGGCGACCTCCAGGACGAACCAGATTTTCCTCGACTCTACGACACCTACGTTGTGCGCGAGAATATCAGCCCCGAAGATTGGCAGGCCACGAAGATTTACATCGAGACGCACCCTCTGCTTCTACGCTGTGTATCGTAAGTTCAATGCTTACATTAATATATGGCTCATCCGACTGACACGACTGACAATTGCCTGCAGTTTTGTCTACGACCCCGAGATGGGAAAACTCAAGGTCCACTCTCCGTCGGGCCTGCACCAAAGCGTAAACGATTCAGTGCTCGGTCAGCTTTCCGGCAACATCCAAGTCAAACGACCCCAAGCGATCACCATGGACCTCGAGCGCGGCCTCATCACCGACAACGTAGCGCATACGCCTGACATCGTGGTGAGCGTCGTCACGCGCAAGCGCCTTCGTGAAGGCGACATTTTCATGTCGCGCGACGTGTCCGTCAACGAGACATCCTTCACGCAAAGCGAGGACGACATGCTTAGTCAGGTGAGTTAAGAGTTACATCCCATCCGCATCAAGCATTATCTAATCGAACTCATAGCTCCTCGTTGCCATGAAGAAAGAACCCGACGCTGACCAGAGCCCTCTGCTCTTCACCGGCATCGACATCGAACGTCTGCCCTTCATCGATCCCGATCCGAATAGCCCAGACGCTGTGCCGGACGACGGCGGTTTCATTCGCGGGGCCGGAGGTGCCAACGACATCTTGTCGACTGGCTGGAAGCGAGGCGACCGCGTAATCGTTCCGAGACTCAGGGCAAAATGGTTTGTCTTCCTCCCGGAGGATGAAGAGCAACTCGAGTACGGCCTAACCCATCATCACGATTCTCACGACTGGACCGTGTGGGGTTTAGCTGTGGTGAGTGGTACCTCCTTTTTTACGCGCCTTTTAGCTCATAGACACCGTCAGCAAATCCAAGAAGAGTACGAAGCGGGATCGGAGGCTGAGCAGTCGCTGCAACAGGTGCTCCGTCGGTGGGTAAAGGCCACCATCAGCATACGCGAGGCAGCGCACAGCCAGAGGATACGCGCGCTGCTCAGCGAGGCTGATAAGACATTGGCCGATGACGTCATCAAAGAATTGGAAGGACTCCTCCTGAACCCCCCCGACTTCACTGAGCCTCCCGTTCCCAACCCCATACCTTTCTTCATAGAAGACATCTGGGGCGGCGCTCGGCAGAAGGCCCACGACGATGTGAGCCGCCACATGTATCGCGCCGACAACAATCGTAAACCGCGAACAAAGTCCATGGAAAACGAGGAATGCCTCCAAATCCTCAACAGCCTCAAGCGCGTGAAGGCCCATCATGAGCAGGACGGGGACACCGACGTGCTCAAGAACTTTCGAAAGAGACAACGCATAAACACTCCTCCGCGAAACCTGTCGCCCCCTCCCCCGCGTCGTGTACCAGGCCGCTTGAAGGCTGAAAATTTTGTGGACGAGTCAACGGACGATGAAGAACCGAAAGTGCGCAGCGGAGGCTCGGCGAGGTCGTTTGAGCTGCCGAGACCTCTCGCCGACACCAACATTTACTCGCTGGCCACCGGTCGTACTCTGAGGAGCGAGGCGAAGAGGGATTAGGCGTTAGATGCGGAGTCAGGAGAAGGACGGTTGTTGTCTACATATCTATCGGTTGTGCCCTCATTCTCTCACGTCGCTTTGACATCGTCCCATCGTTTTCCGTCTTCCATCGCTTTCCATCGCTGTGTGTAGTATATGTCGTGTTCTGTCGCTTGTACCATCCTATCGTCTCAGTTTGTGTTGAGCTGTCTATATAATTGTGTGGTTCATTCTGAATGATGTTCAAATCAAATACTGCATTCATTCGGCCCTCACGAGTGTTGGGCGCCTCTCGTCAGTATCGCTACACCGAGCATCTAGTATTAGCTCACTGCTTTTTTTCTCAGCTCACATCTACTTGGATTATGGCCGGTTTCAACAGCGACAATTGTTGGATCACTATTGACGAACAGAATTGTTTGATCCAGCTGCTGAGCAACACTACGCATCTCAACCAAGTCTTGGCAGGCTTGCTGGCACGATTACAAGGCGTTTCGAATGTTCCCAAGAACCCTCCGATTGAGACAGGTACTTATAACAATTGACTTCGATGCAGCGTCACTGATCAACGTCTCATTGTACAGTGGACCCTGGCAGCGGAACGTCCGCTGGGTCTTCTCGGTCTTCAGTGCCGACTCAACGCCAGACTCGCGCGCAAACTCGACGGCTATGGAATGAAGTGCAGCATGGTAACACCGCAGACAATGGGGCCGGTGAGCTTAATCTTTTCTTTATTAGCGGTCCAGTATTTGATGCCAGTACTCTGAAAAGTGACCACTCAGGCCGACGATACCTCGGGCCCCGGCACGGTTGGACCAACCAGGCAGACGCGGTCACGCCATAGAGTTACTCAACCACCGTATGCTTGCCACAAAAGCAATCCAGTCCCCCGATCCTCTCATCGCCGAGATGTCCTACGCCGACGGTCCCGCTCGCCGTGCTGGCGCGGAGGTTTCAACTTCTCTCATGCGGGCGCCGCGAATCTGGTATGGGAATCAGACCAACTAACGGCACCGTCACAGTCCTCGAAGGCCACTGTTCACAATTTCTTCACGAAGCTCACAAGCAACCTGGCGGTTCAGGGCGTTGTGGACTGCTGTAAGTCCATGCACGTCGGCACTGTCTCAGTAATCGGTTCGCAAAGTTGTGCGGCCCGAGCAGACGATTCTTTGACCAACCTCACCAAACGATGCGCAATGGCTTTGAAAGACGACGCAACCTCCGACTTTGTAGTCATGTTGCGACTCATCCAGCTTGCATGCCGCTGTAGCGAGTACGTACTATGCCCTTCTGTTTCTTTGTTGATGAGCTTACCAATGTCCTTTTGCAAGCTTGAGACAGGCTGAACCCGGCCTCACCAATACCGACATTTGGCAAGCGGAGCTGGAGGAAAAGAAGACCGTCGCGAAGAGAACATTCCTTGACTGGATTGCAATGGGTAGCAAATTTGCATTCGTGGCGGGAGGAGGTAAGTCCGGTAGAAACGTCTTAGATGAGTGCTAAACAAGAATGAATCGGCCAGGCTCAGTGTATCTACTAGTCATGATCGCCATCCAGAACCTCAGGGTTCCTTTGGGCGCGATTGATGGCCATTCCGCCCAGGACATAGGCAACATGCTACGATGGCCGGATGGTAAGCATCTTCAGCCTGAGAAGAGCGGTCGACTAATAAGCACACAGACTCACGGACGGGACGAATGGTGAAGGACACGGTGATCCCAACTGTATCACTCGTACAAAAGCACTACCCGACGATGTTTGAAGACCTATTCCCAATGTCTAAGACAGGCCGACCGACCTCTACCCTTGTCCTGGATCGCAACGATGTGTTTTTGACACTCTCAAGTTCAAGTAAGTCGCTATCCGAGCAGTGTAAGTTAACATTCATATGCTCACAACTCTTACAGTTCGTTCAAACTTGTTCCAAGGATGCATACTGCTTGGGAGCCTTGCAATCAAGCCGTCCTGGTCGATTCACCTGCCGTTGCAACGTCGTCAGTGCAAACCCTGCAACCGGTGGATGACAGACTGGATGGGCCACCATCACACTCTCCCCTTCCTCCTCTGTCTCCCTTATCATCTCTATCGTCTCTGTCTCCGGCGCAGACGCTACCATCTCCGCTCTCTCGTCATAGTAGTTGCGCCCCGGAACCTGTTCCATCGCCACACGGCCAACTCATTCTCACGTCCTATGACGCTCAAACCGACACAAACAGACGGTATCCCGCCCCCCGTGACAAGGAGCAGAACATAGCGTGGACAGAGAACGCGCGTTCACTCGCTAGCAAAGCGAGTGCACCAGTAAGTCTACAAGATTTCGACGCTCAGGTATAGTGTCCAACACAGATATTCCCTTGGACGTGGCTAACTGCAGAATATTTACCCAAGCTTCAAACTGCGTACACAGGCGGGGAGAGAGCCCATCCTGAGGCTTACATTCGCGTGCCAACGAACACGATAGTGTGCGTAACATTCTCGTGTTTGTTGTGCAATAACTCACCGTCTCTAGCAGGGATGTCCTAACCATTCGAGGCGTGGATCACTCGTTGGTTGCCAGCATCTGCACGTCGATGCCGGATACCATGAAACGGACTCTAATCGACCGTCTCCTTGCAAGCTTCAATTCAGACCCTTTCAAGACTGCAGACGCAAACTCAGCGACCGGCGAACGAACATTTGAAGCGATCCATTTCTCATGGTACAACCGTCACTGTACACAGGTATGTACCTCAGTGATCTGCAGCTGGTCGCTCGTGACAACTCTTCGACAGGGACATTCTGCGCCTGCGGACATCCCTCCCGCTCTGCTGAGCAGAGCGGGTTGTACTCAACCAACCATGGTCAATTTTTACCGTACATGTCGAGGGACATGGAAGACCACCAGACAGTCTACCAGTCCCTCAAAAGTGTCTTCGCAGACGTGTTCGGTTGGATAGATGACCAGGTAAGCAATGCAATCTTGAATCACAATGTGTGTGGGTAACGTATACGATTTTAGCTTCAAATGTTCTTGCCAGGGGAATACGAACGCTTGAAGCTACGGCCGCTATTCTACCTGGTAATAACGTCTCGGTGGTCAGCCCGTTCGTCGGACTAGTGGTCAACCTCAACGTTGTCACTCGAGCCCACAGAGACAGCAAAGATGACGGTGTATGCCTTGTCTTGCCAATTGGTGAATTTGACGGCGGTGAGTTGTGTCTTGTGGAGCCAGGCCTCATCATTCCACTTCGACACGGTGAATTTGCCGTCTTTCCTTCCTGCGACTTCACACATTTTAACATGCATTATACTGGCACTCGGCATCCATCGTTTTACAATCAGACCGGGAGATGTGTAAATGGACTGCAGACGATCGTAATGGCTGGGTTTCCAGCAATCACTTCAGATAGACACATTTTTGTAGTAATTCTAATACGTGGACTACTAATTCAACAATGAGTACTTGCAAAGACCACCGTCTTTCGCTGTGCCTCGCTCTTTCTGAATCTCTCATCTGCAACGCTTCAATGAAGGGCGCCAGGCGTGGTCTCGTGATCTGCAACTTGATTCGCTTCTTGTGTCCGTTTCTTATGTCTCATTTATCCTCTAATTTGTATCGTTTCTTCAGCTGTCCTCAACTCTCGTCCCTACGTCTCTCGCGCGGACAGCCTGCAAGACGCCTACCAGGTTGAGCGGAATTACCGTGCGCCCCGTCGCCAAATCGCCGCTGCCCCTCCCACGGCAAGCTCGGAAAAGCTGATACGGTCACGCCAACACGCGCGGCGAGGCTGCCAGAGGAAACACCACCCGGTTGACGCGTGCACAGGGACATCTAGACGCACTCAACGAACGCACTCAACGAACGCGCCCACGGCGGAGACGGGCAATCATGTGGAGGGCTGCGCTAGGAAAGCTCAAGTGCGAAAGGAAGCATGGTCGGATGGAGGCGCGAGGAGTAGCAAACAGAGTAAGCACTCCGGTTCATTACCCTCTACCGTCACCCGTACCCTCGCGTTATGCGCCCCCGCTCTCGTACATTGTGCACCGCGAAGTTGCTATATGCCGACCGACAGACTTCCCAGCGCGAACGCGAGCTGCAGCTCAGCCTCTCCTCGTATCCTCACCTCAGCGCCTTCCCTGCTGGTCCGTGCCCCCGTGCATACCTCACCTAACCTTTACGCCCATGTCCGGCACTGCCGCCGGTACCAGCAGCAAGTGCAGCAAGACTTGCGCCACTGGACTCGCTGGCTGGAATCACTGGCGAGACTGTCCGCGCCTCGCATGACACTGCCAGTCTCGGCGGACCGCCACGAGAGCATCCAGGCGCAGTCAATCATCTCTTCTCTGTGGGCCTCCCTGGCGATCTAACTCAACAGGGGTCTGCGGAAGATGCTCGGCTGCTCCCCACCTCTGGACCGTTCACGCTACACCACCCGCCGACCCGACTGCCTTCCCAAATGCACTCTCCATTTGACAACTCACTTGGCTGCTACGAACATCTGTCCTGTCTGCTCGTGATCGCGCTAGCAATCCCGATCTCTCAACTGCCCGTAATCGTCATCCCTCGTGCGCCGTCAGCCCGTCCCAGATAGCTATTTGCGCGTGCCATTCGGTAAGTTGGCAACAGCCTGCGCCCTCTCGCTGCGATCGATCGACGGAGATCAGCTGCTGCTCGACGAGCATGAGCGACCGTGCCTAATCGGCGGGTCTGATCACTCACTCACTTTGGCTCACTCAGACACACTGTGGCCACCGCCTTGCCTTCGCTCGCCCACGCGTCCGTGCGGATTGCCACGCCTCCGTGCGGATTGCCGCGGAACCATTGTGCGCCGGTGCTAGTCCTGTTGCCTACTCGGCGGGTCTGATTGCTCCCTCACTTTGGCTCACTCAGACGCACTGTGGCCTCCGCCTTGCCTTCGCTCGCCCACGCCTCCGTGCGGATTGCCGCGGAAGCATTGTGCGCCCGTGCGCCGGTGAGTGGTCCGGTTGCCGTGTCTTAACGCGTAGCGAACACAATAGGTAAGGCCATCATTGACTGCTGGTGGTGGGCGGATGATAGCTTGTACAGTAGCAGAAAATAGTGTAGTTGATCGTCGGAAGAATATGCTTGCATTATGCTTGTGTTCGTGGTGCCTCAAGATTACTTCATCGTTCCGTTCCAGCGAATGGTTGCGGCAAATGAATTCTTAAATCTTGAGGTAAGTAAGGTTCTTGAAGCTGGGACCTCGCAGCCTGCACGTCAAGTTTCGTAAGGCTTACGTAGATCAACTGTGTAGTTTCTATTCAGCGCTAACAACACCGCGTCTCCGAAGGCTTCCAGAACTTCAACCAGCCGCGAATCTCATGTGCTCATGCCTGCGCAGTGCGGTCCCATGCTCGTGCCCTTGGCTTCCATCATCCTCCGACCAGGCTCGCACTACTGCTACGACCAGCGGAAGACTTCCAGAACCTCATCCCGCGGTGAGTCAGAGTCCGCTCACACGGTGCGTCAGAGTCCGCTCACACGGTGCGTTATCTGATACCTATTTTCACCGTTCAACACTCAGCTCTCGCTCCCAGTGAATGTACTGCACCTCTGAATGGCTACCCGACAGTCTCTCCGCAATGCCGCACGCCAGTCTGGCGGCCAGCCGACCACGAAGGCTAAGACTGGTCGGGCTGCTGCCAAGTCAGCGCCGGCTGCTAAGAAGGCAACCGCCACGAAAGCCTTATCGAAGGGTGCCGCGGGCTCCAAGCGCAGCAGGCTGGAAACACCAGAGAGAGATGGCCAGACCTCTCAGCCCGACGTTCTGTCCCCGTCCGAGAAGCGGACGTATGACAGGCTGAAAGCGAAGATGGAGCAGGCCGAGAAGCAGGCGGCCGCCGAACGTCGAGCCAGTGAGTGCCCAATTCACATGGGTTGGGATGGACGAAACAGAACTAATGGCTGAACTGACGATAGACATTCATAAAACAAGCACCGCTATGTTGCTCGCTGAGAATGCGTCTGGCGGAGAGGACGACGAGGACGAGGATGAGCAACCGAGGCGTAAGAAGCTGAAGAAGAACAAGGAGATCAGGTCCAGCGATGATGAAGAACAGGACGAGCTTGTCGAAGAGGAGGAGGAGGAGGCAATGCAAGTGGAGCCCGAGGAGACAGAGATGGACGCTGCGCCTCCGCGCGGTGAGTCCGATACTAGCTGACATCTCCGGCAACTACTAATGCAGCTCGATCGCAAGCCAAACCTAAACCAAGGCCTGCGTATGGCAAGAAATCGACGGACAAACCTGAGGTTGAGGATGATCCAGACGACGGGACGCGGCCGACGCTCGACCCAGACGAGCGTAGCCTTGCGAGGGCTCTCGGTACGTGGGTATTCCGTTAGACGGTCAGCTAATCTGTGACTCATATCGTAGGTGAGAATCGCTCGTCCTCGGCGAAGGGAAACAAAGCTTCAAAGGCGAAGCAGCGGAACAACCGGGATGACCGGGACAGTGCGTCCGATGACGGCGAAGAGCGTCGACCTGCTGTCACACAGCCGGCCAAAGGCAAGAAGGTGTTGCGCATGGACGCTGTCGTAATTGACTCACCTCCAAAAAGGGTCAAGGTGCGCATTGATCTCAGTAGATACTTATTTTGACGTAGATTATGCAGAACGTGGTCGACAAGAACAAGGGCAAGGGTACAACGATCGAGAAGAAGAAGAAGCCGAAGAAGCGGAGCGACTGGTTGGACACCGACACCGAGTCGGAGAACGAGACGGGGACAGAGGTGGACGAGGTGGAAGAAGACGACGAGCTCAGCAGTGACAGCGACGAGGTGTCGGAGGAAAGCAGCGAGGACGAAGGGACGGACGAGGACAGTGGGGATGACGTGATAGTAAGTCAACTGTCCCAAGTCCATCGCTCTAACCGCCATGTTCTGCAGGTTGTCAAGGCCCCTAAGGGCAAGACCCAGCGTTCCAAAGGCAAGGGAGGCAGACGCAGCCGCGGCAGCGCGGACAGGCCAAAGTCTGAAGGTCGTCGCCGTGCGCAGGCCAGGGACATCCCGGAGACCCTCAGGCCGGTCGTTACGTGCTCACAGATGTATCTCCGCCTCCGCCTCTCCCTCAATCATGCATGGACCGCCGAGAAGATGCAGAATAGCAGCCAGCTCCCCGACAAACACAGGGTCATCAAGAGAGCCCTGAGGGATGCTCGCAAACATCGCGCCGAGGACGGTAAGAAGATAGCGTACCTTGTCAGTGGGTTCAAGACCCTGAGAGCGAAAGGCAACAACAACCTTCGCAAGATGGTCGCCAGCGTTGTAAGTACGTCGGTTCAAATCACACCATACAATCTTAGTCTCTTTTTGCAGGTATGGACGGGCGCGTCTCAGCTCCGAAACGAGGTCAAGAAGAAGGCGAAGACCGTCGTCGACAACGCTTACGGCCTCGGCAGCCTCTCGACGCAGCGGAGAGTCGCGGCTGCAACGTTCCTCCTCAAGTCCAACACACAGGGCAAGTACTCGATGCAAAACTTCATTTTCGGCGACATCGACATCGCCTGGCAGTCGGACGAACCTCATGAGGTCGACATGAAGGTATGTCAGTAGCTAACTACTGTTGATGTGTGCACTTGAAGTGACCCACAGGCGAGCGTTGTGAACCGCAAGAAACCGTTCCAGCACAGGGCGCTGTCCGACGTCATTGTGCAGCACTGGTTCCACGGACACAGGGACACTGCGTCGGTCGCGGCGTACGATCGCTTCAGTGAGGTTCCCGACAATCTCATAGCCATCGTCTGCAACGCGGTAAGCGGTGTTCACCTTCGTGCGCAGTGCTGCCAATAATTGAACAATGTTTCCTAGATTGAGGCGGCGTTGGTGGACATAGCCACAGGGACTCATCAATTCTCTAACAAGCTGTACGCTCCTAAGTGAGTTATATCTCCGTCTAGCTGTGTTTATACCTGATGCGTGCATAGGTGGGGCAATGTCATGGGGATCTTGGATCAGTTCAAGCACAACGCACCGGCGGCATACCAGTTGCTGAAGGAGATGATCTGGACCAATGTCAGGTAAGTTTATATTCTGGCTACGGTCAATAAATGTGTATCTAACTGTTGCTCCAGTGCCCTAGTCGACGAACACAAAGCCCCGAAGAAGGACGCGCAAGATGATGACGACGCCGGTAGCAGCATTGGCGAGCAATTCATCGCTTGGAGTGATATCGAGGTCGGCGACACTACTGCGACAACAAAGGCTGCGAAGGCTGCCGCGAAGCCGTCGTCTTCGTCTGCGAAGGCCGCCACGAAGCCGTCGTCTTCGTCTGCGAAGGCCGCCACGAAGCCGTCGTCTTCGTCGTCGACAAGGCAGACCGGCAGTAAGTTTGTCAGATCAATTCATGAGTACCTAACAACAACACACATGTAGATCGTCGTGCAGCAGTTGAGCCGGAGATCGACGCTGAAGGTTCTGCTCCTCATGACGGTGAGTTCATCTGTACCTGAAATACAGGGCCAAACTGATCAACATTTGTGCGCTGATTTATCCAGAAGAAGGTCCCCAAGACCCCTCCGATGATGCGTGAGCCCCAGCATCTGCGTACCTCAACCAATGCCCATTTCCTCGGTGAGCATGCTTTGCATTCATTATTCTAGATTCAAGAACGTTGCCTGACCAGTCTTTAGAATATCTACTACTGGTACAACTGCATGGAACAGGGTTGGGGCTATCTATGTAGATCAGTGTTATGTCATCTGTCGCCGTGTCGCGCTCCGTCGTGCTTTGTATAATTTTTCGTCAAAGTGTAACAACTTCTCACCTGTTTAATGATAACGCGGTTTCAATTCCGATTGATTTGTATTGATTGTAAGAAGTACCACAAGACTCAAATGCTTTTGAAAGCCATGGGTACCCTGATATGTACCTACAAGGTCCATGCGTCCTGGCTAGCAAGCAGTGTCATATATGACATGCAAGGTCAGCAAGGCTTAGAATGTCTGCCTGCATCAACATACTGAAAGCACAAAGTAAATCTTATATTTAAGTACTGGCTGTCCTGTCCAAGCACATAAAGCAGAGACTTGTCTTGCCAAGAGTCGTGCTGTCTGCAAGCCATGACGGTCCTAATACACTTGTCAAGACAAGTGAGTTTTTCCTGATGGACCTGTAGAGGCTATCAGTGCGACAATTGTCACACAGCGCCACGCGAGGGGGGATGTCACGTCCCTCCTGGATCGTCTGCTTGCCAATGTTGTACAGATGAAAGGCTGAACTGTATGTGGAGTCTGGTAGCCCCGCGCGACGGGCCCCGCGAAGGTGAGCGCTCCTCCCAAGAGGTCCAATAGGCGTCAATGTCTAAGCTCGACGTGACCAGGGGGGGAAGGGGCCAGGCCAAACGTGGGCGCAAGGAGCCCCCGAACGTTTCTCATGTGTCAAACGAGAGCTTGAACCTAGCGACAACTCCCCTGCCTAGTTTTTCCGCGAACACCGCCCACATGCCCAACAGATCAACCCGGCTTTCCGCAGCCGCCCTCGACATCGAGAGTCAGCCGGCAGCTAAGACGACTGGATTTGCTGGCGGGCCCGGCCGCGATGGGGGGAGGAGACGTCTCTGTACTATGCAGCGAAGGAGGAATTGCGCCAAGTTGATGCGCGCATCGCGGTCCTTTCCTATGAACGGAAGTGCTTAGAGCAGTTCATCGCAGAGTTGGAGGATTTCGCGGGGACGACCGACATCTGAGACATGTAATGCACAATATGTATGTACCCCCGTGGACACAACAAGGATATTCTGCTTGATGAGCTGAATTGTGAGCCACCAAAAAAGGCCAAAGTGATGACCAGGAGGTAGGGGTCACGTAAGACGGCATGCTGTGGAGAAAAGGTATGCACCTCGTGTATCATCAACATCTACTGCGTGATCTCCTGTAGCGATCGCAAACCACTCTGACACAGAGACCTATGAGGATCGAAACTTGTCGGCTACGTCGCCCGACTGTGTGGACGTAGCATAGTGGTGTGTCTGTCGCGACCATGTCGCGATGGTGGTGTCCTGGCTGCGACTCCGACCTAAGTGAAACGGACATAAACGCTATTAACAGTAATAATCATATGTGGTACCAACATCTATCCGCTCGATGCCGTAGGTGATGGAGTGTGTGGATGTATCTCGCGGCGTCGATTGATAGCGTACCCATACCGAGATACTGGCGGTCGCGGCGGTCATTCGTTGCACAGATCTCCATACCTTAATAAGTGCTCATGTACAGACGGACACCAGCATTTTTTCCACCAGGACAACACTGATGCTGGTCAATCGAAGCGTGAGCAGAGTCGTTCCGACTGATAAGGTGTGGCAATGGGAGAGTGGCACATGTGAAGCTCTCCCATTCTGGGGAGATAGATTCCGCCACAAGTCGCCTCAGACAGGGAACATTGGAGCAGGGAGCAGCAGCTAGGAGCTAAGAACCCTTTCTGGACTTTCCATCCCGCCAAGGTGAACGCTTAAGACACTGAACATGTAACGGAGGTCGGCGACGGAGGCATAGTGGCCCACGCGATCACGGTGGTCATGGCTGAGCCATTTGAGTCGAGCAGGGTCGGAAGGAAGATGACTCTCTCGCCACAGTGGCGAAGTATTGATAGAGCATCAGAAGTCGGGATCGGGACAAGTAGCCATAAGCACGCCAGCGCGACAGCACAAGGGAAGCACGTCGGGTGGAGAGCTGGACAGAACCCCGACGGAATGCACGACGATAAAGGCCTTGGGTTCATCATCGCACTTTTTTCCGTGCTGCACAATCAATGTCGCGCACAAAAAGGCATCATGAAAGAGCTGGACGACGCTGCGGATGTCGTACATGCGACTGCACGACAAGAAAATCGCCTCAGAAAGACAAACAGCTCTCTCCAACCAGTTCAGTGGGAAACATGGGGATAGCAGGCGGAACCTCGGTAACGGAATGTCAAACCGTTGTCACTTAAGTTGACATCATCGACAAATAATTGTGCTCGGATTGCATCGACAGGGCATATGCGTAAGGGGCTACAGGCTCATTGGATTGCACACGAGTTTTATGACGCCCGAATGGGTTTGGGAACGTGTCTGTGAAATATCTAACGAGATACGCCTCCACTAATGAAGACTCATCGATGCCACCCACGACCCTCAAAGTGAGACAGTTGTCTCCCGTGCGACAGTAATGGAAACATGCAGGGAGCCACGGAGAACCTCTTCATTTCTATGCACGACGCTAGGATTTGGTGCTACCTTGCTACCTCCCGGAGGTGGATCGACCAACGCGACGTCCGCACACTAGAGAATCCCATAATGGCATCAATGTTGTACAAGGGCGAAGGGAAGGGTTCCATATGACGGACACCTGACTTGGAACACCCCGCGTCCCGACTACACCGGCATCGATCGCCAACGATACCGCAGCATGAACGGTGCAGCGCCGTTTGAAGGCGTATCGGGCTGGGCCTACGTCGCGACTTTGACGACTTTGACCGAGGGAGTGTGCGACAGGCTATAAACCGTTGCACCTCACTGCGGCAAGTACTGCCAAGCGCCACGGTTCGACGCTAAGCACGAGTCTGGTTGCACAGATGGGGATTGAACATGTCACCACTTCTGGTATTTATGAACGAAGGGGGCACGTACGTCGTCTCGGCGAAGGTCCTGCAGCCGTCGGAGACAAGGAGATTACTCGCATTCGATGACGATGCCTGGGCGCTAGATAACTCGGGCCGTCCCCGCCGGCCACAAGCCGCTTGTTGGAATCGTGGTCATCTGATCCGCGACAGGACGCGACGTGGAAAGGAAGCCGGACCCAAACAAGTTGGGAGGTAGTAGGGCCACTTCGACTTCGACTTCGCTATGAACCTACCAACGAAGACGACGCCCGCCGAGAAGCTCACCAATTTCCTCACTCGTGTTCCAGCACCCGATGACGATGAGGCATTGCGACGGTGGCTCGATCGTTTCAATCAAGAACTGGTGCGTATAGCATGAGGTGTCTCGCATGTTGAACGAATACTAAACCGAGCTGCGTAGATGCTGTACAAACACTCTACACGGAAGGATGTGAGAGATGACCACGTTTGGAAGAGCGTGGACATCGCCCTAGCGAACATCACGCACAGGATCTCCGGAGAACTGCGATTGTGGGTACTTGAGAACTTCCCGGAGCTGGCCCATGAGGTCAGAAGCCAGGAAGACGAACTTGGGCTGATATACGCTGCCGCCTTCGACGAGCTCTCCGTCAAGCGCCTCACAAACGCCTCGAAGAGACGGGATACAGAACGTCCTACCTCGCGAGAGGCGAGGCTTAGGCAAATCGGCCAGACTAGGTCGGAGTCTGTGACGGAGGCCGCACCAATGGATTCTCAAGTGAAAGTGGATGAGATGGTGAGCCGGGCATACGACGCATATGAGCGTAACCACAGGGCGAGTTTCAGTTCATTTACCCCGAAATAATGAGTCACTAATCCCCACGGACAGTGTGACCGTTGCTTCAAAAACTGGGGGAACATCCACTGTCACCTGGTAAAAGGGAGCACCACATGCGAGATGTGTCGTTTCTACAAGCGGCCATGTAGATGGGACGGCTACTCGTTGTCGGCCGGAGACTACAGGGGTGAGTCTCCATTACTCCGATGAATGATGCCGCGCCAGCTGAAGGGGTCGGCCGTTCCAGAGGACTCTCCGACAAAGCGTCCAGATGACGTGGAAATCGTGTCCATGGACGGCGGCGTCACAACGTGCGACGAGACCCCGGCGTCTCTTGACGTAGAGCGCAGCGGATCCTGGAGGAAGGCAGAGGGGATACATACGCGCCCCGAGGATAACGCCGCGCAGCATCGAGGGGCAGTGATCGTTCCCATCCATGAGCATAACACGGCCCACTATGACGAGGCTCTGGAGCGGCGCCGTTGCGCCACAATCAACGAAGTCACAAACCTCCGTCGAAGGATCGCAGAGCTGGAGGCGCAGGCCGACGTTGTCCGCGCGATTATGGCGCAAACGGGAGGGCCTTTCGACGCAGATGTGAGTTAGTGGTTGCAGTGGGCATGTCAGGCGTAACTGTATAGATACCATACGTCACATGGTGCACCCTATGTATCGAGAATCATATTGTGACAGGAATGCGACATGTCCAGCGACACCCATCCCGCCGCCTGTGAAGTCTGCGACGACGTTCCATATCACGTGGGGCCCCAACGGTAGCCGAGATCGTGGCCACAACGGCGTCTAATCCGCGGCATTGTTGCCCATAGAAGGCATGACATCCCCGATCCACGGTCCGCGACCGCGAACACTGTGGCTCCCACGACTTCATCCCTCTCTGCTCATTCTCACTTGACTAGTAACGACAAAATGTTGGGTCTTGGACTCCTAACGCCGACCGAACAGCTCATGAACTACCTCCGGGACAAGCCTGTACCTGAGCAAGGGGCAGCGCTCCACAAGTGGACGGTAGACTACAAGGATCTATACGTACGACTGTCTCACCGCCGGAAATACCATTGATTGGGAACTGAACTATCAACAGGACTCGTACTTTGCACATCGCGGGGATCATCCCAATGAGCCGCAGCCGGAGGCTCTAGTAGACGCTGCCAAGGAGGCAATGAGGCTGGTACATGCACGGGCGACACCGGGCTTCAAGCTGTGGCTGACTGAGCAGTTCCAAACGCCCTCGGTGCTAGACACCCGCGCTGGCACGCCAAAAAGAGCGGTAAGTGGTTCTTGTCCCAAAGACAAATGGACATGAACCTAAACCGTTCGGCGTGACAGCCACCCCAGGAAGGCGACGGCAAGGCGGACGTCAACAGGCTCGGGCTCCCTGCGATGCCAGTGATCACGGTGCCAGATGGGACACCTGCCAAGTTCGGCCCTCCTGGTAAGAAAGTACGACGCAACGCCCCTTCCGCGACTCCAGGTCGCCCCGGCCCCGCCGTATCAACAATGCATACGAAGAGAAAGGCCAACGAGTTGGACGAAGGCCACACTGAATCTTCAAATGGCGCCGACCGCGTACGTACTATAGTTCAGCGATGTACGAGAACTAACAAGTCGCCACTACACAGTCATGCGGCAACTGTGTCGCATTGCCCGCAGACACGGTCTGCCATGTAGAACCAGGGGCGCCGGCGTGCCGCCAATGCCTCGACCGGGGCCTCAAATGCGACAGGACTGGTCACGTTCGACCAAGCGTAAACGTCGGCGGTGCGTTGCTGATGGGGAGAGCATTCCGCGGGGTTACTGATGTCGGAATGTGGATAACAGACTCTGCTACGGGACCAATCAAGAGGGTGCGATTGGAACAGGATGAGCCGCGGTCCCCAGGCCGTCATATAGACTTGCCGGTGAAGGAACCGACTGTCCCGTCATCGACCAACGCTGCGGCTACCTCTGCAACAACAGATGCGACCAATGGGGGAGAGGAAACGCAGACGGGTAACGGGACCGCGGCTGGCAGCGTCCCAGCTCCACAAGAAGGGGTGGCACCGACGGAAGAAGACCAGTTACTTGCTAGCCCGGTCGAACGCAACGTTCCTGAACTCCGCCATGTAGCAGGAGAGCAGGACATGGAGAGTGCGGATGTGGCCACGGATCTCGACGGGGTGGAAGCGTTGATTTCCACAGAGGTGAAGGCAGGCGCCTCGTCGGCCCCTAGGATGTCCGTCGCCACGCAGACACAGAGTACGTCGCCCTCGTGCATGTCGCCGGTTGGCAGTCGCGAAATCGGAGGCGAGCGCGTGGACGTGTACAGCGCAAGGAGGCTGTACCTGGTGGCAGCCGAAGAACTCAGATCCATCGAGGCCCGTATTCAGGTCCTGCAAATGCAAGAAGAGAACATGAAAAGGGCCCTCGCGACTATGGAGCGGCAGTTCGCGACCCCGGGCCCGGCTGAAGACTCTGCGGGAGGCGCCTCTCCACCGGCTGCAGTTGGGGTGCGTGCAACGTATTCTTCGGTGAATGAAGCGCGTGGAGCGAGGGCCGAGCCGTCGCGTCGCGCAACGGTCCAAGCCGGATCGCAACACAGAGTGGGACCAGGTGCCGCGGGGCCTTCTCGGCGTCATGATTGAGGTAGCTCCAACGTGCGCTGAGATTGTCGCGATGCACACACTGACGTGTCAAAAGGTTGTGCAGTGATGATGTGATGTGTAAATGTATGTAGTGCTCATGATTCCTGTGGTCGTCAATTTCACAGGTTGGATGTTGGAATGATCGTCACCGTGCTGCGGTTAGGGTCTGCGAACCAGCCTTGGTGTACTAAAGTATGAGGCCACATCGTGTTAGATACCACAGCGATCGTATGCTATCTGCATGTGCGACGTCTGGTTGCATCGATGGCAAACGATGCAAGCATGGATGCGTCTGCTCTGGACGTCGTCATGTCCGCAACATCGTGGGGGGCTTACGCGATCATTCGACGAAAACGGGTTTCGGTTGGCCCTAGTCAGCGCGACAATCAACAGTTAGCCACAGAGGGACGACTCTAGACACATGACCACACAAAGAGTCGTCCGGCTTTGGTTTTCCCTGTGTGGAAGTGCCTTGCAAGACGTCGCTACAGTGTGGTTGAAGCCTCGGCAAGCAAACAGACCTGTATGACTCAGGCATCGAGGATCTTGCCAATGAAGACCTGGCGGCCTCATGTCATCCGAGATTTACTGCACAGCGCGGGTTAATCGACACGCACGTGAACGACGACGCGTCGCGTCAGTATCGACGTCGCGGTTCGACAGCACATTCCCACGCCCCTGCCATCATCCTTGCAGTGACCCCGTCTATACTGAGCTACGCCCTGCATTTATTTCGTACCCTCCTGAACCCCAGACTTCAGTATCATGGTCAGCGACGACGAATACGAGGAAGGACCTGAAGTCAACATGCGTGCGCAGGGGACAACGACGGGGTTTGACTGGAATGACGACATGTCGTCCATCGTCGAGGACGATGAACGAGGACACTACGAGCCGCAAGATATTTGGCGCGACAACGATAGCTTCGATGACGACGCCCGCTCTTCGTCCACGAACCCGACGGAACCAAGGGCTGCACGTGTCAGCACCGAAGAGCAGGAAGAGAATCACTCCCGCGACGAGCTTGACGATTCGGAGGAGGTTGACGACGTCAGGTCGAATCGGGGAGACGACGTGCTGGAAGACCCAGCTCTATCCGCTGACACGTACGCGCCGACCATCGGAATCGATGTCTCTCAGCTGGCGCGGATAATGCGGGACAATGGGCGGGTGGTAAGTCAACAGTACATGTCACACGGGACTATACGACCTGGCGTTGACACGCCTCGAGTGCGATCATTGCAGAGGGGCGCAAGACGACACGGCGCCGTGCTGCTTCAAGAACAAAAGCGATGTCGCGTGCTGGAATTGCGTCAGAAACCAGTGCGAATGCAAGTTTCAAGGACTGCCACTGGTACCAAAGTTGCGATGTGTGTCCATATAATCCGTTGGAGCGAATATGTTCTTACTCGTCGGGTTCCACAGATTTTGAAGCACCCTTGGGTCACCCGGGCAGCTTCGCAGACCATTCTGCTGGTGCTCGTACGAAGGCCGACAATCCGCCCGTTCTCATGGCCGACGGGACAGTCGCTGCAACATCGCGCGATCCTATGTCTGGCATGGAGACTGGGATGCAACGCATGAACTTCCGCGCAACATCATCAAAGCGCGCGCGGAGAAACTCACCAGTGTCTGCGGAACCTGTCAAGCGTCCGAGATACGAACATCCAGGTCCCGACCCACATGACGGGGCACCCACAGTCCCGGGGTCTAGGGAAGTCAGCAATGCGAAGCGAGCCTTTACGAAACCCGACAGACTCGCTGGTCTCCTTTCGACACGTCGAGCATCGTCACGTTCCGACGAGCCCACCCCGGAGTCGACACTCCGCATTCCGACGGACTATGCTCATAGCGACGAGGCGACAGTGAGTCGGGCGATTGAAATCCACACCGGTATGGTAGAGGTTTATCAGTGGAGCCTTAACAAAACCAACGCGGAGCTCGCGGTGGCCAAAGAAAACGAACGGTCTATCAGGGAGAAGCTTGGTGAATGGGAGGAGCGGCTGGCACGCTATGAGGAATCGCACTGACTCAATACGACGGTCGGACGAATGATAATCGCCAGTACTAGGACGGTGCCGTTCGGGACCCGGGCAGTTTCAATCATCTTGTAAATACTTGTAACGACAGCGTATGTAGACTAAAGCGATGTGCAATGGATCTGGAGCACTGAAGCGGGTGGCTGAAGAGTGACACCTTTTACTGACATGAGTGAAAGCTCGCCCCACTTTGCGATTGGACTGCCGAACCCGTGGGGAAACACGACGCCACACCGTTCGGTACGCCGATGTGACGGAGATCACAACGCGTGGCGACGTGGCGGTTGGGCGCCTACGACGTCTGTGTCGCGCATGTTCAACAACGGCTCTTCACGATCCCACCTCTAACTCCCGACGCTCCATAGTTCAATAGACGATGGCACCAAGGAAGACGACCGCAACAACAGAACCGGCGACCGCACCGCCGCCTCCCCACGTTGCCCACCTTCGCAACGTATTCAAGGCCATCGAATTGAAAGCATTCGAGGACGGCTCGGAGAGAACCCAATTAGAGGGCTTGCGGATGCTGCGCGACGCATTCGTATGTCAGACTAGACCTGCAGTCGAGTTCCGAATGACATTCGCTTTCGCAGATCCAGTACGGTGCACGGGAAGAGCTCTATGTCGGCGAAGACGGCTGGAAGACAAAGAGCGACAAGGAGAACGCTGCAAAGGTGGTTAAGGGGATCTCGAAGATGCTGGTCGGGAGCAACGTTCCCATAAAACCAAAGGTTGCAGCCTGGATCGCCGCCAATTGGCCAAACCTGGTCACTCCCGCCAATCCGCTGCCTGTGGGTCCCAGACGGTTTGAATTCGACGAAACGGATATAGGTGAGTAAGAACGACGACTGTCATTGTGCATTCATAAATCAACTCGTGCCGAAGATTCACTCAAGGAGCTCCTGGCTCAATTGACCCAACGGTAAGTGCATGAACCAATCGCGAGGGTGTGATGCTTATCAGCGGCCTTGACGTGTTCAGGGATGTTTATGTGGCCCATTCGAAGGAGGACCGTCCAGGAAAGGCGAGGAAACAAGCTTCAAAGGACGAGGTACAGCTGGTAGTCACTGGGAGAGTACATCAGCCTGTCGAGGATGTCAACAGGCGCTCTGTAGCTAAGAAGAAGGGCGTATCCGCTGCGAAGGGGAAGACGGACCACATTAAGGGCTCGAGAGAGGAAAATGCGGAGCACGCGCGAGAGCGATTGCGAGCGGGGGCTAAGGTGCGCCTCTCCGTGCAGACATTCAACGTATGATAATGATGGCATTGGCCACAGTGTGACTACTGCAAGTCTGCAGTGAATGTCGCGCGCCCGTGCGTCGTGCTGCAGGGTAATGCCAAATGCGAGGAGTGTAAGAAGAGGCGAAAGGGATGCTTCTTCGATGACCGTTCACTCAGCGGATATGTCAGCAGTGAGTGCTCGTCTCGTTAGGCGGTTTGACAGCGCCAAATGACACTTTAGAACTCAAAGAACAGACTGGCGGAGCGAGGGGGGGCGACAACGCCGACGTGGAGCACGTCGAGACCACGCCTGGCCCGTCCAGGGATGAGCGCTCACAGTCCGCGGCGGGTACTGCTGGGCCAAAACGCGGTGTAAACTCGAAAGGGAAACATCGGGCACACTTTGTGGACGGCCCAGGGGAAGCGTTGTCGGATTCGGCGTCGGAAACGACTAAGGCTCCGAGTCGCCGGGTGCGTCAAGTGGAGGTGTACATACCTCCCGTGAACATCGACCGGGCGTCCTACCGGCCAGTAGAAGAACTGCCATGGGAGTCGCAATGGGAGGCGGGTTCGGAAGACGGTTCGGATTCGTCTCGGTGTTCCATTGAGAGCAGGTACACACCTTCGGATGTTGCGCCGGAGGTCGAGATGAACCAGGCGCACCGAGAGGATGCTAACGAGTTGGTCGCCCTCCGAGAGCGAGTCGCGCAGCACCGAGAGGCCCTCGCCGCCGCAACATCTCTGGTTGAAGCTAAGGAACGGTTCAAGGCGCACCTGGAGGAGAGGATAGCAGGAGCAGAGGCTGACAGGGCTCAAGCGGCGGCACGACTCGAGGCCCTGAGGTCCGTTCGGGAGAGGGCTGGACACGACAGGCGAGACGAAGCTCGATGAGTATTGGCGGGATGGTCAAGGACAACTCAACTGTGCGTGTGTATGGATGTATGCTACTGAACGACGTCGGTCAAGCGAATAGAAGTGATGGATGTATCGACGATGCGTGTGCACATGTGGGAGGAAGGTAGTGAGCAGAGTCGGACGCACCATGAGTAATCGAAACACCGAATACGAAACATGTCATTCGAAAACGACCTGTTCAACAGCCACACCTTGGGACAGTACTCCACGACCACGCGACTCAAAACGTATGAATGGGTCGTATCGTTCATGAACGATACAGGCCGAATGGACTCTGATGATTCATGGTTTGCTCACGCATCAAGCGGCGGCTTGGTCTTCTCAGGACACCGTAATGGTGATTGATCCCCGTGCGACAAGCGAGACGCGTGGTTGAGATTGGTCACGAGCCCCCAAGGACTCGGACATTTCCCATGTGCATGCGTGGCCTTCCTACGTTCTCCCATCCACGACTGATAATATCACCCAGGCAACTTTCCTCATACACTGCGCGCTCCCTATGTCGCGGACTGCGAGCAGAGTTGATGATGACGAGGCGGTGTTATCTTCCATCGAGGTCTGGTTCTCAGTTGCGGAAAAGCAGGACCTCCGCGTCGCGTCGATGGCGATGCAGGTGGTCCAAACGCTCCATGGGCTGATGGTATGACTCACTATTGGTCACTATGGGTCATATTCTGCTGGCTGACGCTATGTCGACAGGTTAAGCATGGGGAACGGCACAATAATGCGTCGGGGATAATGGCCGAGCCGACCTGGATCACTCTTCGGCTGAACAAGTTGGCCCAGCTCGTGAAGACCGGTTCTTTCCATGTGGACGGACGAAAGTGGGTCCAGAGCCATTGGCCTGAGCTACTCGAGGGTGGCGAAAGCCGTTGGCCAGCTTGTCGAACCCGGAACGCGGCTGATGCCGATGCCGAGGTCGATGACGAGATGGATGGAAATCAGGATGGCAGCGAGGACGGTGAAAATGACGGGGGATTCATCGGTGACGGGCAGGACGAGTTGTCCGCCGATGGAGGGGAGGAGGAGGCCAGCGAGGAGGACGAGACGATGGTAGACGAGCATGAGTCGCCCCCTCCAGCGTCGCAGCCGCGCACGACCAACCGGCCCGCAAATCCTGCTCGATCAGCCAAGGAGGGCATCAAAAAGAAGGCCGAGCTTTATCGCAAAGCCCTCAAGAAGGTACGTATACCACTACAGCACGAACGCAGTGATTGAAACTTTAGGTATGTTATACAGTGCGACTACTGTCGCTCGGCGACGCGGGCTGTCAGGGAGTGCACCGTTGAGAATGGAACACTCACCTGTAGCACGTGCAAGACGGCAGGGAAGGGTTGCTACTTTAACGGGTATTCCCTGAACGGGACCCTAAGCAAGAGTGAGTGTCGCACCGTATCAGGGACATCCACGCTCTCCACGCTCACCTGCGAGTCCATTGGGAACTTTTGACCTAGCCACGTCATCAGATAAACAGGGCGACCACGAGTCTGCGCTCGTGCAGCAGGACCGCCCTGTCGACAGATCATCGAGGCCACTACCGAGGGCGACGCGTTCGACCAGAACAGCTGCCGTGCCCAAAGCCGAGGCGGCTGAGACGACTGTGACGAAGGCTTCGTTGACTACGCCTGTAAAAGGTCTGCCCGCAAAGCATGAACGCACGGACTCGAAAGATGGCGCCCCCCTTAGGAAGCGGACCAAGAGAGAGATAGTCCGGAACGTTGGCGACGGTGATCGCAGGTCGCTCCGCTCGTTGACGTCCGCTTCTACCAACGTGTCCAAGGCAGGAGGCGGTGAACAGATGCCACGCGTGCCATCGGCAACGGACACCGAGTTGTCCGCGTTCGACAATCTTACCTGCGAGGATGTCGCGCCGTCTGACGTCCGTATCGACGTTACCGCATCCAATGGAGAGACGAGGCCGACACAAGCTGACCAGATAAAGCGCCTGAAGAAGCTCATCGGAATGTTCGAGGAGCAGCAGTCCGATATGATCGAGGACATGGCAAAGCTGCAGGCAGATCACGACTGGCTGTCGGAGGAGATCTCCTTTAACAGAACGCTGCTGAAGGACTTGCAGCAACCTTGCAAGCCTGAACCGGGACCGAGTCGCCTGGACCCTGAAGCTGGACCGAGTCGCCTCCCCGCGTCGGGAGTGGCATCAGGTTCTCGTCGTCGGGCGGCTCGCGGTCGGGGCGGTTCGAACAAATCTCGTGGTCGATAAAGGTGAGATTGTCACGATTGATTATAGCGGAAGAAGTAGCTGAACGTGCTCTCGTCTGAACGGTAGAAGTCAGTACTCGCACGAGGTTAATGAGTATCCCTGTCGTACCGTCGATTACTGTCCTGCGCGGTTGTGTATTGAGTCTATGTCTCAAAGGAAATGACCTTGCGCCCGTCTTTGGGCGTATGTATGCCGAAGGAATCAAGCGCAATCACGCATGCGGAAAGAGAAAATCGAATGGATCGACAGGACGCGCACCCAGTTCGCATTCATTCGTACGGTCGTAAGAGAAGAACGACACGAGGGGATCGTTGGTAACATGCATGGGCTGCCGTGGTACTTTGAGTGTCGCGATATGCGACAATGATACACAGAAAGCGGCGATGTGTGGCATCGTCCATGAACGATGTGGCCCAAAATGGATACTGTAAGTGGATGCATGGCCCAGTAGCAAACGAATTTGAGATGAGCATTCACAAGCGCCCATTGGGCTGAGTTTGGCTATGGTCACTACAGATATTACAGCATACAGTGGGATCTAGAAAGAAGTCGGGCTGCATCGTTCGCGAACGATACGGACCGTCGGTCAATGTCGGCGAAGGTCGACACCTGAGATGGAGAGTGTGGCTTGTGAGCGTCTCACGATAGCTGATCGGGTCACTGATCGACGAGATTGCGTGACGTTGAAGTCTGACGAGCACACGTCATCGTGACCGTGTGGCTGCATTCCCGTCTCCCATCTCCATAACCTAACCCCACGCTGTCGCGGCTCTGTCGATCTCATGTCTCAAGCGTCGACTATGGAAATGCCTGCGTCGGATGCAGGAGCATTGGCTTCCTTGGAATGGTGGTTTGATCGTGCGAACGATACAGACGTGAAGTCATTTGAAAGCGCCACTGCGGACAACCCGGGTTGTGGCGCCGCCGGACATTGGTCTAACATTGGAAGACCGAGTAGATTAGTAAGCGGCGATTTACGGACCCGTAACATTGCAAGAAAAGAGGAAATGCCCGCCCTTTGTTCCGGGTCCTGACAAAGCAGGCCACAATTAGTATGTCGGGTGTCATAACATTGGTCACGTTTTCGCCGCAATGTTCCGAGGCCGCACAAAGCACGACCACCAAGCATGTTGGGATAATGTTCGTGCAATGTGATAGGTCCTGACATACGTCATGTGCCGGTTGAGAACAAAGGGGGGACATTCACTATGTTCCGACAATGTCTGCGCGCCGACAATTAGATATTTGCGGAACCCAGACATGTGCTATGTCCGGCTCGCTAAAATATTCTATTTGCGGAAGTCCAAAATGGGAAGTAAATGACTCATGTCCGGAGGTCTGACATAGCGTATGTTCCGTCACTATGTTCGCAGGCCGAACATTCCCTGTTTCGCTACGGAATCGTGAAACGATTCGCAACGACTCGCAACGCGAATGGTGGATGTCTTTTTACGAATCTGGCACACGATACCGCAGACGTATATCGGTGAAATAGATTCGGGTACTCTATCGCCAGCCTGATACCGCGACATCGCATTCGACGCGTATCACCTACGTTTGCCACAACGTCGCGATTCAACCTTTATCGCCACCCTGATACAGCGACTTCACGACTTCGCTTTCCACGCCGCGATCGCCACAACGGCTTTCGATTCAATACCATGAAAGTTGCCCATATCTCGGGCAGGACTGTCTTAAAATTACAGTGCTCCATTCGCGGGTCCAGATTCGCCTGTCCCAGACATAAGCCGATCGTCACTTTCTTAAGGGGGTGGAGGGGGGGGTCGACATATGCCAGAGACGCGCGATCTCCGAAGTCGGGCGACCGCGAGTCACCGACGACGCGGTCAATCTCCTCCTGGGCCTTCTTGCACGCATCGGGATGGAGGACCACCGTGAATAGAACGCCTTGAACACGGTGGTGGTCTGCGAGACATAGCCTTGAGCGTTAGATGCCACAGACATGGCATGCCGTCTTGAAGCGCATACCGCGTCGGTTCCACCTGCACACGAGCAGTCCAGTCAGCAGCACTCGCAGTGCCTACACTCTGCAGTTACTCACCGCCGTAGACGATATGAGCGTGACAAATGGGCTCCCGCAACCTCTATCGTCAGTGCGCCGATGCACCTGTGCGGCAGCGCCCCGTCAGCGCTCAAGTAAGCACGGCACGGTAAGGTCTACTCACCGCTTGACAAGCGTGAGGAACACTTCCGGCGACCCCAGCAGCCCGACGAGGATCTTGTGTGTCTCGCATTGCTGGATAGGGACGTAGCTTTCCAGCTTACTGTCGGGGACGTCGACGGCAATGTGCGCGGGGGAATCGAGGCTCGCAGAAGCCAAGACGGTCGCACCCAAACGCGTCCCCGAGGCACCAACTGGGATGTTGAGCTGGTATGACTACGCCCAGCAGCCGAGTTTGTACGGCATACAAAGAGGTGCGTCGCGACATATTCTTGATGCTGTAGATGGCAGTACGCGTCCGCGCCAGACGAGCAGACGAGCATTCGACGGCAAGTTTTTGAGAGCGCAAAGACGTCCTGCAAAAGCAAGCCTGTAATCAGCGCTCGTCGACGCCCAGTATCATCGCCGACGACTCCAACACTCACGCTCCTTACAGAACTCTCACTCTCCAAGGCGCTCCTCCGCCCAGTCCAGCTCCCTCTTCCTCCACGCCACGTCTAGCGCGCCCTTCTCTAGTGCCCACCCCCTTCGAGCGTCGCGAGCACCTCCGTCGCCCCAGCTGAGCTCTATGAGAACGCCACAGTGCTCCAGCGCCAGCTCTGGCCGCTGCTCGAAGGCGCGTGAGAGGACGGTGCGCTCGGGCCCGGTCTAGAGGACCATGCCGCCCGTGAATACGGAGAGGGAGAACATGAGGATCGCGGGGCGGAGCGGAGATATGGGCAGAAGGGAGGGGGACTGGGAGAGCATTTTCGATAGAGATGCTTTGCAAAACGAGGGTCGTCAGCTGGCATATACTATGAGCGCGAGCCAAGGAAGGGACTCACGATTCGTGCGCGATCCTTGCCTGGCCGAACACACGACAAAGGCGACTGTGAGCACATGGCGGGGGCCCGTACTGCGCTCAATTCGACTCGGAGAGGCTGTATGTGCCTAGCTTGCAAGTAGCGAGTGAGCCCTGCTATGACTAGAAACGGAAACGTAAACGTAAGAGGGGAGACCGCCGAGACTTAGGACGTGCGAACACACCGCCGAGATCAGTTCGTGATTCTACGCCATCCCCTGGAACCGGACAAGGCAACACTGGCACAACAGCGAACGAACATGGCGGTCAAGATACGCACTCCTAAAAGGGCCGGAGCATCAGTGTGGAGGGCGTGCGGTTGACAGAGGCGGAGAAGCTAGAGCGCCGTAAGAGGTGATCGATGGGAGGATGGGCGACAGGGGTGCGACATTGCGGGGCGAGACTCACCTGTAGGTGCCCTCGCAGCGCTCTTACTATAGCTGCTCCCTCGAGCTCCACGTCGGCGACCTCACGCATACCCGTGTGGCAGGTCGCCGGCATCCTACCCTCTCTTCCGGTCTGGACGCTTGGATGTGCCATCTCCGTCGAACGCGCCCGCACGGCAATTGCATTGTGAGAATGGTGTTCTCGTACGGCGCGTACGAGTACGATTAAGTGGGTAGATGTCGAGGAGTGATGTAAGGTATTAGGCGTGCTTTCGAACACAGAAGTAATAGTTGAGTGAGACGACGGACAACTTGAAGGCGGACGATGTCAGACACACGATGTTTGCTGTCTCAAATGGGCCACGAATTTACCCAGAGCACGAGTCCGTCGTTCAGTCGATTGGACGGCAATTGGTTCAACTCTGGACACCCGACTCGGACGCGACCACTGCACGAAGAGCAGCACGCCAGCCATATCGGGAAGGACGGGTGCTTGACGAGCAGACGTCCGCACTCGCAGCACTTGCACGCGCGAATCGTTCTCATGGTGGCTGACGTGCTCAGATCCGATCACGGCCGTGCATCGAGCCATGGACGCCGCGCAGCATCTACAAGTACATGGTGTCCAAGCATACGTGGTCAGCGAGGGATGCGGCGTGAGGCAACAACGGACGTACCGGGTCTATCGCGCGGTACACCGGATTCGCGTGGTACACCGGATTCGCGCGGTACACAGGGTTCGCGCGGTACACAGGATGAAAGACGAGTACGGTAAGTGCATGGTGTTCGGCGTGGAGAAGACCCCCGCCTTGGAGCACGTATAGATGGCTCGCCGAACGTCGAGAGATGTTGGGCAGACGCGCGGAAGAGCTTGAGGCAGATCCATTCAATGTTGATCAACAAACGAAGCGCACGTTTACCTTCCATCGTGAACGCGCTTGAAAGTCTTGCCGTGGACTCCAGGAAACGAGGGGCAGTCGTCTGGAGGATGAACCCCGCCGGGCTGGGCGCGTTATGTCGAGTGATCTGAAGGGATACGGCGCCAGGCAACACCCAGAATCAGAGCATGATCCCCAGGCCATCAACGAACTCACCTGCAATACGGATGCTCACAGCACACGGTACGCTGCCCGCGGCGTTCACAGCAACTGCCCCGCTGCGCCACCCAAACGGACGGACCTAGCCGTCAAATTCAGCGGAGACGGCAACGAGGGTATTCGGGTACGGAGCGTTCGTGCCGTAGCATCCTCGGTCTCATCGCAGATTCCTCCGTAGTATTTCGCGGGCAGACAACGCGCCACAGACCTCGAGTCACCATTCAGCATGGCTGTACGATCTACGAATCGCGCAGGCTGCTTACCTTCGCGGCTGATTCTCACAATCTCTAGACCACCAACTCCCTTCGGATGAGAGTCGTACGCTGTAGGTCGAACAGCCGCCAACCAAGAGCTTGCGACCGCTGCGCAAGTCATCGCCTTCGACCCGTATGAGCTCATTGTCTTTCAGAGTCGCATAACTTCGGCTGACGTCGTCCTGAAAGCCGGCATCACCGTATCCGTTCTGTTATACAGGATGGGTCTTTCAATGCATCGTCGTGTGGAATGCCGAAAGCAGTGAGCCTACCTCTCATTTTGTGAACTCGTGTACTACACGAAGACCCTCCGTACTTGAAACAGCTCCGCGTTCACCCAGCGACGAATAGATTCATTCGGCAGCCATTACAAGCAGTTGAGAGAAGGATATATGCCGTATAAGTGGAAGATGGTAAGCGATGCGTGGAAGATGGTGGAAGATGAGAACAGAAAGACAAGGACTGGAACGCCACACACACAGTTGCATCGATTACCCTATGCGGCAATGACTTCAGCGCTGCTGTGACGTCACCCGACTGGCCGTATTAGCATCAGCGACAGAATACAAAGCGTCTGGCGTAGCTTGCGCACACCCAGAACGCCGTGATGCCTCATTATTCGCGGCTTGGTTCGCGTGAGGATAGACGTAGACGTAGCCTCTGAGCGTCATGTGCGCGTGACATCAACCATGCCTTCTGCAGTGTCCTCTGATCTATCCGAACGAGTGTCAGTATTGCGAGGCGAGAGGTAGAGATCCTGCAGCGTAAGGTAAGCTCCCTGACGAGATACGTCTTCCATATTTCGACGAGTACCTTTATGATGGGGAAGACGTGGATCTTATGGTCGTCCGCGGTCGAAGCCCCGGCCCCAAAGTGGATCGGCCCGCCGTATGGTGTGCTTGCGAATGGGCAGACCACATCCTGCGCGCATATGATCTCTGGCTGCGAGAGAGTCTCGTAGAATAGACAGCCGGAGATCGCGAATCCGAACGCGCGATAGGGATCATCTTTGTAGACGTCCTGGTCGAGAGGTACGTGTCGCCGCACGATGAGGAACACTCGGTTTGCGCCTCCCTCAGATGTGCCCGAAGGGTGCTCCTTTTCCCATAGTATCCGAGATATCTGCGCGGGAACGATCCCCATCTCCTCGATTCCAGGCAGTGTCGGGTCGGTGATATCAGAGCGTCCTTCAGATGATCGCATGAGTATGTTGGCATCTCGGTGACTCCTGAAGAATGGCCGAAAGCTGAAGCCGTTCACTCGCATCACAGAGCATGAAACGATTCCTACAGGGCGGTCAAAGTCAGCCGTGTTCAGCTTGCATTGGATCATCAGGCGCACCTCTGAGATCTCGTCTTCCTGTATAGTTCATCACCAGAGCTCTCTCGTAGTCAGTTGAGAACCGAATTGAAGACGAGAACTCCTTGATCTGCAGCCGGGCCGCGTCCCCAAGGCCCAATATGTCATTCAGCCTTGTTCCCCGAGACTCCGATTGAAACGCCTTATCGAATGATGGCTGCAGCGCTGACAATTCTGTGGGGAGGCTCCCGTTCGTGAGCAGCGGCCGGACATTGGCGGCACGATTTGCGTGATGCATCATTGTCATCTCTAGTTCACCTACCGAGCCGTCAGAGTCAAGGCATAGTCCTTGAAACGAGTACATACCTGACTTCATGTTCGTCGGGATCTCCTGTAGGCTGTGGTTGAAACGTTCGGGACCGAAAGCTCGTACAGCGTGGGAAGGGCCTAGATCCTCCAAGTTTTCGTCGTGATGCTGAGCAAGGTGATTGCTGGGTTGAAGCGGTACTTCTGGATACAGAGAAAGGAACCGATCAAGGTAGGCTGTATAGTAAAAATCGTACGCGTTGATGTGTTCTTGAGTTGTTGATCGAAGGCAAGAAATGAAGACGGCAGACACGAGATGCATGTAGTTGTGCAACATATCTTCGTGTCTTCCGCCTTTGAAACCCCAAAGCCGTACCAGAGTTACGACCAGATGCACCATCCCCAACGAGCGCCATTCATCCGCTTTGAGTTTTCCGGGCTTCACAGCAACCTTGCGGGGAGCAGGAGCGACGCACGAAGGGAGAAGCATTCGATCAATATCGTCCCATACTTCTTGCAATACCTCAACCCCAAGCACGACTGCATTCCTATCTGCAGGAAGCACGTTCACTTCCTCTGGTTGTATGGCCGCCTGCAGACGCTCTCGGCATAGGAAACATAGAACTGTTGACCGTGAACGCTCACCCAATCCAACAGTCGCTGCCACATCTGCTTCTTTGTCCCCTCGCTTGCTATGCCATTTCTCATGCAGAGGGCTTGGAGCACTGGTGCCCGTACGTTGGGATTCTTGTTCCTCTTGGCAAGCCCGATCTGGGCCTTGGCCACCTCGTCCTCAGTCCAAGCCTGGCTGGACTGAGAACTCGTCGACGCCTCGGAACCTCCTTCTGTGGAGTAGGATGGTGTTCTCTCGAAGCCATGCGTGTTGAGCGGCCCTGAAAACGGGTCCATGAGGTCGATATGGGCGAAAGAATAGATATCTGTGTTTGTGCGCAGTACGTACCGACTGCATTACTCCCGCCAGATACCCCCGACTGCGACATGGTGTAGTTTGATATACGTGCAGAGTCTTCACTCGTGAGTGGTTCTGTGTCCACGCTCATTAGACGTCGCTGCATAGTCGGTAAGCGAAGTTTATTTCATTGAAAAGACAGCTACGCCTACAGGACTGCCATGAACCTCATCCGAGGTAGTAACGAACGCGGCGGCCTCTGCGGTAGAGGGAGTTACGGCTTTAGGTCCACGGCGGGGCTGACTGTCGCGCTGTACGAAGAGGAATTTGTTAACCTTGAATACTGCCCTACAGACGTCGTGAAACATACCCATGCGATCAGACGTCGGACGAGCATGCGCACAGATCCCGCTCGTCGGAGGTCACGATCGTAGCATAAGTGCCACAACACTGCATAGGACTCCGCCTCCAGGGTCTCATGCGTCGCGGTCCATAAGAGCTCCTCTTTCTCTTCCCACTCTAGTGTCTTGTTTTTGACCGAACATGGCGGAACATCCATCTTGTGGCAAAGCATCCCATCGCCAGATGGCCTTGACGCATCCATACCCCAAGCGTAGGATATGTGGTGCATCAGGTTGCGAAGGAAGTGAGTATGCATAGACTCGATCACAGTGAATCGTAAGGGTTCCAGTACGGAAGTCGCAGGAATTCGGTCCACCGTACACCGCCTTGTCGAATGTGGGCAGCTCTCGCGCTCTTTTTAGTGAGAGTGAGCCAAGTCTCGGCGCTCTCTCGATGCGTCGCGAGGTCCCGGTACGTCCAGCTCGACTTCGAGATCTGTTCGATGTCATCCCTGTCCAGAAGGCAGATTGAACAGAAGTACGTAGCCGAGTGGCCTGCAAAACCAGAAATCTGGCGGGCAGCGGGGAGATCACATATCATGGGAATGAGAGCGCCAAGAGTAAAACGGCCGTTTGGATGAGCAGCGGTTTTGGAGAAGTAGACACCAGGGTTCCAAAACACCAGCAGGTCATCCACGATGAGTCGCGTATAGTGATTGATTTCGTCCAAGGAAGGTTTCCCTGGGCCAGGAATTACGCCGACCAAGAACATGTTCTCTTCGCGATAGCGGAGATCTGGAGGAAGGTTCATGAGCACAAGGTATATAGCGGTGGACGAGATGCTCCTGCGCGCGGGTTTCATATGGTGCGGGTCGAAACTGTCAAATGCGAAGCCCCAGATCAGCCTGAGCTCCTCATCCGGGCAGTCCATAAACCGTGAACCGTCGGGCCCGATGAAGTCCTGCACGACCTTGCTCTCCATGATATCGTTTACCCTTTCGCGTTTGCCAGCATGCGACGCCTGCTTAGCCTGTCTAGCATAGTTGTCTAGCGACAGTTCGATGTCTTTCCGAGCTAGAAGGCGCGCATGCCACGCCTTGAAGTCCTGGTGCAAGTACTTGCGAACGGCCATGGTATGTCTCCCTCCCTTGAGCACTCGCGTCGCGAACAATTCGGCGCCACACAGCGGGGCAGTCTGATAAGCCTGGTACGTGCAACGTTCTGGACAGTCTGGGTTGTCTGGGTACAGGCAGAAGCACTGGGGACACGAGATATACGTCTTGACGTCCGGATCGATGTCGAAGTGGCGGATCAAGCTGCGAATATCGGCGGGGATATGGCCGATAAGGCCCAACTTGGCCTGGAAGGAAGAGAAGACGAAACGGACGATGTCAAGGACCCAGTTGCACCGCTTCCTCGATACGCCGCAGAGCAGAGCGAGCGTCAAGACCATGTAGCACAACGCGGCCACAGCCGGGTCGAGTCCAGGGAAGACCCTCCGGTGATAGCGATCTGCGAACACATCGTCGCTTAGGATGTGCAAAAAAGCGGCGCGAGTACACTCACCGCTGTTGAAATAAATCCTGGCAGCTCCTCTATGCTCAATGTGACTCCGAGAGTCTGGCGGACCATGCTCGCGCTGTGCGTCCCATTCCTTGCCTCTGATGTCGCAGATTCGTTTGATCTCTCCGCAGATAATATCCCGAATGCGCAGACGATGAGCCTCAACCGCCTCAGCGCTGGGAATTGCGTACCGTCCGTTCAGATCCAAGTGATTGTACATCTTAGCCTCATGAGCCAGCAGCGCTGTATTGCACGCGGAGGTGGACGAAAGCGCAAGAATCCCGGTGTTCGGGCGGTCTGGAATCTCCTCGGGATACGCGTACAAAGGCGACGCGGGATTTGGGGGATTTGCGAAAGCTAGCGGAGAAGTGGCCGAGAATCCTAGAGTTTCTTGGTTGATGGTGCGGAGCATGGTATCGAGATCGCTTAAAGAGCTCTCGATGCGTGCGTATGCGTCGAGGTCTTCGTTGTCTTCGTTAGTGCTGGGCGGCCCCACGGCTGTTGAAGAGCCAAGAGGAGGGGCCTGTTCGGGCGGCGATGTCGATGGTCCAAGCGGTATGGCGAAGTCTTCCAAAGAGACGGCGGGAGGAGGGTCATCAGACAGAGTCAGCGCCATATGTCTGGCCTCGACGCCCGGTCCAAATGAAAGGTTTCGGTGCAGACATTGCGACAGCCAGTCGACCTTGAGGTGATGCTGTAGGGCACGGGAGGTGGCCCAACTCCCAGCGACGTTGTCGCCGCTCCGAGGATCGATCGTCGTCTTGTCGCGACAATGGTACGCGTCGCAGAGACACAGATACTTGAGTTTGCCATCCACAACAGCGGTTGTGTGGCTCGCCCAAGTGCTACGCAACGAGTTATTCATGGCGCGTCGAGTACACACACAAGTGAACCTGCGACTGAACCCTTTAGCACCGCATCCATCGAGCTTGAAAGACCATATTCAAGATTCACCTGAGCGATCGTTGTATTGGCAGGCAGATATCCGACTCGGAGTCGCTTCCGTTCTATGGGTCCTGTATGACGGCACGCTCAACACATCCTATCAAAGTGTCAGAATGTCACATCGAATGTTTGTTGGCATTTCACACAATGCCGGTGGTACGGGCTTGGAAATCACTCACAAAAAACTGATGATCGTCGACGATTAACACGCACACGGAGCACCGCCTGAAAGAACAGAAACAGCGCTTGGCCTCTAACCTCTAGGGGTAGAGAGCTGATATGACGCTCAACGATTCTTTCCGAGTGAGCAGTATTGGTATGGCAGCTGGGAGTTGGGCTTCGGAGGAGGAGTAAGTGATGGGAAGCCTGCGGCACCGCGCCAGCGCTTATGCGCGCGAGACTAGTAGTAGGCAGTCGGCGTAACCCGCACAGATTGTAAAAGGCCACCTCTTGCTCAGCATCGAAGAGAAATGAAGATGCTAGCCTGAGACAGCCCGATGTTGACAGAAACTCGTTAGCCAATGAAGCTGCGCGAGGAAGTGAGAGCGGTCATCGCGACTGCCAGCTCCTGCCATTGCCGCGAACTCGACTTACAGAGCCAAATTGAACGCCCCCTCCTAGTACGCCCCCTTCGTTTTTTCTGAGGCCAGCTTGCTCTTGGTGCACGCGTAGAAATGTCCAGCACGCAGGCTGTTACGCGCGGCGAGTGGCAGGGTCACCCGTACATATCGAGAGGACAGGCACACGTTACAGAGATAAGTACAACGATGGTAGTAATACAACGCAGCGCAACGTCTTAGCTCATCTTTTGCCGCGTAGAGCTAGTCAGGAATCACTTCCGCCCCATGAGATATCCCAGCACGATTCCAACAGCGGCCCCGAAGAGCACGGGGCCAAGATGAGTGGTTTGGTCGGAACAGTCGGGGGGGTGTCTCAAGGTTCTCCTATCGGAATCGCCGTGCACGTCGTCAAGCTTCGGAACACCATCGTGCGGTATACCATCGTGCGGTATACCATCGTGCGGAATACCGTCGTGCGGAATACCGTCGTGCGGAATACCATCGTGCGGAATACCATCGTGCAGGATTGTGTTCGTTGAACCCACGGCTCGGAGAGAGTTGGAAAGCGAACCCTCCAGGCGTACGACCTCCTGAATTGCGCGATATTCCTGTACTCCCTGATAATCGAAAGCCGCCGAGAAGCAAGAGATGCAGGAAAAGAAATCCGCGTCCGTCGCGAATTGAGCGTAATACCAGTTTTCTCCAGTCGTCCACTTGACCGTGCGGAGGACCTGTAAGCTATACTTCATTGCGCGGCTCACAGCATAGGTCACAAGTCTTACCTGATAGGCGACTATCCTTGTGTCGTCTCCCAGCACTACGTACTCGAAGAAATTTCCCACAACATCGATCTCCCGGCCAGCAATAACGTCTAAGGGCAAAAGTGATCAGTGCTTGATGAGGATAAGAAAGTGTGATAACAATCTCACATTGTCCCGTGGGCAGTTGGGCGAATACAAATCGCGACGGGCGCGAGTCTCCCTCGCTCTCGAACAGCAGTTCTTCGCCAAAGCTGATGTCCTCAACCGACGTAGCGAACACGACGCTAACGTGCCTAAACGCCACCGCTGGTCAGTTGGTATGAGGAGAAGAGGCGTTGTGTGTGAAACCTACTGCTCTGGGTCCATGGTGTGGCCCTGGCCCTTGAGGGTGAGTCGAGCTGCCGCGTCTTCAAGGCTGGCGATCCCTGGGTCTTTTATAGGGTGAAGACACGCGAGAACAAAGCCGCAACGCGGCTTTGACGTGGCAGCCTAGGCTGCAAGTTCAGACAATGGAGCATCGAGCGGCGCGCTGCCTACATAGGACGCCCATGCTTGGCGTCCAGAGAGCGAATCTCCTTCGTGAGCTGTGTAAGAAGACGGCACGGTCCGTCACTCCCGAATCCCGACCAGGCGTGTTGAGCAGAAGGGCGCAGGCAAGCAATCGTTCGAACGACGCACGGGGTCATGGTACGATAAACATGCATACAAACACATACATAATGAGCATAAACGGCATATTAAGACCCACGCTGCCCGCACTACTCCAGCCTGAGATCGTCCGCTGTAGGTAAGAAAAACCCGTCCCAAATATTATGATTACCCCCCGCCTCACGGTCGGACTTCGTTGGATTTTCTTCTCCGAGTGCCTCAGCAACGGCCCATACGATGCTCCTGAGAGACACTTCTTCTGTTGGTCTCGTCTTGGCCGGCTGTCGACAGGTTGGACATGTATAGCGCGGACGGGGGTAGGCCGCCAGAGCGTCAGTGAGCTCTGCTTTGGCACGCTCACGATCCGCCCTTGGTAGCTCGGGGTTGCGAATGGCGTCGCGGTAAGGCTGTAGGTTCGGCCATTCCAATTCCGGGTTATTATGCAGATGTTGCATCAGTGCCTCACTGAACCACTCTTTGAGGCACGCCTGGCATGCTGTGTGGCCGCAAGGCAAGCTGCGGATAGACAAGACGTTAAGCTGTGGATCAACGGTGATATCTTGTGGTAACAGGCTTACGCGTAGGGCAACCACAGTCGGCAAGTGCAAATCGTACAGGTCGAATCGCTTTGCAGAGCATCGATCAACCCCTGAGCAACAGTGATGTAGATCAGATAATGAAGGGGCGATATGCGCGGGCTTACCCTTGAGGTCGCCGCCACAGTGCCCTCGCGCCGTCGTGCTTCCCCCTGTAATCGTCGGACTTCCTCTTGTGATCGCTGGGCTTCCTCTTGTAATCGCTGGGCTTCCTCCTGCAACCGCTTGGTTTCCTGTAAGGCCTGGTTAACGATTCAATCGTACACATAGTAGCGCTGCTCACTTCCTAGAGCGGACGTGTGAGATTGCGGTAAAATAGAGTGTGCGAACGAATACCTGTTTTTCCACTCTATGCTTGTGCCCTTCCTGAACGATGAGCTGCAGGCTGTCCCGTTCCTGCAGGCGTCCGATTAGCCCATCTCAGTTGGGAAAACAAAACACAATACCTGAGTTGTGGCAGCTAACTGCTGTAATAGCTCGTCCGATGCCTGGTGAGCTGCCTCAAGCTCGCGCTGTAACTTGGCCCTGGCAGCTGATACCGCAACGAGGGCTTCTTGTAGAGCCTCGTTCCTATCGGATGGCGTACCCCGCCCTTGTGCGCGCTTGACGTTGTCCTTGGTTGTCGATGTGTTCCGCCGGACTTCCGCTTGCGCTGCGTTGCCTCTCGGACGCTTTTTGGGACGTGTTGCAGAGCGTTCAGAAGCCTCGCGCGCGTCCCGTTGTAAAGGCTCGCGCCTGGCATTATGGAGCGCTTCGCCGTCGTCCGAGGAGATGTCGATGACGTCCTCCTCAGAGGGTCGGCTGGCACCCGGCTCCTTGCTCGAGGGCATGATCAGCGGACGGAGCAGAGGGTATTGGGACGAGGCGTACGTGTTCAGCACAGCAGAGCGTATATATTCATCTTGGCTGCCATGGAACAATGCGAATCTTTCACATTGTTGTGGACAATAGCGACGTCGGATCCGAGCGGCGGATCCGACCGTGTTGATCCCCGCAACCGTGGCAACACTTCGAGCGGAGACGGTGCGTGACCGCGAGGCTGAGTGGCAGAAGTGGCGCGAAAATAAGAGGGCGACGAACGCGCATAAGCCGTCCGATGTCTTCGCTCGAAGCCTTCAAGGCGAGGTGAGCGGTCGAAATGAACACTCGGGTGAACGCATGCAACCAGCGTTCGATGAAGCTAGAAGAGTCACAAAAGAGCTGAAAGAATGAGGCCGGATCCGGAAACAAAGGATGGCGCGGACCAATGATGGGTGCCCAACTCTTTCAACGGCGCGCGCAACTGCAGCGATACAAGGCCGCTTGTCAAGGCTACGAGGGCTACTGACGTATCATGGCTGGGCAGCGAGCAGCGCTTACCAGCAGCCGATGATACGCGCATACGTGCTGGCGACCGAGTCAAGAGAGCGTATGTAGGACGAACCGGCATACAGAGAGGCACACGTCAATCGGCCACCTTCTGCTCACCAACAACATTGATTCAGCGCCTCGTGCAACAAATATTGACATCGGACGCTAGCATTCCATGTTCAACGCTGACGGTCAACCCTGGTTAGGCGCTGAGTAACGGCCGCACGCATACGCAACGCCAGTCCACATACCCTGGAAGCGGAACTATGGCGCAAGCTTCTTGGAAAGCCAGTTCTTGACGATAGGGAAATCCGACATGGACGCGTGAGTCATTTGTGCGTAGTCCTGGCCGATATACTTCGCAATTATGAGATCCCCGCGCCACGCATTTGCCGCCTCAAACCTGTCGCCCTGGATCTCTCGCGCGCATTTGTTGATAGGGAACGGCAGGCCGTCGGACGAGACGGTGGGGTAGAAGACGATGTATGGGGTTGCGAACCTCCTGGACATGCCTTCCAGAGATTCAACGGGCTGGTCTGCGCGTCAGTCAACCGGATTCAAAAATTGACCGAAGGCCCACACCTCAAACTGCCAAGAACGAGGTCCTAGACCGTAAGCAATACGGTCATAGTAGAGCTCAGGGTGGGGAATAAGGCCACAGCGGAACGGCCCCGGCGGGTGATGCGCGGGCGTGGCAAGCGGGCTTGCTTTGAGGTCGACAAGACGAGGAGGCCGGTTGCCCGCGGGGATGATGATGGCCTTGAATTCGAACATTTGTCCCTGGTGGATGGTCAGGGGTGAGACAGCGACTACAGATCAGCGACGTTTGAGCGACGGCGGTATATCAGATGGGGTATGCAAACGAGGCCCACGATTAGCCTGCGAACAGCCTGGCGGCGGCAGAGGGGCGTGGGGATGATACGTACTTTTGTTGCGACAATCGGCGCATGTGCGGGCGTAAAGACGCACGCACCCGTGGCCGATGGCTTCGCAAACGTACTAAACGGCACGCAGGGGCTGCAAGTCACTGCAACAGCCAATCAATAAGGATCGTTGGGGAATTGAAAGGTTCGATAAGGAAGTGCTGCCGCCCAATCGCGAACACCGCTCCCTGTCAAACGAGGGGAGCCGTGGGACGGTAGGAGGCTTGGCCCGTCCGAGCCAAGTGCCGCGAAAGGCGGAAGATCCTACCAGTACGGTTAGCACCACGGCCAACGCCGAGGCTTACCTGAGGATGCCTACCGGCAGCGGACGTCGACGTGCCAGGCCTGCCTGGCCTCATCCTTGCGTGGCGGGGCCCGGCAGGTGCGGAGGGGTGCTCTGAGTTCAGTAGGGACCTGAAGGATAAAGAAGGGGAGCGGTTAGGTTGAGCGCTTAGCAGCAGGAGGAGGATCGCGATGCAATTCACGTGACTCGCCCGCGCGGCGAACTGACAAAACCGTCGAATCGAGAGGCCGTTTCTCACCCCCCTACGCCGCTAAACTTTGGCTTTGGCCTCCCTACCCACGCTTGCTCAACCACGAGAGCTACGGTGAGCGCGTTCGCTCCGTCCCGGCTTACTGGGGGCGCGAGGCTTGCGGTTGAGTGGAGTCCAAAATCCCGTGCCGAGCGCCCCCTCGCTGGCTGCCCGAACGTCCTTGCTCAGTAACGCCCGGCGGCAGACTATCCCCTCCGCCCTCTGCACTGCGCCGCTTGGCGGCGACCATGGTAAGCTTACTCCTCTTTTTGGGACCCTCCTTACCAGTGCGTCTCGCAGGATCCCATCGTGGTTCGAGGACGGGCGTCTTTCCAGGACAGGCTACGGCTGGTTTGGGACGAGGAGGCTGTGGACGATGGGTTGATGGGACATGCTGGACTCGAAGACCTGGCCTCGCCGGGAACAGTGAGCGGTTGTCGCCTGGATGGTGAGGAGGGCGAAGAGAGGTGGGCGCGCGAGTTATGCTGCTCGAGGGCTGGCGCTGACAAGCCCTACGTTTCAGCGCAGCCCCTTCGTCTGCCGGCCCCGCTCGGTCGGAGAGGAAGTACGCTCGCAAAGCCCGTCGGCAGGCCGTTCGCAGCGCCGCCCGCGCTGCAGGGTGGTTGGCGCAGAAAGATGCGGAGGCCTCCCGCGTCGCAGCGGCCGGATCTGCCCTCTCAGATATGCCGCTCTCGGGCGGTTTCATCGGCCATCGAAAGGTTCGCCGCAGAGAGGCGGAGAGCGCTGGAGGACAGCGGGTTGTTGGCCACGACGGCGGGTACGTGTCCTTTGCAGCGCAGCGGCTTTGAGCTGACGGCCAAGGGCTGGCGCAGTAAGGCTGCCGAGATTTTGGATCGTGCTCGCCACTTGGTCGCGTATCGGGCATGGCAAGGCTCTGCTACTCAGGAGGCCAACGGCCTTCTTACGGCAGCTGCGGCCTACGTGGTAAAGACAGGCATCAAGCCGACGTACACTTCCTCTAAACGCGGGACTTTTTCGCAATACTACTTCACACTTCACAAGGATAATCAGCCGGTGCGCTTTCTGTGCCGCCCTTGGCCGCCTGGCGCTGACTTGCTCCCAGAGACCAAGGATGTCCAAGTACTTCTGCGAACACGTCGAGGTTGCGCACGAGCTTGCCCGTGTGTTGGCGCCTGTCATACGGCTGGTTGCTGGTAAGCAGTTGCAACTGCACGCTGTTGCAAGGCATGCTAACGCTCAAGTGTGGTAGGCATCTTCCGCCGGAATTTTCCTCTGCTCTATGAGTATTATGCGCGCACCTTAGACTATGCCGTTCGCGGCGACGCTTCTCTAGAATCTCTCTTTCACCCCTTTGCCTCCTTTGCCCTCAACGTTGGAGAGGTCGTCTGCGAGCGACATCTTGACTGTACCAACTTGGGCCCTGGCCTTTGTTGTATCGTTCCCTTTGGGCGGTACAATCCGTCGGCAGATTGCCGTGTTGGCCTCGCAGATCTTGAATGCGAGATTGAGGTTGGCCCAGGCGTGCCCTTGTTGATACCTTCCGCTGCCTTTACTCATTACAACACGCCTCTCACAACGCAGGGGGCATGTCGCGGCTCTGCTGTGTTTTGGACTGGCGGTACTCTTTTTCAGTTTCAAGAGCTTGGTGGGCGTATGGTGTCAGAGCTGAGCACGGCTGAAAGGCACGAATACCAGGCTGGACGCTCCTCCCGCATTACAGCAGGCATCGCACGCTTTCCCAAGCGTCCTTTTTGAACACATGTATGGCTCTTTAGCTTAATAAACGTGTCGCTGGCGTTATCGTCGATGGCGCACAACTCGACTGCTGAACTGCGCGCCCGATCCACCAACGCCGACAAGCGGTGATCGACACAGCCCTGAGATTCGCCACGGCTTTCTTGGTCTGTTAGCTCATGCAGCGGCACAAGAGGTAGGAGCGAACGAAGCAGGCGAAGCCGGAAGGCACCAAACAACGCCTTGTTAACGCCGAGTCGTCGAGTCTCGATAGTACATGCGCATTATTGTAAGCTATGTATAGGTCTCCTGGGCCATATCACGCGCTCGATGCTGCCTTACGAGAGATAAGCAGATTGCTCCAACTTCTTCTGGCGCCCAACATAGGTACGAAACGTCTCCTTCGTCACCCAACGCGGATCGCCGTTTTCGAGGAGGCGCAGGACGTAGCCTGTTATGATTGGGTGCGGGTGCTGCTCAGCGATAGGCAACCACGTTCCCGACGCGGCGCGCAGCCAAATCTGCACGCTCCCAAGGGTCTTATGAACGTACACATCGCCGACGTTCGCAATCGTGGGAGGAAGCGCGACAGCCGTGAGCGGAGGCCCCTCAGAGGCGAACCAGACAACCTTCTCCGCGCGCGATCTAATGGCATGCTCGTGCCGAACGGGCCCCCTGAGGAGCGATTAGCCACGAAGGTAAGCGCGCTAAAGGAGGTACGTACATATGCATGGAAGCGTCGGAGGGTTGCTCCGTTCCTTTGGACACAACATCTGCTCCCGCCGCCGCGGGTAGCGATGGCGCGGGAGGCATCGGGGCGTAGCGCAAGGGCGGGTGGCTGCGTTGCGGGCGGCTCCGTGAAACGTCGAAATGTACGCTGCGTACTCCCGAGTTCATGACAGGCGGGTCGGCCCACGCTTCAACGGGTGCAGACAGGCGGAGCCTCTGTAGAGCGGAATCGAGCGAAGCTGCGTTCGACTGAAGAGCAGGGGCAGGCGATCCTTGCCGCTTGTCAGAGAAGAGCTGAGATATTCAACCGTCGGCGTGAGGGTAGGTCGCAGGATAGACGTCAAGAGCGTACTGGGGCTTTCGGCGGGTGGCTCAGGATAGGCGTGTTGTCGTTTTCGGAGCGTTGCTTGCTTGTGGAAGCCGGCAGCAAGAAGCCGCCCTTTCTCATTGGGCCGCCGAGCCCTGTAGGTGCCGCTTGACCGGGCTGAGCGTTCGTTCCCTAGAGAGGGCAAGAGGGCAGGCAACATGAGCCTGAGCCAGCATGTAACGAAACGGAGCTTACGCGGCGCCCGACGCCCACGGTGTTGCTCTCCGCCAGGTTCCCTTTCACGTCTCGTTGGCTTCAACGTTGGGGGCGGTCAGTCTGAGTTAACGGCAGCCAGAAGTGCGCGTTGACACGCACGCAGCTGGTTCTGAGGCGCGCAACTGTCTATACCGAAGTATAATGGGGCCGGGGTTCTTGACATCTCGCTGGTAACGATGGTCAGCGTCCAGCGCGTCATGTAATTGTAAAGACTCGCCTCCCGCTCAACTGGAATCCCAGGAAGCCGTGAGTGGCCCGGGGAGCGGTCGACGAAAGGCAGTCGCGACTCAGACATGATAGACGGTGGTGCGCAGGCGCTCTCATGAACTCCTGCCGGTACTTATGCTTGATAGGCCTGACGCCGCTTGGCGGAACTGACGTCGGATGCCCTGCAGGAGGCTGCATTGTAGGGCTGAGTGGCTCGATCGGAGAAGGCTGAAGCGCTGGTGCGGCAGGCGCTTACCTCCGGGCTCACCGGCACCGCTGAACTAGCGCACCGCGCAGAGCTAGGATGTCGCTCGAGCCTTGCTTCTCGAGGTCTTTCGCCTTCGCGCAGACGTTGCTGAAGGGAATCAGACCCGCATAGCACGCGTACGGGGTCTTGTGCTTATGCGGTTTTGTTCGCCATGCACCGGCCTGCGAATCGGTATGCAACGCGGCCAGGACTCGTCAGAGTCTCCTCAAGTTTAGCGAAACCAAGGCAAGGTCAGCAGTCGCAAAGAAAGCCACGGCTTGCATGTAGTATCACGTCACGCGTCCGGTCGCCCAACTACGTTGTTGGTCGTCGATAACAGCGGCATATGTCGCTTGCAGCCTCATACACCCGAGCCGCACTCGAACATATACATTTCAAAGCAAGCAGAACGAGATGGTGAAGTAACAAGAGCGGGGGTGAGAGGTGGTTCGTAGACGAGAGTGAAAACTGCAGGCACTACGAGCGATATCAGGTAAAACGTTAAGGATGAGGGAGCCAAGATTGAGATCAGGAAACGCCAAGAAGAGCGGAACAAGGGGAATGAAAAGCGCGGAGGAGAATGTGGGAGTTGGAAGAGGGGTAGGGGCAGCCGACGAACTGTTGCGGCCGGGATCAGCAGCGCCCGGATGCATCTGCGTCAAACTCACCTATGCCTTCGTTAAAGAGGATCCACGAGCTTCGAAACCTGTCGCTCAGAGTCGCCAATGCGCGCGCTCCCCAAGCGCTCGAGACCTCGGGCAAGCATTCGCAGAATGACCTCCGGCGGTGCGGCCTCCGCCACCATCGCCCCGGATGCTACAAGGCGCAGCTCATGGAGGTGTTCCTCCATGCCTTCGAGCGTGTCCTGGATTGTCCGGACGTAGCGCAGAGTTTTTGCGCTGTGGTCTCCAACGCGGTTGAGGATGTTGGCATTGCGAGCCAGGCTCGCGAGATGCCGCCTATTGCCGCCTAGGAGCTTCCACAGCAACCCTAGACCCCGCTCCTGCTGAGCCAGGTCAACGCCAAACTTCTCCCACGCGACAATGTTCATAGTCGAAACCAAGTCCGCGTCGAGGACTGCTGCTTTCGCGAGGGAATCGGCGCTGCACTGGATGAGCTCGCGAAGCACACCTTCATACGTCTGCAAGGCGCGCTCGTACGCACGCGCGATGTCGGGGTAAGGAGGCTGGATGAGGCATGCCTGGTTGTCATGTGGTTTCGAGCTAGAGTAGCAAAATTGAACGTCGAGCATGCGACCAGGGGGGATAGGAGAGTTGCGCAGGAGCTGATACAGGTGTTCGTTCGTCAACAAGATCCTGAATAGTTTCAAATTGTCTGTATCGTAGGTCTCTCACCACGTGAATGGGAAGCGTAGGCTCACCTGTCAAAGCCCGACGTGATTTTGGCCGAGAGATGTTGCAGACCACGATTGAGGTCCAGCGCATCATCCGCGACCTTGTCAATGAGACTCGATATCTGGTGCCGGTACTCGAGATCACTCGATTGCACAAGAATCGAAAGATCAACCGAAGCCAGCCGAGTTTCGAGTAGATCGAAAACGATCTCAGCGTGCGCGCCGGTTTGGTTGAGCACGCGCTCCATGCCCGTCGTCTGCGCACCCAACAGCAGCGGAAGAGCGGCCCAGACAGTCATGTTGGAGTTGATGGCGTCGCAAGAAGGTACAAAAGAAGAGACGAACGGGTATTGGCAGAGCGATCGTAGCCCCGACCATACCCATGATGTGCCGTAGAGTAAGAGCACATACACGACGAACGCCTGAGAACCGAGGCTGAAGAGAGCACGCAGCATAATGCCGGGGAGAAGACGCGGATGAGGGGAAGGGAGACGCACCGAAGACCTGGTACGAAAGCTGCCAGTTTGGCACGCCGTCATCTTGTACTGGATGACTCTTTCAGTGGCACCGGCGATACGGTAACACGAAGGCGTGTCTAGCGTCGAGCCCGCCGCATGAACGCCAAGAGATCCCGAAAGAACGCGAATTGCACGTGCGTCTGCGGGAGGAGCTTGTCCCCCGTCCAGCCCCAGCCGCTTCTTCAGCGAGGAGGTAGTACGTATGCGCACTGGCACGAGGCAGCGGGGCCTTTGGCTTCAGTCGCATGCGCAACTTATGCATCAACCCGACAGCAGTACGCTGGGCAAGACAAAGCGATCCGTCGCCGATCAGCGTCGCGCTGGAGCTTCAGCAACGTACGAGTAGCCTTGGAAGACTGCGGTTCGTTGTGTTGCTGTCTGCAGCAGACCGGTGGCTGAGTACACAGGCGCCCATACGCAGTACTTCTAGATCTCCCTCCAGGCTTACGGTGTCCGATCGGATCTGAAGATATGATGCCGACTGTCCATATCCACATATAGTGATTCGCAGTTGGAAGGGCACCGCGGGAGAGCCAAACTCTCATCCCAGAGGCAAGTAGATCTCGGGCCCGGAGTTCCTTGCGTTGATGTATTACGCTCATCGCTCTGTGTTGGCGTGCGTCTCATGTCAAGAGGTCAGGCCCCGTATTCGTCGCGCGTATCCATTGGTCGGTTAGGGCTCAGAATTGCCTACAGCGTGCCCAACACGACTCGTGCGGGTCATCCGCTCGATTGTCATGATAGGGCCTCACGGCGCGAGGTCTAGAAGCTTTGGCACAATATCGTTGCGCAGCTGTCGGAGGCGAGGTCGGTGATGTCCCGCTGTTCTCGATATCTCGCAGCGCGCTCAGGCTGACAGTTCCTACCGCTGACTACTCCGCCTCCCTGTAGCGTCCTGCCAGAGTCTGCAGCCTCCCGTGTTAATTGTCTGGCGTAAGTGCAAAACCGAATCAATGGCGGAGCGCTATCGCTTCGAGCCTCGCGCTTGCCTCGCCTCGTTTCCACGCACCTGTCCTACAACGTGCCAGCAAATTCCGCGGCGGAATACGCCGGGAAGCTGTTGTGAGTTCCTGACGTCTTTGTCGTCAACGGCCAAGAGTGTAATTTTAGACAGTCCCAAGCATCGGACGCGCTTGATCTTCAATCGGTGTGGCACTCGTTGCCCGCCGGTGCATGCTGTCCACCATGACGAAGGCTTCTCGGGGAGCCACGCTCTGCACCGTGATCCCTCCTCCGATTTACGCGGTCAACCTATCGCTCTGTCGGCCCTTCGAGCGCAAACTTGACTCCTCTCAACATGTTGGTCCGAAGCTCAATAATCAGCAGCACGAGCTTATAAGAAACCTGGATACGACGTAGCGCGCCCTCCGAACCCGCCAAACCGCTGCCAAGACGTATCGGAAGGCTTCGTATTAACTCATCGTGCCAATCTTGCGGTGCCGCCGCTCGATTGCGCTCTTCACGCCCCTTCACAAGAGCCTCACGCCGATCCCAGCGGCACATGAGCGCTTGAACCCCGGTGCGCATGAGCCGCCTACACTCTCGTAGCTGCAGTTGGATTACATTGACCTCTGGCCGGAGAGGGACAATGGTGAGCCTTTTCTGTCATCGTCGACGCCACTGGCTGAACGCGAACGGTATATGAGACGATGGAACGGCGCGCTTCCGACAGCTCTCAGCTCGTCGTTGCAACTCCTGCATTCGCCCCACTCCTAACACGAAAATGCCCAGGTGAGTAGGCTCCATTGCGACGTCTTCAGGGCTACGCTCACCTGTCATAGCTTGAACCCTCGCAACGGCTTCGACATTCGCTCGGTGAAATTCATCGCCTCCGCTTTCTACCGCAAGATCCCTTCGTTGTGCTGGATACCTTGCACCGTCGCAATCACGGAGCTCGATAACGCGCAGTGTTCGTGTCGGCCGCACTTGCTTTGTCGTTTGTCTAACTGAATCTTGCCGGTGTAGTTGGCGTCTTCATCGTCGATGGGTTCGATCAGCGGCGTTCATATAAATCTGCCTTTAAGACCAGCTGGCGAACGCACGCCATCCAGGTATGTGAACACATCCATGGGGAAACCTCTCGCAGTAGGGCCTGACGGCGTGTGCTAGGACTCGCGGCTCCTGGTGTGGTTTGATGGGACGGAAGAGTACCAGGTTGTCCTCAACGAAGGCGGTCCTAACTTTACGGGCCTCGTCCTAGCCTTTATGCTTGGGCTCCATCTCGCGTACCACGCCTGGCAGGTCAACGAGGACCAGCTGCTGGCCACCCTCCAGGCGTTGCCGGCTGACCTCTCGGCGCCGTGGCCAGGTGTCACGGTCACTAGAGACGGCACGCTGGAAGCCGCCGATGAGCCGATGGATATAGATTGAGGCACCAGTGCGACGAGGCCGGCATGGCGCGGTCAACTATTTCTTTTTCCACCCCATCTAATGTAGTGCTCCGATATTCTTCTCGTCACGAACCCTGCGTCTAACGTCCCGAATGATTCCATCTCGTCCTGGACCGTGAATTCCCCCCTTTTGCGTTGATTCCTGTATTCAGTTTCCTGCACGCATCCCTAATCATTCCATCTCGTCCTGGGCCGTTTATTTCCCCCTTTTGCGTTGATTCCAGTATTTAGTTTCCTGCACGCATCCCTTCCTGCTCCACCCCATCTTCCTTCACGAAGTGTTGGTTACGAGTCTGCTTATCATACAATGTGCTCTCGAGTCTATGATATTCAGCGGTTCTGGCCACATTTTTTGCGCGCCGAAATCATCGCGCCGCCGCACGACGAGACGCAGCGCAGGGCGTTCCTATGAGTGTCGCGAAGTTGTCATTAGCTATGGCTCACCGGGAGCAACCAATGCTCGGAGCGCCGGCCATGGGCAGCTGTAGCAAGCCTATTGCGCTCGCATATGCCGACGCCCGAGCTGCATCTACATTGGAAGCACGGTGAAAGGAGGCGGGGCTCAGGCTTGGCCAGCACACGCAGTAAGCATAGCATAGTCGTCATAGCCAACAATCATACGTGCTTAGGTACATGTGGGGAGACGCCAGAACAGTAGATAGAGAACATGGTGATAGAGAACACGGAGGCGAGAGCATACTGGTAGATTTGTACAAGGGGTGGCATAACAGCGTGCTAAGAGAAGATGTAGTCGCCTACTGACCGAAGACAAGGGCTCTAAGGGGCTGGATAACTCCAGTGTCCCTTTTCGCTGAATACACGTAACGCCTGTTGTACACAAGTTCGGCGACGTGCCCACGAGTGTATCGGAGATCGGGAGCTAGGGACGTTTCCTGCTGCGCGACCCACTCTTCCAGTTCGGCCAGTCGGCGCTGGCTATCAGCGAGCAGCACAAACAACTCGCGCACGGAGTTGAATAGTCCCTCGGCGTCGAAGCGTACCATCTCGAGGGCGAGCGTCAGATCTCGGCAGCGGGTGTCCTCGGAATTGGGATGCAATATTCTGCGAACAGACACCGCCCTGCCCAAGGGCTTCGGCCAACAGAGCCTAGACACGTGTTCTTCGAGACGAGAGAGATCCTCTACCAGCGGGAGGAGCGCACTCTTCGTGGCTAACAATTCCCAAGAGATGTGCATGAAAGACGACCGTGTTTCGTCTTTGATGACCTGGAACAACCGCGCGACGAGCCATCGCTCAGACGGGTAGAACATGTCGCCAGCGAAGGCGCGCGACGTAGCCTGTACGCGGCTCATGATGAGAAGGGCCAAGCGGCTCGCATAATCAGCGCTGGAGAAAACATCAAGATGAGATGTTGATATCATCCGTAGTAACGGCCCTACACTTACTTGTTGGTCACCGAATTTATTTGCAGGCTAAGTTCTACGGCTTGCAACGTAGCGTTGCCGCTGGAGGTCAACAAGGTCCTCGATCCTTCGGTCAAATTGAGGCGTTCCGCGGAGCCGAAGTGCAGCTGCGACGTGGTGTGGAGCTTTAAGACGACGGAGTGAAGTCGAAGGGCGATCTGCAGGTGCTCCGAGGTCTCGTCCAACGCGCCTGCTATCAAGGAACCCTGTATGTTGACGAGCTCGGCAAACTCCGCCCAGCCGACCTTGCCTAGCGGTTCTGGGACCACTCGGCAGGTAGGAATCAGCATGGTCACGGCGGGGAGCGTGCACACTGTGGTCCGCATCATCGACATCCTGAGAGGATCTTGGTCGAGGAGTAGCATAGTGACTGGGCTGACAGCCCAGGACGCATACGATGCAACGTAATGGCGAGGGCCGGGAAAAGACGCCAGCAGCGACACGAAGACCGCAGCGATGCCTATGATCATCTGTACACCCGTGAGCTTCGCTGTAGGCAATTGTATCCTGGGCGTCGCTACTCACAAGACGAGGCGAGACCGTGATCACAGTGGGCAACCGGCGAGGAGCGATGTATGCGTCTTGAGTAATGGCCAAAGGACCCCGGACCGCAGCGTCACGGTATGGGCCCTGGCGGATGAAAATCGTGAGCCGGGCAATGCACTCCTCGAGCGTCCTTCGAGCTGTAGACGTAGAAGATCAAGGATGTCAGCGCTGATATCTCATCGCGTACACCGACCGACTTGCCCGTGTCCTCCGAGTCGGCCTGCCGCAGGTCGTCTGACGCACCACGGGGAGCGGCGCGCGGATTCATCACCTCATCAGAGGCCGGCCTGTCAGCGTCCTGGTTCTCTGGATTGAGCCGTGTTGAACGTCGGCGGGCGCTGGAGGATGCTGATGCAGTGCTGTTCGATGCCATGGAGGGTGATGCTAGACAAGGGGATTAGCTGAGTCGAGGTCGCGGGGTCGGTATAAGACGTCTATCTCATGCAGCAACGACCATACGGCTTCAGGATTATAGAATGCGTCCTGGAACCGTGAAGCAATGTGTTTGGCGCACTCTCGGGTTCTCGGCTGAAGAATGAACCCATCAGGAGCCTGACTTTGTGCGGAAGGTAGCGGCTCTTGACACCTCACAATCTAGACCTTGACTAGCCCTAGGATGGGCGGCCCTCGGCAAAGCGTCAGCGGATTCCATTGGCTCAAAGGACAAAGAACGACAGCGTGTTGGCCTATCGAATTCGTGAAGCACCTCAGACAGGACCATGAGGCCTCGTCAATGAAATCCGTGAGGCATGAAGGCCTGTCTTCCTCGCTTAGCTCAAAAGGATTCAATGTCGGCGGTGGTAAGCTGTGATGCGTCCAGCGCAAATGAGGTCCCCACGTTGCAGTGCCCAGAACCCGCTGCCCGGGGTGGCCCAGCGCATACGACAAAGGCCCGTTTGGGTCGGTCGTAAAGGCGTTGGCTTCGCATACTAAAACCTCTGACTCAGAGAGAGGAGCCGAGGAAAAGGGCAGAGACAGAAGACTACTGACTGCTAGAGCTGCACCGACTGGTCAAAGCCGGTAAACGGAGTCAGTCCCATCGGCTATTTTGGGCACGGGGAGGTACAGTATGGTAGCGCCGATCCTGAAAGGGCGCTCCGGGGCGTGTGAGGATCGCTCCTAGAGATCTCAGATATAGTGCGGACGGTGAGTCCACGCTTGGTCCACGCCGCCTCCCCGTTTTTGGGAACAGATGCCTGCTTTGGAAAGTGAAGACTTCGGAGCAAACCGAGCATCCTTCGAGAATTTGGCCATCTCTCTTGTACGACGGCCCCGCGACATCTTACGTCCTCGCGAGAATTAAGGGCGGGACGTCATACATCTCGAATTCCTCATGTGCTCGGAGCCATGATGTGGGAAACTCGCTCAGCGGACGAACATAGCATGAAGGTTTGATTCGAGTGTGGAAGACTTCAAAGAGTGGAACGCATTATAGTAAGGAGAGTGGAACGCATTATAGCAAGGAGAGTGGAACGCATTGTAGTAAAAGAAGAGTGGAACGAATTATGGTAAAAGAAGAGTGGAACACATTGTGGTTGCACATAACGGCCGCTTCCTCATTGCATATGCATATACGACGGAGCTCGTGGGAGCTCGTGTTGCCGACGCGTTACGTCCTCCATTTAGTATTCCTTGTGAATTAGTTAGCGTTCTATCGTCAGCACAGAGCACTCGTGGGGCTTACGACGAAGACAAGGGACTGCAGGCTGTCCATCGCAAGGGAAACCTGAGCGAACTCCTGCCTGATTTCGAGACGCAGCCGAGCGATCTCTTGCTGCAGTACCAAGGTGCGATCTCTCAGCTTGCGAAGCAAATCATGGTGGGCTTGTATGCGTTCGTGCTGGACGTGGTTCAGCCGGCAAAGGGTTTGCTTAGAGTTACGCAGACGCTCTCGTTCTGCTTCGATAAAGGCCCTCTCTTCTATAAAGCGGGCAGCGTTCCTATTCTCGTAGAGCTGTAAGACTACTCATTTGATTCAATGTTTGTTTTTCATGCTTACCTGCGAATGAGGTTGTTGAACAGCGTGGGATGGTACGTGGGCTGCCCGAATCTGAAGCGGATCGCAACAATGTCGGCCTCCAGTTGGAACGGTTGCCGACATACGTGGCACAGCGACTGTACAAAATGTCTGCGAATTTGACGAAAGCAGTCGACACAGACGACGTGTCCTGTGTAGCATTCGTTTACCAAGACTACACGCTGTGTTAGGAATAACGGCTCACCACAGGCTTTGATACAGATGAACTGAGCCCCACCCTGCACGGCAGCGTTGAGGCACACTGGGCAAGTTGCGAGCATGGTAAGGCGACGAGGAGAAGGCCTTGGTGTCACGTCCTGGGGGCATCTTGCATGAGTCCAGCGCTGGGTCTTCTATACGGCGAACCTGCACAAAGGGACATCGGGACGCCACACCGTAGCAATCCATGCGGCGATGCATCGAGCGGCGTATCTACTGGAGAGGTCACTGGCGTTCGCAACGGTGGGTGGTAGGACAAAGGTTCACCGGCGTCCTGGAGCACTCACCCGGCGTGACGGCGCTCACGACCAGTGGCACAAATGATCTCAAGATTGCGCCTCGATTCCTCCTCCGGATCACACGATCGCAAGTATCTGGGAATCTGGGATTGCCTCCGAGATCTGACAGTGCTACGCCCGGCCGACCTGCGGCCGCCAGTAATTAGTGAGTAATGCCATGAGGCGTGTTCCTTTAAGCCTGCTGCCTCACCAGCGACGGCAGCATGCTGACTTCAAATTGCAGGTCACCATATGGCCGCATGCCCTCCTGAGTGGCTCTTAAGGGCCGCCTATCTTCACGTTCCTTGGCAGCGATGGCCTCCACTGCTTACGTCCCTACCCTCACGCTTAGGGGAGGACACTCTGACACTATCAACGTCCTCGCCTTCTCACCGGATAGTACCTACCTCGCCAGCGGAGGTGACGATGGGGCTGTGATCATTTGGGATGTCCGCACCGGCAACCTCTTGTACCGCCTCTCAGTCGATAGCGTCGTCGACAGCATTTTATGGCATCCCGTGCACAAGGAGACGATTATTGTCGGCTGCGAGAGCGGCGCAATCCGGCAAGTACGCTATTTCTCTCCGGTGAGTGATCCCGGGCTCCAAACGTCAGCTCGAAGGGCTTAAAATACAGCGCAGATACGCAGCGAGGTCTACGACCTTGATCTTGGAGGACAAGCGAACGTCTTCGATATGGACTATAGTGCTATGACGGCGTGTCTGGCAGCTTCGATCGGGCTTGACGTCGTCATCGCAAAAGAGACTTCCCCTAGTGCGCCGGCTGCAGGCATTCAGTCGGACCATCTTACTGACATCGTGGTAGATCGCTACAGTGTCAGCATGCCGCTGCCACGTCTACAAGAGAGTGTCGGCACAGGGGACAATGCGGCCGCGTCGAAGAACGTCGATACAGAAGATAGCGCGGTCGCGTTGAGATTCGACAAGCACGGGCGGATTCTCGTGACCACATATACGGTCAGCGGAATAGTGTGAGGACTTCGTCTCCTGCGGCCCATGCCTCGCTGACGCATTGATGGCAGTTGTTGGGACGTGCAAACTCGGCAGCCGCAGTGGCGCATTGTACCGCCTGAAGCTTACCCTTCTATGTAGGATCCCTTCTACGCTCTTCGCTGGCAACATAAACTCATCGCCATTAGGGGACACTCGGCGATAAGCCCTGGCTTCCGCTTCATCGCAGTCCACAACCTCCGCGACGGTGTGCATCTCTACTCAATGGGCGGACACGAGCAGAGGCCTCGTCGTCTATTGAGATTTACCGATCAGCCGCTTCCACGCATTGCCTTACAGACGGCCTTCATCCATGAGGGTCGGGCAGTTGTATGCGGTACATCCACAGGAGATGTGTGTATTTGGCAGACAGGCACCGGGGAGCTGTTCCAGTCGCTGTCGCATCAAGGTAAGCCGTCTGCGGATGCCATCGATCAATGTTCACGCTCACGCGCACGTCTAGAGGACATCATTATGGCCGTCGCAGTAAGTTCGCACACGTCGAACTTCCTCGTATCTGATTTCGCTCGTAGAGCTGCAGGAAGGGAAACATATGTTATCTTGCCACGGGATCCGCCACAATGGGCCCTGAAACTTATATCAGAGTATGGCGCGCGAAAATCCGTACGTCTACCACGGGTCCTATCTTCAGCAAGCCGTGCTCATAGTATATAACGTGAAGCCAGCTTACAGCAAAGGCCCGAGTCGTTCGTAGAGGCATTTTTAGTGGGTCTCAACTTGAAGGTGCGTGTTTTCGTCGATGTGTTGTGCTCCTTCTGCTAAAACTGTTTTAGTCTGATCGACTGATCCCTACGGTGGAGGAACTGCGGGCAGTCCTTCGCACGATTGCGGTTCTAACGATATCCCTCGGACTCTGCTGGATCTCTCTGAAGATGGGCATTCTCGTCCCATGGGGCGACTGTGGTCGCGCAATGATCCATGGTGTGAGTAGTCTTGCAGCGTTGCTCGATCTTTCTCATGTTGTTCTGACACAGGCTCACTTCGTATGGTCGGCTCTGTTGCACTGCTGGAGATGGGGCGTGTACGCTGCAACAGATGTTTATCTGGTCGGCGAAAGCGTGGCTCGCCAGGTGCTATACGTCGCATCGGAGTGGGTAAGGGGGCAAGCACTCAGGGCTCTCGGGCTTCCGCTGGATATCATGGAAAGGCTACCTCCGCCTCAGTAGGCTCAGGTATAGGCGTGAAGTGGCACTGAATACTGCGTCTGTCGCTAGTATTTCCGAAGTGGTGCGCATCGGCACACAGAACAGGAGGTCGGGGTGAGTGCCGACAGTGGCTGTTGTTCCCAAATTGCAAGAATCGTATCTACCTGTCCGTAACCGACAATGAGCGATACACATGGTCCCGCTTGCGGGGGAGACGGGTCACGCGTGCTTCTCATGCAGTAGGCGCTGCTCTCAGCGTCCTTCGGGATTGTTTACGACCTCAGTGCGTTCATATGCCGACGTCCCCGGCCCCTCACGGCTATCTGCGCTTGCCATACACGCTACAGCAAACAGCATCAACTCCGATTGTGCCGCACTGAGGATGAGTTGCACGCCATCCCGAGCTCAACTGCACTGAATCTCATACCCCAATTGCAGAGCCGGAGCTCAACTGCATATGACGCATGTTATCGACAAGCGTGCTGCTGCATGTCCTGTGGCACTATATGCACGTGTTGCCATGTTGTCGATCTCATCTGCTCCGGACTCCCACCTCAGTGTGCACCACGACGCTTCATCTCCGATTAAGCGCAGGCCTGCGCATCGCGTCTGCATTGTCCTATTCGCGGTGGCAGTCCCTTTGTCATAAAGTCGGATGGATTCCTTCTCTCTGTACGCTGCCGTTGTCGTCTCCCTCGCCAACTGATCACCATGCCCGAGGAACCCAAAGCCTCCGCCTCCAAGCTCCCTGACCCTGAAGAGCCTCCCCCTGTCGCCGGAGTGAAGAGGCGACTTGAAGACTCCGGGGCGCGGCAGCTAGTGGTGAAAGGAAACACTATTGTCCGGTCGCGTTCCCCGCCCCGCAGGGTGGAGATTCGGAGACAGACTCCCACAACACCGACATGGGTCAAGCAGCTCAAGAGGTTTAGAGCTACTCTTGACAACCTGGTACGTGGCTTGTATGCGCGTTGATGATTGCTGGCTTAGCTCGGCATCCGAAGACTGGAAGCAACACGGCGGCTGAAGTGGTCAGACCGGTTCCACCAGCGGTTCCACCAGCAGTTCCACCAGCAGTTCCACCAGCAGTTCCACCAGCAGTTCCACCAGCAGTTCCACCAGCAGTTCCACCGGCGGTTCCACCAGCGGTAAGTGCCAATTGAGCTTGTCTTTCGTCCGGGCGACCTTGCTCATCAGCATGTATACAGTCAGAAAACAATGCCACCATCATGCAAGAGGAAACGGCCGGTAATCAGCAGGATGAGGCCACCGAGGATTACTTACACTACTCTCATGCAAATGAGGCCGAGGCAAACGAGGCCAGCGTTCAGGGCACCGGTGTTGGACGTCAAGAAGATCACGACCGCGGGGGTTCTGTGCAGGTTCGTTCACATATCTGTTGTTTCGCCGCCGTTGAATAATCACAGAGAGCAACAGGCAGACGCCGCTGGCATAGGGTCGTCCGAATGGACGAGATCCACCCTCTCCGCATTGCAGGTATTGTCCAGCAGATCCACGCTGATTTGACGGCATTAACGAGACCATGACAGAACGCGCTCGTGCCATCCGCACAAGTTGAACTGCAAAGCCTCCAGAATTTGTTTCACTCGATCGCTGAATACGCGACCGGCCGCCCTGCGGAAGACCGAGACAACCCAGGCGAACCCGCCGCTCCAAAGCCAGGCGAATCCGCCGATTCAAAGGCAGGCAAATCAGCTGATCGGAAGCTGCATCCTTTGTCTGCATACGCACCGGGAAAGCGAAGAGTTGAACGGGCTCAAAGGAAAGAGCTTCGCGAGCCATACTCTAAGACGTCATCTTCGCGCGAGGAAGTGCACGGCGAAGGTTCGGAGTGGACCCAAGAATCCGAAACAAGCCAAGGCGTAGTGAGTTGGCCTCTATACTACGGGGGCAACACTGCTAATGCGGTGTTTTCTCTCCAGCCAATCTCAGGGGCGACTGCATCAACCTCCTGGGAGAGACACGCTACGTCAGCCGAGGAGTATGAGCGGCCTAAGAACGAGGCTACAACAAGCGTGAGCGTGCTGTCAATTTCAGGCGTTCCAATGATCGGAGAAGTAACCTATCTCTCGCACTAGGCTTTAGAACAAGACGTGGACATGGATGATGGGGCCGGACAAGCTCATCGCAGTGATACTGATGTAGGAGCCTCGGGCGGTGCTCCTGCCAGTGAGGCAACGCCACCCCTCCATCAAGTAAACCTGGTCAGTAATTCCAGTCCTGCGAGTGCTCGTGATCTCTAATAACCGTGCGAATGAAAAGACCCATGGATCGACAACTGAAGATCGCATCGCTGAAGGCGATCGAACAATGGTTGGAAGCCAGCGTACACACGTCGTTCCGTCTCCGGTACGTTTGAATCACTCGGTAACGATCGCCGTTGATAATGATCTTACATTGTAGGATTTGCAAGCGCAGCATCAGCCCGCCGTGGCCGAGATGCATCCAATGCCTGATCATGATGAGCGCATGGAGATCATTCCAACCTCAGACGTGACGCAGTCACAAGATAGTGACGTACCTATGTCGGCAGACGTAAGCTTTCTCCTCCTCCTCATCTGCCCAGTGGGCGCTCAACGACCCGTGCCTAGGACGCCGCAAACGAGAGCTCGGAGCCCTCAGTGGCCCCTGCACCAGCGCAATCTAACATGTTCTTGGAAAGTCTTTCTCGATACGTGAGTCAGATGAGACAATGAATTTCACCATCATCCTGACTTTGTCAACCCCAAGCTATCCCAGGACCACGACGTACCTATGGACGGGCCATCTTCTGCTGAGGACGATGCAAGCTCGACATCGACTGAACGTCCTCCGCAAGTTGATAAGGGCAAAGGGCGTGAGGGATACTCCGACACGGATTCGACCTTAGCGGAGCCACTCCGACAGGCGGGAGACGAGAGGCGCCACCGGAATCCAGGCGTAGCGCCAACGCAGCAACTGGATTCAACAGTGTGTACCATTTTCATTACCTATCCGTATACGTTCTCATGCAAACCAGGTGCACTCAGCGGCGATGCCACCCGCTGCTAATCACAATGCGCCACAGACGGTGCGTACTACTACGTCTTACTAGTAATGCTCCATGTAACCTCATTTTTCGCAGGGATCCGGGGCATCGCGGCGCCAGTTCGAGAAGTTTGACAAGAGCAAATACCAGCGTACGACGTCGACGAGGACGGCTGTACGGGCAGACACTTCTGCGCACCAAGCCGGTACTGGCTTAGCCGTCCCAGAGCCGCCAGCGCATCCGAGGGCTAGCGCGGCTTCGAGCCCCTCCCAACCACAAGGGATGTCTGAGCCTGCCAGATCACGTAAAACGCAGGCTAACCCAGCGTCGAGGCAAGCAAGCAACGTAGGAGATTGCGCTACCACTCTTCAAATAGATGCTAATCTAGCTTATTTTCTTGCCCCTAGGATGTCGATGCGCCGTCGAGGACTGACTTAACCCCGCTCACCCGGCGCGATATGGTTATACTTGAGCAAAGCATGAAACACAGCATGGACACCAGAATGTCCGAACTCGTAAGCAGTATCTCGCAATCATTGAAACTGTCGGTAGAAGCCGGCATACGATCCGCAATGTCTGCGAGAGATTCAGCGGAGGCTCCCGTAGCCCACGAGTCATCATCGTCATCTGGGAATGCAACCGGTGCTTCTTCTTCGAGTGCACCGACGGTCAAAGGGCATGCTAGTTCCCGGAGATACAAGGGCGATGATGATATGGCTGACGACGAGATGGACATGATGCCGGACAACACACGCTTACCTACCAATCATCGCCAGCGCAAGAGGAAGGCTCCGGAGGAGAATACGTTCAAGGTGAGAATGGTATAATGATCTCGACATTAGGGTACACCCTTACAATAAGCCTCTAGGATTGCATACGTACCCACGCTCTTCGTTTGATGAAACGTGATACACACAAGTCCCCGTTCGCCAACATCCCGTCTGCAGAGCAGATCGCAGCCTTCGACCCCAGCAGCGGCCGCGAGTGTTGCAGCGCGGATAACTTCTCTTATGACATACACGCTCGACCTTCGTCTGCTTGGAATCTATCTACAGCGAGAGTCTTCGCAGCGGACTTCAAGGCCCAGTATCCCCGGATAGAAAAGTCGGAGGATGAAGTGAAACAAGCTTGGATGGCCCACACGGACACTCTGCGCCGGCAGTATCGAGACCAGGCGATAGCGCAATCCGAGGCTCTGTACGAGCAGAAGCGTCACAGGCAGCAGGAACGGAAACGGCAGGTAAGACGTCGTTGCGAATGCGGAAGCTTTCTTGCCATTAATGCTTTGTTTGGAACAGCTTTTTCAGAGAAGACGCAACGTTTCGGTATCGTTGCTTTCTACGAGGGCCACGGAACTTGTAGATGCGCTTGGCGTTCATGGTATGAGCACCGATGAGTCCGATCACGAAGCTGGGAGAGGGGAAGCCACGTACTTCATACGTTCCAAGACTTGGCGCTCTGCAGAACTTCAAACATGGCTACGCACGCTCGATTCGCTTCACCTATGGACGCGCTACAGAGGAGGCTTCAAGGCTTCACAGGGCGGTTGGCCGCACTTTCGCGTGGCTAGTCAACACCCCTGTACCCGCCCTCCCATCGTTGGACTCCCCACAAATTGCTACGCCCCATCTCTCCTGCAGCGATACGACACGTTCAAATTGAAGTGGCTAAGCCCTCTACCGAACAACATTGACCTGAAGCACCCTGATCCGATCATTGAGTACGTCTTTCCATTGCAATTGTTTCTCAAGTGCTTTTGAATGACATCGATCACACCCCTTAGAACGGCGAGACTGTACGACCTCGCGCACAAAGTCTTGGTTACTGGGCACTTCGATCCTGAGAGGCCTGGCCGAGAGAATACGCCAGGTGCCGATGCAAGAACTCAACAGTGAGAGCCTTCCGTAGAGCGATTGCTCAGGTTCTTTCGACCGGACATTCGAACTGCAGGCTTTGCCGACGCACGAGATGCTCTCCATATATTTCATATACGATCTTACATGGTTGAGGCCTTCATATACAGCTGCTTTTGACATCAAAGTAAGGTTCTACACAAGTCCGAGCACGTAGTAGTATGAGTGAACGAGTGAAGGTACGCAGCAAAAAAAAACGCCATAAAACTGAATTGGATGGGCGAGTGTATGAACGTGTAAGCGTGAGTGAGCGAACATGTGAATCAACAAACAGGTTGATGAAGTAGACAGCCTGCAGACACCGCGACCCCGAATACGAACATACAAGGGCCAGCATGAGAACGGAACGAGTAAGCGGGCGAGCGGGAACGTGGACAAGAGGCGAACGGGTGGGCAGACAGAGCCAGCGGCCAAGCGAGAGCGGCAGCCGGACGAGAGTGGGTAGACGAGCGAGAAGCCGCGGGCATGTAATGACAGGCGAATAGGCAGGCGGGCGAGCGGGCAGACGGTGAATTTGCGGGCGAGAACGACGGTGAGGACGAGGACAAACGAGCAAGAGCGGGTGGGCGAGCGAGCGAGCTAGTGAGAGGGCGAGCGCGCGCGGACGAGAGCGGGCGAGCGAGTGTACCAGCGAGCAGGCAGTCATGCGAAATAGCAAGAGGGCAAGGGTGAGCAGAACCGGAGAGCGGGCGAGGGAAGGAAGGCGGACGAACTGGTAAGAAAGCAAGGGCGGGTGGGCGAGGCTAGTGAGAGAGCGAAAGTGGGCAGGCGAACGAGCTGGCGAGAGGTGAGTAGGCAGACGGGCGGGCGAGCGAGTGGGTGGGTGGAGTAGACAAGTGAACGGGTAGGTAAGCTCCAACGTCAGCAGGCATATAGACTGAAGACGTCAAGTCTCATTGCACACTAGACATGTTGTTCAGCATCATGCGTGTGAGAACCAGGCTGGAAGGACTCACCGCACGAAGCTGAGATTGTATGAACGGATGGAGTACGCCGCATGTACTTACATAGGTCGTGCCACCGTTCACGGCATATGCGCATCCGCGCCGCCTCTTCTCGCCCTCGCGACTCGCCACACACATTCTTCTCCCCGTCTTTCTCATTTCCCTTCCCTCCTCCCTCGGTCTACTTACATGCAGTATGACTGTACGGTTGATACATTTCGAGGGAACTGCGTGAGTTCAGGCTCGCGCGGCCGTGTCGTGCCACCTCGCCAAAGTTGGGTGCAGTCGAGTAGGAACCGAAGGCTTCCCATTGGGATATGATGCGGCGCGAACTGATGTAAGTACGGTTGCCAGTTGTCCGATAGTCCGAGGCCGGGCATTCCAAAAGCGTTTTGCGTCTCAGCCACGTCGCATCCAGGTCGCATCGCTGGTGACGCACATATCAGTAAGTTCAAATTAATATTGGCCGTCAAAATCCACGACTTAGCTCGACGACCGGTAAGTATTAAGCGCCACACGGTGCCATGAGGCCCACGACTCGCTCCTCCTGCACATCCCGCCCGCGCTGCCCATGTCGCCCCCGATCCTCCGAGGTGCGCCATCCCTGTACCACGACTGCCCCTGCTGACGTCCTTACGCGCAGACCTCGAGCTCTCCCCCGTCGACGCGTCCTCTGCCGTCGCGCCCCGCCGCAGCGGCTTCCCCGCGCCGCCAACGGGCCACGAACTCATGGCGCTCTTCCCCCCGCCGCCGCCCAACCCCATGATGGGCCCGATGTCTGCTATCTTCTCCGCGCAGGAGCGCGCCTTCTTCGCGTGCAAGGGTAAGGAGATCGTCGCCGTACAGATCGAAGCCGACATGCATGCCGGCCCGTCGCAGCCCTACCTACACGCCCATCCAAATTTGCAACCTCACTCTCAGCCTCCGGCGCCCGCTAAGCCAATCGCCCGTCAGACGTCGCGCTCGCTCCGTACGCGTCCCGAGCTCGTGCCGCCTCCCCAGTCCGGACCGCCACCGCCGACACAGGGGAGCGCGAATGCGCCGCGCAGCATTCCTGTCATCCCCGTCCCAGCCCAGTCCGCGCCCGTGTCCGCATTGTCGCCTTGCCCGCACCCCGCGCCGCCACAGCGCAAGTGGACGACGCCACCACACACCCCCATGGACGTCCAGATGCAGCACCCGATGCACTCGCCGCCGCCACTGCCGCAGCAGGGGAAGGAGCAACAGGGAGAGGAGCATGGCGGGGAGCAGACGCAGCAGGAGGAGGGGCACATGGAGGAGGAGGAGGCGTGGAGGAGGCCCATGCCGCATAGTGAGAGGAGACGGGCGGGGATGCATACGAAGCGGGTGTCTACGGTGAAGTGAGTCGTGAGTCCTCCTTGAGGGTTCACAGGTCCTTTAGTCGTTCTTGGGATTCGGGCTGGACTGGGCTGTGGGGTCGGTGGTCGGTGGTCGGTGATCGTTGGCTGTACGCTAGTAAGCATTGTACAGCGTGTCTCTCTGCTCTGTGCTCTCATATCCGCTCATCATTATCGCTGTTTTCGTGCTACTGCTATCGCAATGCAACTGGTCTCGTCATGCATGCATCGTGGTGGCTGTGCCTGACTGGGTGAACTTTGTCAGACTTTGCTGCCGACCATCGACATCGCAGCAAGTACCGGCACCTGACAATTCAGGCTTTCTAATTTGCGGATCCCGTCCACGCAGTAACCTGCCCGACCTACGCATCGCGATCGGTCGTACATGCCTTGCCTCAGTCTTGCATTCGAGTCTGAGTATCCTGACGGCCCCCTGAACGCACTTACCGCCGACTACTTGCAGCTGCATTCGGGATCCGACTGTGATATGGCTACTGCTCCTTCACCACAGGTATCAACGCCGATCTCCGGAGACGATAAGTAACGCTGAAGAGCGAGAGACAGGAGAACGGTCCAGGTAGGTTGTCGTCTCCGATACTTTTACCCGAGTGACCCGACTCCTCCAGCGGCCGGCGTGGACGCTCGCAGACGCGTGCAGTGGCTCGCACCCGGTCGAGTGGCGCACTTCGGCGACGGTGCGTAGACCTCAGGTCCTCAACGTCCATCGTGGTGGTCAAATCTGACTATTCGGGCGCAGAGGATACCATACGCGCATGTCCTGCTTTGGCAGAGCGTTTCCTATCGAGAAACGATGAAAGTTTATTCGCGAGATGGGGTCCGGAGGCTTACGGCTACCTCTTATCTGTCTATCCTTTGGCAAGAACGCCGGACCGTCGTATTGACGAAGATCTTGCAGCTCAGCAGCCGGCGGCGATCAAGATGATTACTCGCGCGACCGAGAAGGTCCAGCTTGGAAAGCGTGCTCTTTACCAAGTTTACGGAGGCTCGTCATATCTCAGGCTGTGCGTACGAGTGTCCGACTCGCGGGATCCTGAAGTTGGTGAGTAGCCGATGGAAGGTGCGCAATTCTTATCGTGTCACTCTCGCTGAGATATCTGACTTCGTCGCACCAGCGGATCTGCATCATATCATCGAATCTGGACAGATGCTCAGCAATGAGTACGTCCAGTACTTCCTCAGCCAGGTTCTCCAGGCCATGAAATATATTCACTCTGCGTCCGTCGTACATAGAGACCTGAAGCCCGGCAACCCGCTGGCGAAAGCTGATCGTGGGCTGAAGATCTGCGACTTCGGTCTGAACAGAGGGTTCAGCTCAAAACCGGATGAGGAGCCGTTAGCTCACTCCATGCAGGATAGCGATTGACTGTCCCATAGTCGACCAATTGAACAAGATCCTCAAAGTTCTCGGTATGTCGTGACGCACGAACGTTTGGCCGACTGTGATCGAGCACAATATATGCTTAGGTACTCCGGAGAGCGACGTCGTTGATCGCATAGCAAGTCCAAAGGTACGGACCGTGTGCCTCACACCGTTATTCCTGAAATCTTGTGGCATGGATCACAGCCCCTGAGCACTCCGGGCGAACACCCGTGGCTTGCGTCGTACAAATCAGAACAAGGACCAGTCCTACGAGTTTGTGATATCGTCCGCACCCACTGGTCGGCGGCTACCCCTCATGGCGTGGCATGGTGCGGTGTCGCCCCGCATAGTCCTTTTGCTGATCTCACCGACGTCCTTCTTGGTGCGTCTATAGTTTATCATGTTTATCTGCTGCTCGTCGTCGCACTTTTGACGCGTAGATCGGTGAGTCGACGGTGTCCAGAATGCTGTGCCCGAGAACGTGCAGGGCGAGTAGCCCAAAAAAGAACTAAATTATAACAGGGTAAATTGCATATGTTGTAACACGCCGAGGACACTGGCTCCAGGCAAACGGACAACCTGTGCCGAAATAAGACGATTCACTGGAGTCCACTGAGACAAGGTCTCATCGACGGACGGCACACTGTACGCTATCATTCTGACGTGCATGGTGCTTGTAAGACATATGAAAACTACTCATTTGGCAACAGCTACACACGATGAATGGATCAGTTTGAGACGTTCCAGCCAGCACTGATCAACATGCTCACCTCTTTGCTCCGTACATTCACCTTTGCCTCCATTTCCTGGCGCTTTAGAGTCACTATTGCCAACTCACGCCTCAGGTCTTCACAGGCTGTCTCCGATTCCTCTTGTTCCTTGTTCGCCGCCTCCAGCTGCCCTAGCAGGCGCGATATAGCAGACGAGTTGGCCGAGTTCTCTTTTTGAAGCACATCATGATCTTGTCTGGCAAAGCCTAGAGCCTCTGTGGCTAAGCCGAGACGACGATCCAAGTACACTGTGTGCGGATTATCCCTACAGTGCAGAGTCAGTCCTTCACATCCTGCCGAAATGAGGTAGACTTACAATGCCCGTTGGGCCCAAGCATCCGATGCGTCCACATTGGTAGGCATGTAAATGTCCCGCAGGTATGTTTCAGTCAAGCTGTTTGTGTTGTTGACGACCACTGGTCTGGCCAGGTCAATGGTGATTATGGCAGCGCCGCAGTTTGGACATCCTAGCCCGGGGTACTCCGCTACATAGCGATCGACACAATCTTCGCAGAACAGATGCCCTAGGGAGCCATTGATGACTGTGAGTCCGACGCGATAATAGTCAGCCTGAGTTCACTGACCGCATCGAGTATTGATCTTTATTTTTGGAGACAGAGGATGCGATTGATACAAGCGTGCGTCACATAGCTCGCAGATAGGATGATTCATGGTCTCTGGGACGGTGAACTGAGGAGGGCGAGGACAAGGAGGGAAGGTGTTAGCACGCGAGCGAGACGTCAAGTATTTGGACGACTCTTATCTTTCGGGATCAGTACTTGGTCTCAGAACAGCCAGCTTTCCCCGAACAGCGCGTGGCTTGAGGTACGCTCCTCATTATGTAGCATTCATATATCGTACCAGTCTTACAAGCCAAGTCAAGTTCCCCAGTATCGTCAGCCAGACTGATGTAGCAACGGTAGGTAATCATATGCGCGCAGGATGTGGTCTGCCCATTCGCAAGCACACCATACGGCGGGCCGATCCACTTTGGGGCCGGGGCTTCGACCGCGGACGACCATAAGATCCACGTCTTCCCCATCATAAAGGTACTCGTCGAAATATGGAAGACGTATCTCGTCAGGGAGCTTACCTTACGCTGCAGGATCTCTACCTCTCGCCTCGCAATACTGACACTCGTTCGGATAGATCAGAGGACACTGCAGAAGGCATGGTTGATGTCACGCGCACATGACGCTCAGAGGCTACGTCTACGTCTATCCTCACGCGAACCAAGCCGCGAATAATGAGGCATCACGGCGTTCTGGGTGTGCGCAAGCTACGCCAGACGCTTTGTATTCTGTCGCTGATGCTAATACGGCCAGTCGGGTGACGTCACAGCAGCGCTGAAGTCATTGCCGCATAGGGTAATCGATGCAACTGTGTGTGTGGCGTTCCAGTCCTTGTCTTTCTGTTCTCATCTTCCACCATCTTCCACGCATCGCTTACCATCTTCCACTTATACGGCATATATCCTTCTCTCAACTGCTTGTAATGGCTGCCGAATGAATCTATTCGTCGCTGGGTGAACGCGGAGCTGTTTCAAGTACGGAGGGTCTTCGTGTAGTACACGAGTTCACAAAATGAGAGGTAGGCTCACTGCTTTCGGCATTCCACACGACGATGCATTGAAAGACCCATCCTGTATAACAGAACGGATACGGTGATGCCGGCTTTCAGGACGACGTCAGCCGAAGTTATGCGACTCTGAAAGACAATGAGCTCATACGGGTCGAAGGCGATGACTTGCGCAGCGGTCGCAAGCTCTTGGTTGGCGGCTGTTCGACCTACAGCGTACGACTCTCATCCGAAGGGAGTTGGTGGTCTAGAGATTGTGAGAATCAGCCGCGAAGGTAAGCAGCCTGCGCGATTCGTAGATCGTACAGCCATGCTGAATGGTGACTCGAGGTCTGTGGCGCGTTGTCTGCCCGCGAAATACTACGGAGGAATCTGCGATGAGACCGAGGATGCTACGGCACGAACGCTCCGTACCCGAATACCCTCGTTGCCGTCTCCGCTGAATTTGACGGCTAGGTCCGTCCGTTTGGGTGGCGCAGCGGGGCAGTTGCTGTGAACGCCGCGGGCAGCGTACCGTGTGCTGTGAGCATCCGTATTGCAGGTGAGTTCGTTGATGGCCTGGGGATCATGCTCTGATTCTGGGTGTTGCCTGGCGCCGTATCCCTTCAGATCACTCGACATAACGCGCCCAGCCCGGCGGGGTTCATCCTCCAGACGACTGCCCCTCGTTTCCTGGAGTCCACGGCAAGACTTTCAAGCGCGTTCACGATGGAAGGTAAACGTGCGCTTCGTTTGTTGATCAACATTGAATGGATCTGCCTCAAGCTCTTCCGCGCGTCTGCCCAACATCTCTCGACGTTCGGCGAGCCATCTATACGTGCTCCAAGGCGGGGGTCTTCTCCACGCCGAACACCATGCACTTACCGTACTCGTCTTTCATCCTGTGTACCGCGCGAACCCTGTGTACCGCGCGAATCCGGTGTACCACGCGAATCCGGTGTACCGCGCGATAGACCCGGTACGTCCGTTGTTGCCTCACGCCGCATCCCTCGCTGACCACGTATGCTTGGACACCATGTACTTGTAGATGCTGCGCGGCGTCCATGGCTCGATGCACGGCCGTGATCGGATCTGAGCACGTCAGCCACCATGAGAACGATTCGCGCGTGCAAGTGCTGCGAGTGCGGACGTCTGCTCGTCAAGCACCCGTCCTTCCCGATATGGCTGGCGTGCTGCTCTTCGTGCAGTGGTCGCGTCCGAGTCGGGTGTCCAGAGTTGAACCAATTGCCGTCCAATCGACTGAACGACGGACTCGTGCTCTGGGTAAATTCGTGGCCCATTTGAGACAGCAAACATCGTGTGTCTGACATCGTCCGCCTTCAAGTTGTCCGTCGTCTCACTCAACTATTACTTCTGTGTTCGAAAGCACGCCTAATACCTTACATCACTCCTCGACATCTACCCACTTAATCGTACTCGTACGCGCCGTACGAGAACACCATTCTCACAATGCAATTGCCGTGCGGGCGCGTTCGACGGAGATGGCACATCCAAGCGTCCAGACCGGAAGAGAGGGTAGGATGCCGGCGACCTGCCACACGGGTATGCGTGAGGTCGCCGACGTGGAGCTCGAGGGAGCAGCTATAGTAAGAGCGCTGCGAGGGCACCTACAGGTGAGTCTCGCCCCGCAATGTCGCACCCCTGTCGCCCATCCTCCCATCGATCACCTCTTACGGCGCTCTAGCTTCTCCGCCTCTGTCAACCGCACGCCCTCCACACTGATGCTCCGGCCCTTTTAGGAGTGCGTATCTTGACCGCCATGTTCGTTCGCTGTTGTGCCAGTGTTGCCTTGTCCGGTTCCAGGGGATGGCGTAGAATCACGAACTGATCTCGGCGGTGTGTTCGCACGTCCTAAGTCTCGGCGGTCTCCCCTCTTACGTTTACGTTTCCGTTTCTAGTCATAGCAGGGCTCACTCGCTACTTGCAAGCTAGGCACATACAGCCTCTCCGAGTCGAATTGAGCGCAGTACGGGCCCCCGCCATGTGCTCACAGTCGCCTTTGTCGTGTGTTCGGCCAGGCAAGGATCGCGCACGAATCGTGAGTCCCTTCCTTGGCTCGCGCTCATAGTATATGCCAGCTGACGACCCTCGTTTTGCAAAGCATCTCTATCGAAAATGCTCTCCCAGTCCCCCTCCCTTCTGCCCATATCTCCGCTCCGCCCCGCGATCCTCATGTTCTCCCTCTCCGTATTCACGGGCGGCATGGTCCTCTAGACCGGGCCCGAGCGCACCGTCCTCTCACGCGCCTTCGAGCAGCGGCCAGAGCTGGCGCTGGAGCACTGTGGCGTTCTCATAGAGCTCAGCTGGGGCGACGGAGGTGCTCGCGACGCTCGAAGGGGGTGGGCACTAGAGAAGGGCGCGCTAGACGTGGCGTGGAGGAAGAGGGAGCTGGACTGGGCGGAGGAGCGCCTTGGAGAGTGAGAGTTCTGTAAGGAGCGTGAGTGTTGGAGTCGTCGGCGATGATACTGGGCGTCGACGAGCGCTGATTACAGGCTTGCTTTTGCAGGACGTCTTTGCGCTCTCAAAAACTTGCCGTCGAATGCTCGTCTGCTCGTCTGGCGCGGACGCGTACTGCCATCTACAGCATCAAGAATATGTCGCGACGCACCTCTTTGTATGCCGTACAAACTCGGCTGCTGGGCGTAGTCATACCAGCTCAACATCCCAGTTGGTGCCTCGGGGACGCGTTTGGGTGCGACCGTCTTGGCTTCTGCGAGCCTCGATTCCCCCGCGCACATTGCCGTCGACGTCCCCGACAGTAAGCTGGAAAGCTACGTCCCTATCCAGCAATGCGAGACACACAAGATCCTCGTCGGGCTGCTGGGGTCGCCGGAAGTGTTCCTCACGCTTGTCAAGCGGTGAGTAGACCTTACCGTGCCGTGCTTACTTGAGCGCTGACGGGGCGCTGCCGCACAGGTGCATCGGCGCACTGACGATAGAGGTTGCGGGAGCCCATTTGTCACGCTCATATCGTCTACGGCGGTGAGTAACTGCAGAGTGTAGGCACTGCGAGTGCTGCTGACTGGACTGCTCGTGTGCAGGTGGAACCGACGCGGTATGCGCTTCAAGACGGCATGCCATGTCTGTGGCATCTAACGCTCAAGGCTATGTCTCGCAGACCACCACCGTGTTCAAGGCGTTCTATTCACGGTGGTCCTCCATCCCGATGCGTGCAAGAAGGCCCAGGAGGAGATTGACCGCGTCGTCGGTGACTCGCGGTCGCCCGACTTCGGAGATCGCGCGTCTCTGGCATATGTCGACCCCCCCCCTCCACCCCCTTAAGAAAGTGACGATCGGCTTATGTCTGGGACAGGCGAATCTGGACCCGCGAATGGAGCACTGTAATTTTAAGACAGTCCTGCCCGAGATATGGGCAACTTTCATGGTATTGAATCGAAAGCCGTTGTGGCGATCGCGGCGTGGAAAGCGAAGTCGTGAAGTCGCTGTATCAGGGTGGCGATAAAGGTTGAATCGCGACGTTGTGGCAAACGTAGGTGATACGCGTCGAATGCGATGTCGCGGTATCAGGCTGGCGATAGAGTACCCGAATCTATTTCACCGATATACGTCTGCGGTATCGTGTGCCAGATTCGTAAAAAGACATCCACCATTCGCGTTGCGAGTCGTTGCGAATCGTTTCACGATTCCGTAGCGAAACAGGGAATGTTCGGCCTGCGAACATAGTGACGGAACATACGCTATGTCAGACCTCCGGACATGAGTCATTTACTTCCCATTTTGGACTTCCGCAAATAGAATATTTTAGCGAGCCGGACATAGCACATGTCTGGGTTCCGCAAATATCTAATTGTCGGCGCGCAGACATTGTCGGAACATAGTGAATGTCCCCCCTTTGTTCTCAACCGGCACATGACGTATGTCAGGACCTATCACATTGCACGAACATTATCCCAACATGCTTGGTGGTTTGTGCGGCCTCGGAACATTGCGGCGAAAACGTGACCAATGTTATGACACCCGACATACTAATTGTGGCCTGCTTTGTCAGGACCCGGAACAAAGGGCGGGCATTTCCTCTTTTCTTGCAATGTTACGGGTCCGTAAATCGCCGCTTACTAATCTACTCGGTCTTCCAATGTTAGACCAATGTCCGGCGGCGCCACAACCCGGGTTGTCCGCAGTGCGCGAAGAAGCTGGTCGAACAGCTGCGTCGGTGGTTGGTATGTCGCGACAATTGCAGTTTGGTGGTGGAGTAGATGAATCTTACGTTTTGACAGCACGCATACGGCACAGAGTATGGTGTATACTCTGGCAAAAAGTCCGAGCCGACGTGGATCACCATTCAGTTGAGCAAGCTCGCAGGACGCGTGAAGAACAGGTCCTTCAACCAGGGCGCACGACAGTGGGTAGAAACTGAGTGGCCAGAGCTTTTGATGGCTGGCCAGAGCCACTGGCCCAGAAAGGACAGAGGAAGTCGCGCGCGAGACCTTCAAGCCGCGGATGAACCTTTGAGTGGCGGTGGGGACACTCACAAAGGGGGGCGGAGCGAAGGGGACGGACACGTACGTACCGTCTGTCGATAATAACACGATCGATGCTGACGAGCTAATTCGCTCAGGAGGCGGACAAGGTGGAGAGACATGCGGTTGAATCGACAAAGGACGCGATGAGAGCAAAGGCGAATGAGTTTAGGAAGCAGCTCAAGAAGGTATAGTTTCCAATATGTCTGTAACATCACCGCACCTGACGAGTACATGTGGTTGGAAGTGTGACTACTGTAGGTCTGCGACAAGGGCAGTGAGGGAGTGTGTGGTGGACCAAGGCAGCGGGACCTGCGGGACGTGCAGAAAAGCCGGCAAGGGATGCTACTTCCAGGGATTGTCGCTTAATGGGACACAGAACAAGAGTAAGTGTGAATTATTGTAATTATAAGAGCGGGCACTCATTAGAATACTCTGTTAACAGAGGCGGCGTCGGTCGTGATGCCGGATGAGGGTGTCTCGTCGACCACTAAGAAGGGAAAGCGCAAGGCAACGAGTGTCATCCAATCGCTCGACAACGACAGGCCCGCGGAATTCACGGCTTCGGATCCTGAAGGACCAACACCCGTCCAGCGCGCAACTCGATCGCGTGCACAGCGAGACCCCTCGGCCGCAAAAATGGGCAAGACCGTCCTGAACACAGCGACCAAGACAAGGGAGAAGAACAATGGAAGACTGACGCATGAGCGTCCCGACACTTCTCAGGAGGGCCCTCGTCGAAAGCGAGGAAGATACGATGTCGAGAAGACCTCAGAGAAGAGGCATACGCGCGCGACGGCTGCCGCCCTCGTTGGCAAAGCCGACCAAAGGCCCTCCAGGCCGTCGGAGCGCGCATCCGATGGCCCCGCAGCACATGTAGCGTCGCCGACGGCCTCGGAGGCGGCGGGCGTGGACACAATCAGCCTGGACTGGGGCGAAGAACTGCCGGAGGGTGTCAATGGCGCGTCAGATAGCGAGGGCGAGGGCGCCGGTACCCTGCGGATGAAGACCCTGTCGGAGGTGATCAAGACGTTTGAAGTGAACAGGGCGAAGCTCGCAAAGAAGATAGAGGAGATGGAGGAGGACCGTAGCTGGTTGGATGCTCAGCTGAAGGCGAACAGGGCGCGTCTGCGAGAGCTGCAGCAGGCACAGATTGCGGAGGCGGGTCCAAGTCACTAGCACGGCTTGTCGCAGTGATGCTCACGCATGTCGTCGTACTCCGGCACGCTCGAGGGAGGTATGTGAGTAACGCGGCAATCTATATAACAATTAGTAGCTGATCGCATAATATCTCAGTGTTATAAGGCTCGGTCTGAAGTATCGTAATGTTGTACAGTATGATCCGGCGTTGGGTTTGTTTGCTTCGTCATCCGGAAAGCTGTTTGTAAAACGTGGATTGTAACGTAGAGGATGTGACGACAATGAATTGTACTAAGTAAGGGCAGGTTTGCTCACCTAGTGGAGACTATCCAACGGCTCGGGTGGTGGTGCCCAACAAGGGATCACGAGCAGAGGTTTCGTCGGAAAGGCAATCGCACTTTGTATGTTCGGGTTAAGACAGTGCATCAATTGGACAGACGGACAAGTCATGCCTCGCATGAGACGCATCATCAACGGGTATGTCAACCCGCCGAATTTAGGAAGCTACTGGCCGACGATTCCACTGAGCACTTATGTATTGGTAGGATTGTTGGAAAATTTAGTAGGAAGGGACCACAGCCACGGTCTTCCCGGACAACACGTGCCGCAGTGAGGCGCCTGGAGATTCCGTCAGGGCAGTATGATTGCTGATCGTGCGACAAGCGAGACGCGTGTTCGTAGGTGGCCACGGGGCACACACGACGCGAGAATTGCCAGGGTGCGTCCATCGCCTTTACACCTCTCTCACCTCCCACCAATATCACTAAAGCCTCCCTCTAAGTTTGCTCGCCCTTCCGATTCCAATGGCGCCAGCTGCAAGCAAAATGTCGACCG